TTATACGTTGCAATCAAAGGAGGGGACATAGGTGGGTCACATGAAATCCATTGGTGATAGATTAGAGAGGTGGGAGAAAGCAAAGCGGGGAAACCTCTGGGATTGGATGAAGAGTAAAATGATAGACGCATACTTCTTTTACTCAGGTGGGTACAGGATAGCCAACAGGCCGCAGTGGGTATGATAACAATAACAATGAAGGAGTTTGTGGAATCTGTCCTGGCGCCCAGACACAACCTAATGTTACAATTTACTATTTCAAGGATATGTTATCATAGATAAAAAAAAAAAAAGACTGGCTCAGTTAAGGTAAAGGTTGACCTTGTCAGTGAAGGTACTGGCCTAGGACAAGACTGCCACCATCACTGCTTTTAGTTAAAGTTTCATTTCAGACCATCCTTTGTGGTGACTGAGGTCTCTGAGTTTGCAGGACCGCCATGCAGGCCTCCCCTGAGCTTGTCAGGTTAGCATGTGGCCCCTTTCATCCACAAGAAATAGAAGGTGAAAAATTCAGTATGAATATAGAAAATTTGAAAATAATGATTCACAAACTTGACCTAACAAAGCAATTACAGAATAGACATTCTTTTCAACTAAGTGAAAAATTTCACCCAAACTCACCATGGTAGGTTGAATAATGGCCCCTCAAAGAGGTCTACATCTTGATCCTCAGAACCTGTCACTATGTTTTGTCACATGGCCAAGGGAAATAAGGTTACAGGAGGAATTCGGAAGTACAAATTGGTAGCTATAAAATAGTCTCAGGATGTCAAGCACAGCATGGGGAATAGAGTCAATAGTATTGAAATAGCTGTGCATGGTGCCAGGTGGGTAATGGAAATATCAGGGGATCACTTAACAAGTGATATAAATGTCTAACCACTGTGCTGTACTGAAACTAGTACAACATTGAATGACAACTGTAATTGAACATTTTCTAAAAATTAAGTATGAAAAAAAGATTGCTAATCAGATAACCATGAGATAAAAGGATTAATCTGGGTAATCTGGATGAATCCAAAGTAGTCATGTGTCCTTAGATATGGAAGACAGGGGAAGAGTCAGTGTCAGGGGTTCAGGAAGTCTTTAGATGCTGGAAAGGGAAGGAAACATTGTCCCCTACATCAGTGGTCAGCAAACTGCGGCTTGTGATTCCAGAGAGTCCACTATAGGCAATTTTAAACATCAGGAGCAGCCTGGCAATTGTGGCTTCGTGGTTGAGCGTCGACCTATGAACCAGGAGATTCTTGGTCACACATACCCAGGTTGCCGGCTCCATCCCCAGTAGGAGAAGCACACGAAGGGGTGTAGCAGGAATGTAGCCTGTCTTGGGGACTGACAAGAGTGGAGTCTGACTTAGGGTAAGACCCTATGCATCTCATTCATCCACTCATACATTCCTTCATGAAACATTAACCAAGTACCTGTTCTCTGCTGGATCTTGCATGGCACTCAGGAATGTAGGGATAAATAAGACAAGGTCCTCGCTCTCAAGGAGTTCACAGGGGGAAGAGAGGAAATTAAACTCAAGAACAAAACACTGGAGAAGGACAGAGGCACGCACCAGATGAGCTGGAGCACAGAGACTCTTCTGGTTGCAAAGAATCTCAAAGTGCACAAGCTTTGACCAAAAGTGCATGGGCTCATATAGCCCAAAGGACAGAACGGCAGAGGGAGGATATGGGCAGAGAGGATGCGTGAGCAAAGGCAGGCGCTGAAAAACAGCCTGGGGCCTGTGGAGAGCCATGAGAGTTGGCATAAAGAAACCAACCAAACAAACAAAAACCGGAAGAAGCAGCAAGGAGACAAAGCCACCCACAGGCTGCACATGGGCAACAGCATCAGATGTCCCCTGAGAGGCAATGAGAACTGTGGAGGAAGGGAAAGAGTAGTCTGAGAGGAAGGCAGTGGCGAAATTTGGGTTTTAGAAGGATCACATGGTCTGTGGCACAGAAGATGGGCAAGTCTGCAATCCTGGAGTCCCGATAGGCGGTTATTGCGATAATGTGGATGGAATGCAGGCTCTGAGCACGTGCAGAGTGCCATGGACGTGACCAGAGGAGCTGTAATCAGGACAAAGTCAGAATTAAGAGCCAGAGTGGGCAGGCTGGTGATTGGCTGGAGGTGGGTGATGATGGGGAAAGTGTGAAGAATGAGAGTCCCTGGTTTCTGGTGGAGGCAACCGGGTGGGTGGTGGAGCCATTTACTGAGGTGGGAAATGCAGGGAGAGCAGATTGGAGGGAGATGATCTATTCTGGTGGAGACGGATGGAGTTAGAAGGATCTGTGGGATATTCTGGTGCAGGTGACCAGGGGGCAGTTGACTATTTAGGTCTGGAGCTCCAGTGAGAAGCCTCATACGGAAAGAGAAGTACAGGAATTATCAGTCTAGGACATGGACAGTAGAACCATGGATGTGATCCTCAAGGGGACTATACGTAAGGCAGCAATTCTCAACAAGATATGCACAGGGTGGCATAACTCCCGGAGAGAGCATTTGTAATCACCAGAGAGGCTTTTCCGAAGTCCATATCTAACTCTCAATTCCAGTAAATACCCAGCAAGTGTGACCAAGGGAAATTCTCACTGAGGAGGTGGCTTAGATGGAAAGAAATCTGAGAACACAGATGAGAAACAAAGAGGGCCAAGGTGGGCACAGAATGCAGAGGAAGAAAAGCACAAGAAAGTGGGTAAGGAAGAGGCTCAAGGAAATCCAGGAGAGTTAGAGGTGCCCCCAACGTTGGGATAGAGCAGTGATTCTCCATTGTGATTAGGCACAGGGTGAAAAATTCCTGCCCAATGTGAAACACATTCCTGCCCCTCACCATCCTAAAGCCGTGAAGCCCTGGGATTGGCATTGAAGGCGCAGAATTTCAACAAGATGGGTGTGGCTGAAACCGGTTTGGTTCAGTGGATAGAGCATCAGCTTGCGGACTGAAAGGTCCCAGGTTCCATTCCGGTCAAGGGCATGTACCTTGGTGGGGGGAGTGCAGGAGGCAGCTGATCGATGTTTTTCTCTCATCAATGTTTCTAGCTCTCTATTCCTCTCTCTTCCTCTCTGTAAAAAAAATCAATAAAATATATTTTTAAAAAAACAACAACAAGAAGATGGGTCTGGTGAACAGGCTGTGCCAGCAGAAAGGAGGGTCCAGGAAGATACAGACTAGATGGTTCTATCAGCTCCTGCTCTTCAGGAGGTCACGGGTAACCATGGAAGAGAGAGTTTTGGTGGCATCGTGGGAGTGGAAGCCAGATTGCCGTGGGCTGAGAAGTGAATGGGAGGTGAGAAAAAGAAGACAGCAAACGTGGACCCCTTTTAGAGAAATTTGGGTGAGAGGCGGAGGCATGAGCTTCATCCCCCTCAAGGGCCACCTCCCATCTCCTGGAGCAAGTTGGCAAAGAGACTTTGGGAAATGTGGAGGCTGAGCCAGACATTTCAGGACCCGCAGAAGGCACCAGGGAGGCCAGGTGGGAATCGGCAAGGGCCTTGCACACCTCAGGCTACCACGTCTCCAAGCTAAACCCACAGTGCCTGTCTCCTGCCTACCGCTCCAAGTCCAGCCCACTATCTTCACCACAGAGTGATCTTTCCACAACCCGACTCTGACAACATGGCTGCTGGCCTTGAAACCCTCCAACAGTACTTTCCCCACCTCTCACCTCACCCCGGGGAACACCTACACCCCTGGCACTCAAAACCCTCCGACTTTTGTGGTCCCTTGCTTCACTCTGCATCTTCACCTCCACCCTCTTCACCCTCACCTCCCACTTGTACCACATTCACCCTTCACGCAGGCCCACCCAGTTCCCTGGTGTGTGTTCTCCACCCTCCTTAGCCCACTGGCCATGTACAGACTCAGTCAACTCAAGCACCACCTCTTCTGAGAGCTAGTTAACTCCCTCCTGGGAGAGAACCAGCACCCTGCCCACACCTCTGCCAGAGCACAGGCAGAAGGAATGATTCTGTGCCCGTTTTGTTGGCACAGCTGTCCCCTCGCTGGACTGTGCCTTCTCTGGAACCAAGGTCCTCATCTTATTCCTCTTTACATCACCAGAACCTGGCCAGGGCTGAGTTCCCAGTAGGTGCCAATGAATGTGCAGTGCCCACCACAAGGAGGTCAATGTTTACATGATCGCATATCCCCTTGAACCTTTGATCCAGGTTCTTGTTCCTTTCATAGTTGAATTAATATTTTCAGATTAACTTTCCCTCCTAAGGGGGAAAAAGGCATGGTCTGGGCAGCTGTGTCTTTAATTAGTTGTAGCATGTGCCCTGTGGAGGAGGACTGGCAGCTCTAGGAGGGTGTGCTCCAGTGGAAAGAGCCCTTGGGTTCATTCTTTCCTTGATTCTTTTTAAAAATATATATTTTATTTATTTTTTTACAGAGAGGAAGGGAGAGGGACAGAGAGTCAGAAACATCGATGAGAGAGAAACATCAACCAGCTGCCTCCTGCACACCTCCCACTGGGGATGTGCCCACAACCCAGGTTCATGCCCTTGACCGGAATTGAACCTTTCAGTCCACAGGCTGACGCTCTATCCACTGAGCCAAACAGGTTAGGGCTTTCCTTCATTCTTTCCTCTAACAAGTTATTAGCCTCTCTGCACCTTAGTTCAGGTGGGGTTATGAATCCTATAATCTGAAAGAATTGTGGTGAATATCGGGAGAGAGATCATTGCAAATGGTAGCAATTATTGGGCTTTGGAGATCCTACTAAACTTCAACTAAAGTAACACCTCAGTGTCACGACGCCAACAAATCGCATTCGTTATTTCAAATGACTAGAAGAAACTCCCCAGGCAATACTGCTCTTAAAAGTTTGTTTCTCTAAAATGGGAACTCCTGAACGTCCCTGCCGCCTCAGGCCCGCTGAAGACGACTATACGCTAAGCCCCGCCTCCCTGGGCGATAAGCCACGCCCCTTTCGTTCAAGCCTCCGCGTGAAGGGTCCTTCAACATTGAGGGACACTTTTATCCACCAATAAGAAGTAAATGTGGTGTCCACGTCCGGTGAGGGGCGGGACTTCCTTGCTGTTGCTAAGACACACTTGTTTTGCTCCCTGACAACCCTGGCGGGGGCGCGCTAGCTGCGGCCGGGCTGCAGCCCCCGCGGGAGCAGGTGAGGCCCGGGGGCCGGGCGGGCAGCCGGGTGGGGACGGCCGGCCCGAAGGGGAGCCGGGAAGCACCGCGGGGCGGGCGGGGCCTCGCCCACCGCGGAGGCCCCACCTCAGTCTCCTCCCTGCTGGTCCTCAGCCTCAGGACCTCCCAACCCCCATCCTCCCACTTAGCAGACTTGCGAGCGTGGTGGTGACAGATGCGCTGCCGCGATTCTGCAGACCGCTTACCCCCACCCCCACCCCCGCACCCCAACTCCTCCATCAAGGCCCCGTCACCCTTCGCGCTCCTCCAGACTCCCTGACCGAACCCGCTCCCACAACTTTGGACACCCCCTCCGGCCCCCACACAAGGTGTGATTCCCCCCTCTGGCGGCTGGGCCTGTGGTCGCCAGAGTCTTGGCCTGTTCCTCTTGACTTGGACAGTAGGCAATGTGCTGGGACTCCTGGCTGGTTATTCCCCTCTTTGGGCCTCAGTTTCCCCATCTGTAAAGGAGAAGTTGGGCCGAATGATCTCTAAGGCCTCTTGGACTCTGACGTTCTAGGATGTGATTCTTGGACCCACAGCAGGCTTCCCTGAGGACGTGCTTCCGTTGGAGGAATCGGGTGTAGTTCCAAGAACTCACAAACCTGGTGTGGATTCCCAGCAAGTTACGTAATCTCCCAGGGCTCCCTCGTAGAACATCAGGATACACAGAGCATCTCCTTTGGGAATTGTCAGGGTAATATGAAGTATAAGGAGTCCAGTCCAGTCTCTGTATTTGTTACTTTCCTTCCTTTGTCTCTTCCCCACATTTTCCCCCTCGGAAGTGCCACCAGCTCCCTTAGTGTGAGCTGTCTTTTCTCCATTTGACCCCCAAATCCAGATCTCCAGCTCTGTTCTTCTCCTGGGTTTCCATGGTTAGCCACACTTTGGGGTGGCGAGGTGTGTGTGTGTGTGTGTGTGTTAGAGATGGATGTGTTGATTGATGTGATGGTTGGATTCAATGGCTTCTCTTCTGCCCCTGATGATCCATGACTCGGTGATTACCTACTCTTGTGGAGACACCTCATTTGCCCATCTCACCGGCGACTTAAGCTCAGTCGCTTTAAAATCAGACTGGCAGCTCCCTATCCACCGGTCATACCTGACTTCCCTGTGTGTCTCAGGGCATCACCATCCTCCTGGGGCATCACCCATCATTGGGCCATGCCCATCCCACTCTGGCAGTTGTCCTGTGGCCTTGATTCTGCCTCAGCAGGATCTCACATCCCTTCCCTTCTGAAGTCGCCATCCTGGTTCACATTTTGATGTCTGTCACCTGGGCCATGGCTGTAGCTTCCTAACCCTCCCTTCTTCTGGTCCTTCTTCCCGTTAACTCCATTGTGTGAACGAGAATAGTTGCCCCAAACCACAGCCAACCCCCAAGAGACCTCCAAAGGGCTTCTCGTTCTGCACCAAAGACATGCCCCCTTGGTAAGCCCGGGTTTTGGGGCCCCTCTGCACTTCCACAACCTCACCCCCCTTTCCCCAGCCTTCTTTCTCCCTTCTCTTCGCAGCTTCTGACCTCCAGCCACACTGGCCTGTTGGACTCTCACAGAAAACGTCTGGAGCTTTCTGCTCTGACATCACCGTGTTTGTTCCCCTCTCTTTCCGGAAGCTCTTGTCCACCTGTTTTTTTTAGGCTCTGACTCAATGGCCGCCCCTGCTCTCAAGTTTTTCTTGCCGTCCTCTCCCTGGCCATCCGGAATTCTCCTCTTTCCTCTCTCTCGGCTTCTGTCTTGTGGCACTTACGCTCTCTGTCCTGAGCCACAGTTAGTTCCTTGTGTTTGTGTGTTGGTCCCTCCGGTTGTAAGCTTGAAAACAGGGACTGTCTCTTGCTTAAAGTGGAGTCGTTGGAAAAGCATAAGCCTGAGGTCATATATACTTGATGGAATCTTAGCTCCTCTATGAGTTAGCCAAGTGGAATGTCACTTTCCTCTTCTCAGCCTGCACGGTCACCAGAAGTAGGGATAACAGCGCCTGTCTGACGGGGTGGGGTGGGGAAGAACCCCTGTACGCAGAGCACCCATCCTGTTGCCTTGCTTAGGGCCAGTACTCAGTAAGTGTTACGGATTGAATTTGATATGTCCTCTCCCTTCCCAGGGGGCAAATGAAATACGATTTAATTACAATTTAGATATTTTTTGTTGTTGTGCCGTGTGCTAGACCCTGGACTTGGTGCTCTGGGGCATCTAGAATAAAGTCCTTCAGCCCTTGGTGACGGTCTGGAGTCCCGAGGCACTGCTAAGTAAGTCATGACTGGCTGAGAGATGTCACCAGTAATGAGCTACTGTGAACGGCATTTTAGCCCAGCCGGGGTAGCTCTGTGGTTGAGCATTGACCTACGAACCAGGAGGTCCCGGTTCGATTTCCGGTCAAGGCAGCTGATCAGTGATTCTCATCATTGATGTTTCTGTCTCTCTCTCTCCCTCTCCCTTCCTCTCTGAAGTTAATAAAAAAATGTTTTTAAAAAATTATTTTAAATAAGTGGTTAATCCTTTTGGCTAAGATGAAGCATAGGTACCTGCTCTCACCAGTTCATCGTCTGATATGTCCTCTCTCCGAGGACAATATATTTTCTTAAAGTGCTCACTTCTGCTTCTTTTCATGATAATGTCATTCTTAGTCTTTTATGTTCAACTCTGTTCTCTTGGGTGGGGAAGGGGAGGTGGGGGCTGGGTAACCTACTATCTCTGGTGAGTAGGCCGCTGTTCTCGGCCAGAGCCCATCGCTGCGGTGGTTATGACTTTGGGCTGTACCCTGCATCTTGACCAGAATGTTAGTGATTTCATCCCAATCTGAACCTCGTGAGTCCGTGTTATTTATTATGTCATGTTACACATAAAGAACGTGTCTTTTTTTAAATATATTTTATTGATTTTTTACAGAGGAAGAGAGAGGGATAGAGAGTTAGAAACATCAATGAGAGAGAGTCATCGATCAGCTGCCTCTTGCACACCCCCTCACTGGGGATGTGCCCGCAACCAAGGTACATGCTCTTGACCGGACTCGAACCGGGGAACCTTCAGTCCGCAGACCGACGCTCTATCCACTGAGCCAAACCAGTTTCGGCAAGAATGTGTCTTGATCGAGCACGCAGAGGGGCCGTTGGCTGAGGAGGAGCGGAAAGGGCAGGAAAGAGCAAGGCTGCCTCCGGCCTGGTGCGGGCCCTGGGAGGGGGCCAGCTTTGGTCCCCAGCAGGTTCAAGTGCGCCGGCCATGGGCGCACTTACATTATTAAAGGGCTCTTAGGTCTGATGGGACTGTCTGGCCTGCAGCTGACAGGTACACACGCGTTGGCATGGACGATGGATGAGGTTATTAAAACCTCCAGTTCTATTTTTGGGGGCGTCCTTTCACAGGGCTTTGAATCGTGTCTGAATGACGGTAGCTGTACTCGGATGGTGCAGCATCACAGAAAATTCTCCTGCCTTTCTCTCCTTGGAAGCACCATCTGTAACTTGCTTTTCCTTCTTGAACTCTCATCCCTTTTGTACCTGTGGTAGTTATGAAAGCTGTTTGCCATCATGTTCTTTAGTAAACGTGGTTGAATCACGTTGGCAAAGTCCTGGCTGCGGTCACGCCGGTAGGAAGAGCCGTGGAGGGTACCGTTCAGAGCTTTAGCATTTTCTGAGTGCGCATGCATGTCCTGGGCGCCTGCACAGCCTTCCGAAGCGCCGCTGGGATTGTGCCGTTTCACAGAGGAGCAGACTGGCTCCGGTGAAATCACTGCCCAAGGCCGCAAAGCGGGGCAGAGGGAGGAAGTTATTGCAGTTACAGAAATGCCGTTCCAGCCCAGACTCCGCCTCCTGGTCCCGCACCTTCTCTGCTCTGCAGGATGATGGCACCTCCCTCCTCCCCGACCCCCAACTCCCAATGGCTTGTCCCCATTGTTCTTGAAGAACGGGCTTTGTGACCCTTCCCAAGTCTGTCTCATTGGAATCGGATGCCAAAGGGTCCAAGTTGTCACCCTGCCCGCCCGCAGGACAGGCGTGTGCACAGTGGCCTCCAATCCCCTTCCCGGCCCACCATGCTGGCACTCTAGCCCAAGGATGAATTGAATCAAACCGAAATATTTAGGTGGAAGATACGTTAGCAGCTGCTTCAGCATTTTTTTAAAATATATTTTATTGATATTTTACAGAGAGGAAGGGAAAGAGATAGCTAGAAACGTTGATGAGAGAGAAACATTGACCAGCTGCCTCCTGCACACACCCCACTGGGGATGTGCTCGCAACCAACGTACATGCCCTTGACCGGAATCGAACCCGGGACCTTTCAGTCCGCAGACCGACGCTCTACCGCTGAGCCAAACCGGTTTCGGCTGCTTCAGCATTTTGAGAAATCTCAGGAGGTAAACTAGCCTTAAAGTCCTTATCCTCTGATCATCAGTGTCGCCGCCACCTGCGTCACCCCTTGGTAGCTGGAGGAGGAAGCAACGAAGTGGCCGGTAATAAAGGAGAGGGGCCGGATGGAATTGGCGATGGGCCGAAGGTGAATGAGCGAAGACCGGGATTCACTGGATTTTGTGACAGAAGAAGCACGAGCCGAAAGTACAATGAGTTTTGCTTGCTAACTTGCCAACCTTTCTGTAGAGCCAAACAAAACTACGAATATCTGAATGGTACTAGTGCCCACGATTGGTAAGAGGAGCCATCTGTCCACCGAGGAATCAGAAAATGCCAGTGTGGTGGGATGCTGGAACTGGTGCCAGGCGGGGGAAGCTGAGCAAGTGGAATGGCGCTGAGGGCGTCTGAAGCATGGGGTGGGGGTCGGGGCGTGGGGGGAGCTCAGTAGAAAGGCGCACGTTAAGCTCAGCGCTCGGCCAAACCAGGGCAAGTTAGCGTCCAAACAGCAGACACGGAGAGGGAAGATCCAGCGTTTACCTCCCACTGGAACCCGGGAGCCACGTCCTGGAGGTCCGTCTGACGGAGGGTCAGGAGTGCCCACACCAGAGCGGCCCAGACTCGCTGGCTGTGCCCTCGTGCCCTCCGCTCAGCTGTGCAGTGGCCCTGGCCTCTGCTGGTGCAGGACCGGACTCATGGGGAGTCGCAGCACTTTGAACCTGGAAACCTTAAATGGCACCGTCCTTACCTGTTCGCTACCACGCTAGGCACCTGTGGACATAACTTCGCTCGGAAATGTCTGAAAAGCTGGAGTAACGTGTCTGTGCTCTGTCTGTTTGAAGTGCATGTTAAAAAGGGTTTAACAACATGAGCACAGCCAGAAAAGGGCACTGATTTATAGTAGCACTTCTTCTGAGTTAAAAAAAATTTTTTTTTAAAGTCTTTGAATTATCGGATAAATATTAAGAGAAACACCGGATGTCCAGCAATGCCCCTGCCATTTAGGACCCAGGCCCGTCTCTTTAGGAAAAGCCCATCTGTGATTAGATAACTGGATGCGTAAAGGAAAAAACCTACGCCTGTGTCTTCGGCTTTATAGCTTCCCTGTCACGGCCACGGGCACTCTCTGGTTCCCCGGGAGCCAGGGGGAGGCAGGACAGTGCACGATGCCCACGTGTGCCTGGCACTGTGCTCGTTGCTTACGGACGCCGTCTCATTTGGTTCTCACGAGGGGGACGCTGACCGCCCTCATGTAGCTGAGGAGGTGTCTGAGGCCCCGGCCAGACGGGGTGTGCAGCAGAAGCAGCACTGACGCCCAGGCCTCCCACCCCTGGGCCTGCCAGCCCGGACACAGTGGGTGAGCGAGGCGAGAGCCTGGCATGCCAAGAGGACATGCACCGGGGGCCCCCGGAGGAGGCCTCGCTTTCCCAGAAGCCCCGGGTTGCCGGTCGTGACTGATGCTGTTCCGTCACGTCTGCTGAGAAGCGGGACCGCGTGCGCCGTGGGCTTGCAGGCTCCGTGCGTTCACTGCGGCTCCCGCGCCACCGCGGCCTGGCCCGCGCTCAGTGTTTGTCTTGATAACGGCGGCGTGGGCTGTGCGCCGTACATGCGCTCCTCGCCAGCGCCCGGCGTCTCGTGTTGACTCATCGCCCGTCGGCAGACTTGCTGGCCATTTGGCAACGGATGCGGAGGAGTGAGGACGGGAGGTGTCGGGTTGTCACTGAGACATTGCTAATTGGCGATGTGTGGTTTTGAAGCCAACTCTCCCCCGTTTCCCTGTTTCCCCAGCACCCCCGGGAGGACGTCTTCTGCTCCCAGCAAGCTGGCAGGGCCGCGTCCTGAGCCTCCTGGCTGTGTCCTCACTGCCCGTCCCGGCACCTGAGCCCCCCTCGCCTCCGGTGGTCCCGGTGAAGGATCATGGGAGAAGCAGAAGGGAAGAAAGATGAGGCTGATTATAAACGCCTGCAGACCTTCCCTCTGGTCAGGGTAAGCCCAAGGAGGGAGGCGAGAGGCAGTGGGGAAGGTGAGAGGGCTTTACTGGCTCAGAACCAGAGGTTTAGAAGTCAGCCGTCATTCGTTCACTCATTCATTCATTCATTCATTCATTCAACAAGTATCTATTTGGGCCACCCTGCACATCCTGGGCTGTTCTAGGCTGTGGATGTAGTTGTGAGCGAGACAGACGAAGGCTGGCCCACAGACAGGAAAGGTTTCAACAACAGTGTCCGTTCCTGAGTGAGGGTAGAGGAGGATTATGGGGAAAGGCGGGCTGTATTTTTGACACTGGGGTGAGGTTGTCAAGTAAGCAGTTGGATGTAGGAGTCTGGAGCACAAAGAGAGATTAAAACTAGGGAATAAGTTGTGGGACCCCTCCCCTGATATAAGATGAGTAAATCCTCGAAATAGGCCGGGGCCCTGGAAAGAAGAGAGTGGAGAGGAGGAAAGGGTAGAACCAAGCCCGGGGGGGCCCCAGCACCGGGACTGGGAGGGGATCCGCCAAGTGGGCTGAGAAGCGCAGCCGAGAGGCAGTGAGAAACCAGGAGCCGCGAGGCCTCGCTGTCTCCAGTGAGGGCAGCGGTGTCCGAGGGAGGCAGCCCGTGAACCATTTTCTGAGCCGCATTCACTCCTGCTGGCGGCCACCTCCCAATCTGTTGGCTGCAGGTGGTGCGACAAGGCTTCCAGAAGGCAGAGGGCCTGGGCCTTGGAGCCCCCAGGTCCCAGCTGTGCGCCCATCAGGAGCTGCCAGGGCACTCGCCCAGTGTCCGTGCCTAAGTCTGGGACAGAGGCCAGCCCCCAGGCCCCGGCTGAGCCTCTCTGTCTGTCCCCCGCCCTGTCTCTAGCACTCGGACATGCCAGAGGAGATGCGAGTGGAGACCATGGAGCTGTGTGTCACGGCCTGTGAGAAATTCTCCAACAACAACGAGGTATTGCTGTGGTGCAGGCGCCCTCCTGCCTCTGGTGGCCCCGTGGTGCATCAAGTACCCTGTCGGCACAGCCAGCCCAGAGGGTCCTGAGGGACAGGCTAGAGCTTGCGTAGCCTGGGGAAGGTGGTGAGGGCGAGGCCGGTGCTGTCTGTGGGCACTGTTCTGGCAGTCACGTCAGCCCTCGAGGGAGGAAAGCCAGAGGGGTCCCGGTGACGCCCCTGCCCCCTGCCCTGTCTCAGGGGGGCTGCTGGATAGGGCACCTTCCCTTGGCTCCCTGCCAGGGGAGAACAGGCCGCCCAGGCATTCATTCGCATTTCCATTCATCCATTCGGAGATGTTAGACCCATCTCCGTGCCAGGCACTGTCTAGGCCAGTGGTCGGCAAACTCATTAGTTAACAGAGCCAAATATCAGTAGTACACGATTGAAATTTCTTTTGAGGTCCAAATTTTTTAAACTTAAACTTCTTCTAATGCCACTTCTTCGAAATAGGCTCGCCGTGGTATTTTGTAGAAGAGCCACACTCAAGGGGCCAAAGAGCCACATGTGGCTCGCGAGCCGCAGTTTGCCGACCACAGGTCTAGGGCATCCACACGATTGTTGTTATCAGTCGCTACTGGTGCTGAGAGAGAAGTCGGTGTCATGGCAGCCGGCGGGGAGGCGGACCCTGGCCAATGAGGGCCAGGCTCTGGCCAGCCAGCCCCACGCTGAAAGCTCACATCCAGCCCTTCTAGCTCTTTCACCTTCACCTAGGAGGAGCCATTCCTCATCTCTGAGCCGTTTCGAGTCTAAACTTGGGCAGTGGGGAGGACCTGTGCCCTGAGTGCTCACATGGCACCTGGCACCGCAGTGGGTGCTACTGGTGCCAGCAGATGCCTGCGCCTGGGCCTTGTCCCCCAGAGCCTGGGCCTCGCCCTCCCTAGGCCCCTTCCTGAGAGTGAGCACAGAGGAGGGCCATGCATGGCTGAGGGATGCAGTCCAGCTCCTCTTCCGGGAGCCATGTACCCTTCAGGGAACAGTCTTTGTCCCGAGGGGTAACCCAACGCCTGGCAGCGACGACAGCCCTCAGGGCGCTCCGGGCTGTGACTCACAGCGCTGAGAACAGCCTGGTGCTGACCCAGAAACAGCTGCCAGGACTCTGTGTCCAGCCTGAGGCCTGCTCTGCCCCCTCGGCCACCTTCCTGACGGGGAGGGTGACCTGGCGGGAGGGGCCTCCTGGCACCATGCTGGTTCCCGGGCAGGACAGCAGGACCAGGAGGCAGGCCTTCTCCTCCCTCCGCTTCCCTTGCACCCCCCAACGAGCGCCCCTTGTTGCAGAGTGCCGCCAAGATGATCAAAGAGACGATGGACAAGAAGTTTGGCTCCTCCTGGCACGTGGTGATCGGCGAGGGCTTCGGGTTCGAGATCACGCACGAGGTGAAGAACCTCCTGTACCTGTACTTCGGGGGGACGCTGGCCGTATGCGTCTGGAAGTGCTCCTGACCCTGCCCCTCCCCACCCCGCCTCCGGACAGGGCGCAGCCCCAGGCAGGGCCCAGCTTTCTGAGGGCGAACCCGGCTCTGTCCGTTGTCCGTGTCCCCGTGTCCTGAGCCAGGCCCCGTGTGTGAACTGTCCCCAGGCTCCCAGCCCTCCCTCTGAGGCCCGGGGTGTGAGGGCAGCAGCCGTGGTCTCCGTGCAGGAGGCCCGGCCATGTGACAGGTGGGGGGTGGGGGGGGAGGTAGGCTTCTCCCTCGGGGACATGCCAGCCTCACATCTCCCGGGCTACCCCCTGGCATTCCGAGCCTCGTGTCTTCCACCCATGGCTGCTGGCACATGACCCCTGCTCTTGTCGTTACGTATGCAAATGGCCCCAGGAAGGAGCCTCCCTTCCAGGGCCACCGGCAGCTTCTCTCCTCGTCCTCCATCCTCCAGGGAAGTGGGACTCCCCAGAAACCCCTTCCCCCCTCCCCCGAGCTGACCCCCGGATGAGTGACCACTGCATCTCATGCAGCCCCAGTTACGGCCTGCTGACCAAGCAGCCTTCCCCACCCCCACCCCCACCCCCAGCCTCCCCCCAGCCACCAAGCTTCGTCAACCCTTTCCACTCCCCCGGCCGCAGCTGGGAGCCCGTGGCGAGGGTGTGGGTTTCTGAGTGTCACTGAGCCTCCGGGCCCTGGGCCAGGAGTGCCCTCCCCGAGGCCGTCTCAGCAGGGAACCTGGCCTGCCAGTTACTCTCATCAGGGACCGCATGCTGATTTGTACTTCTCTCTGCTGGGTTTTCTAGATTCTTTTTGAGTGTGGGGAGAGTGTTTTGGTAGAAGGATGAATCCTATTTTACATAGCGGTCTTATTTATACAAATGTCTTGGTTTTTACAATTAAAATGGCCAGAAACGGACGCCATCTGCAGCCTCTCGAGGTTGGGGGAGACGTGGTCAGGATCCTCAGTGTGGTGTGTCCCAGACACCGAGGGGCGTCTGGCCAGACAGAAGGTCGTGGAGCCCTGAGCCCAGGCACAGCCCCTGGCCCCGGGCCGGCCCTGCCCCATCCCTCTTGTGTTCGGGCCGAGTGCAGTTGGATGGGGCCATGGGGACACTGACTGGGTCGCCTTGGTGGCCAGTCTGAGCTCCTATCAAGATGGTTCAGTGTCACATGATTTAATTCAGATCAAAGATGTTTGTCCCACAGCCATCGAGTGCCAGGCCCCAGGAGTGCGGATGCCAGGATGGGAAAGCCACAGAGCTCTCCCTCTGAGCTCACAGCCGGTCAGGAAGGAAAACTAAACCCAGTCTCAACCGAATGGAAACTGATGTGATGAAAGTTAGGACAGGGCATCTGGGAGGACGGGCTGCACACCCAGGGAGTAGGGAGGGCCCCTGGCAGGTGAAGCCTGAAAGCCACCTCCTTCTCTTCCTTCCGCTCCCCCCACCCCCCCCAAAAAAAAAAAAAAGAAGAAGAAGAGGGGGAGGTATGCTCAGGTGACAATTAGAAAGAAAAAAAAAGAAAAAAAGTGCAGCACGAGCCAATGCCCTGTTTTCCTTTTGTTCTCCTCCTCTGGTATTTAAAGCAGCCTCCTCCACTGCCAGCTGCTCCTTTCCTCCTCAGAAAGGCGGGTGCGGGCGGGTGGGGGTGGGCGTGAACCCGGGCAGATGATCTGAATCGGTATTAATATTCTCAGACTATCGGGTGCCTCCGTGTGCCGGGCACTTCACCAAGCCTTTGCACCCTCTGTCCATGTCCTGGTCTCCTCACAGAGTGCTCCCATCACTGTGAGGAGGCCAGTACCCCCCTTTGTTCAGACGAGGGCTGCAGCCCACAGAGGCTAAGCTCCAGGCCACACAGCAGCTGAGTGGCAGAGCCAGGGTTCACCGTAGGCCAGCCTGTGGCCTGGAGCCCAGCTTACGCCCTCTCCAGGCTCAGCCTCCAGCTGGACAAGCCACTTGCTCCTCCATCATCTCAGTTTCTTCAGCTGCAAAACAAGGTTCAAAGCTCCTGCCTGGTCTCCTTCCCAAGGTTACTGTAGGGCACTGGGGAAGTGGTGGCCACCAATGTGGAAGGATTTGGGTCAGGGTCAGTCTGAGGAGCCATCCCTCAGCCTTGGGGATGATCAGATGGATGGATGGATGGATGGATGGATGGATAGATAATGAAAGGATAGATGGATGGGTAGATGGATGATGGATGGATGGATGATGGATTGATGAATGGGTAAATGATGGACGGACAGATGGATGGATAGATGATGGACGGACAGATGGATGGATAGATGATGGATGGACAGATGGCTGATGAATGGATGGATGGATGGATGGAAGGATGGGTGGAAGTCTTTTCTAGGAAGCTTTGAGCATCAGGGTACATGAAGTGGGCACTCCTCTTTTCTCCCATCTTGCTGAATGTTGCATACACCATTGGGCGCTGGAATGGCTGGAGACGGCCAGTCCCTGCCATTCCGCAGTGTTCCCTACCCACTGTGACCTTGGCCACAAACCCAGCTAATGCGGTGAGCGCTGAGCTCCCATAGGCTGGGGGTGCCAGGGAGAGGCCTCGATGCCCGGATTGCCCAGAGGGCATCTCAAAAGAAGTGACCTTTGAGCTGGGCCTGAAAGGGGTTTTCTTAGGCCCCAGGGAAGTAGGGAGGGGTCAGGGCATAGCAGCCAGAGGAGCTGTGGGCGGGGAGTGGGCAGGGCTGGGGCTGGGTGGGGCTGGGTGGGGCATACTCATGCTGCCAACCAGAGGCAGGGAGTCCTGGAGGCTCCTGGCAGAATTCGATGCCATAGAACGAGGAGCACTAGACTCCTTTCCCGGCACGGAGGGCTGACGGGAGATGGCCAAGGGCCATGAGCCGGACTGTGAGCTGGGGTGCAGGCACCAGGGAGCTGCCTCCTAACCCATCTCCCCACCCACATCCATAGATAGATAGATAGATAGATAGATAGATAGATATTTCAGAGAGGAAAGGAGAGGGAGAGAGAAAGAAACATTAATTATAAGAGAGAATCATTGATCGGCTGCTTCCTGCACGTCCCCAGCTGGGAATTGAGCTCACAACCCAGGCATGTGCCCTGAGAGGGAATCGAACCATGACCTCTTGGTTCATAGGTCAACACCCAACCACTAAGCCATGCCGGCTGGGCCCCACTCAAAAGTAACCAGGAGGACCACACTGCCTCTACCACGAGGTAACCCCTACCACATAGCCTTCCCACTGCCCCAGGATAAAGCCCAGTTTCTCATCCACCTGCCAGACCCAGCCTGGCCTCTCTGCCTCTCAGCAAGGCCCGCTGCCTGGGCATCCAGGGCCAGCCCTGACCCTTGAGGGCCAAGCAAATGGGCAGACCCGCCAAGCCAGACCCTGGACACCTACTCCACAAGAACACTCCCGTGTGGGCATGCGCTGTACACCAGCGTGACCCCTGGGCCCACCCTGATGGAGGAGGATCGTGGCCTTGGGTCTGGCCAACTCACCGCGAATCCCATCCCCCAGCCCTGCTCTCCCGGCCCCATGTGTGCCTTGCATCCAGAAGTCTGGGGAACCCAGGCAAAGTTAATCATGCCCCCAAAATGACAGGACCTCCCTCCAACATGTCAGCTCTGCCCCCGGCTGGCTGTGTGCGCTCGGAGCCCCTCTCGGGGCACATCTCCGCTGACCCAAGGGCCTCCTTGTGGTGCACCTTTCAGCCCCCCCTCCACATGGTACACTCCTCCAATCCCGCTGTATCCTGCTATAGATCTGTTCTACCACTAGGAGGCCCGTCTACACGGTGGCGTGGGGCGACCTCTTGTGGCCATATGTGGGCACAACACGGCTCTCCAGCAGCTGCTTTGGCCAGGGCCGGGTGGAGGGCGCCGAGGGTGCTGGGTGAGCTCTGCCTACACCTGCTCCTCTCAGGCTCAGAGACCAGAGGCCGCCTCTCAGGTTCATCGGGCCCACGTGGGAAAAGGTGTGGTGGCTTTGAGCCTGTCAGGCCTAACTTCCTTCTGTTCTTCGTTAGCAAACATGGAGCACCTACTGTGTGCTCTGCCTGTGTGGGTACTGGGGCAGCAGGTCCCCACCCTCACTGAAGTTATGGTCCTACCCCTCCACTTTGCACTGAGCGCCTCCAGTGACTGCCTGCTCAGCAGGCCCCGCCTCACAGGGCTGCAGAGATGATGGAGGCCCAGGGGCTCAGGACCAGGCTCCTCAGCAGGTCACATCCGCTTCTCCTCCCCTGTGCCCTTCCCCCTCTCCCCTCTCCCCTCCCCCTCCCGAGCACCCAGAAAAGCTCGAGTCCAGTTGTGGAACCAGGGCTTGCCGAGGAGGACGACAGGAGGAGATGGACCCGAAGCTCACAGCCTCCGAGAAGGGAGGCAGAAGGGGCACCGGCTCTGAGGGCTGGGAGGGAGCTGGCGGGTTGGGGTGCGGTGGGGCGTGCGGTGGAGGATCTGAGGTGGGAGCTGTGGGCTGGGCCGAGGCCGGAAGAGGAAGACTGAGAAATTGCCTCAGTTATGAATAACCACAGCCCCTTGGCCCCAAGAGCAAAGCTGTTGAGAGTCAAACCCGGGAGGAGGAGGGGGTAACCGAGCAGAGCAGTGCAGGGCAGGCCGGGATGGGGTGGGGGGGGAAGGCTGGCGACCTGAGGCCCCTCAGAGCCTGTGTGGCAGGAGAGGGGCAGGCAGCCAGCAGGAGAGGAGGAGGGACGGTTAGAGCAGGCATCACACACACACACACACACACACACAGCTGCCCTGCACCTGCGGCAGCCACTGCTGGGTGTGGAGGCAGGGCGTGTCCTGGGGGCTGGTGGCGTCAGGGAGGATCAGGCCAGTGAGAGGGCTGCGCCTGGCTTTGGGAGGGACCGTGAGGCAGCTCGCTCAGCCCCTGCTGTGGTGAGGAGCGCTCTGCAGCTTGCCCAAGGTCCTGTCACTCCCACTGGCAGCCCCAATCTACTGTGTTGTACACACACAGGCATGTACATACATGCACACACACATGTGCGCGCGCACACACACCCCAGCTGCAAGAGGGGAGTTTCTCTCTCTCTCTCTCTCTCTCTCAAATGTATTTTATTGATTTTTTACAGCAAGGAAGGGAGAGGGATAGAAAGTTAGAACATTGACTAGCTGCCTCCTGCACACCCCCTACTGGGGATGTGCCTGCTACCAAGCAATATGCCGTTGACTGGAATCGAACCCGGGACCTTTCAGTCTGCAGGCCAATGCTCTATCCACTGAGCCAAACCGGTTTCGGCAGGAGTCCTCTCTTGGGCCAGGGTGATAAAGGGGCAGCCCCAGGCCTCCCCTGGCTGATGCCTCCCACCTTCCCACTTTTCAGCATCGAGAAGGCAACCCTCTGGAGCCCTCAGTTCCTGACACCAGGCCCTTCAGCCCGAGCGACGGCCGGTGGGGGTCTCCGAGCCCGGGAGGCCCTGGCCAGAGGCAGGCCCTGCTGGAGCCGATGCCCTCAGAGGCGCTCAGGGAGGGCTCCCTGGCTGGTGGGGCGGAGCTGAGCCAATGAGCACATTTAGCCAAGGAAGTCCTGCCCGCCCCAGGGGTGTGCCACCGAGGCCTGTCTCCCGGACTCCCCCCTACACTCCTGCACCTTCGCTGGGATGGCGCTGAGTGACTCACGCTGGAACACTCTTCCCGTGAGGCTGCAGTGCTGAGAGCTGGTGCTGAGTGAGGAGGCCCCTCGCCTTTGCCCTGCATGGGAAAAGCATGCGGCCACACCAACACTGACCCGTCCTGTGCCGCACCTTCCCCAGGCCCCGGAGAGCTCCCAGCCCACCTCATCTGTCTACAGCCCCGGCAGCCAGGGAGGGCTGTATTGCTGTCCCATTGCACAGGCGGGGAAGTTGAGGCTGGGCAGGGGTAGAGTGTGTGTGGATAGAGGGCGCTCAGGACATGGGGACACAATGCGGGAGCCATTCCTTCTGCCTTGGACATTGGAGCTCATCCTGGAACCTTCTTAGCCTGTCAGCAGCCGAGAGAGAAACGGGGACGGGTTCCAGGCCACGAGGATGGGCCGTTGAAGACCCAGCTGGTCAGGCCGTTCGCTGATGCCTGTGGCGCGGCCCTGAGGTGGGTGTGTGGGGCAGAGATGACGGAGGCACAGGCACCTGAGAGCCTGCCTAAGGGTGTGCACCGTCTGTCCCTGGACCAGCGCCTGCCGCTCCGGGGACTGGACTTCCTCCAAGAACTGGGAAGGGCAGAGATGCTGAGTGAGAGCTGAAGATGAAAGAGCTTTGCCAGCTGGGCGGGGCCCACAGCACATCGCACAGAGGCAGAGAAACAGCCCGAGGTTGGGGGGGGGGGATCCCCGAGATTACTGCCTCTCCACAGCTGCCAAACCTGCTCCTCAGCCAGGAAGCTTGGCATTAAGTCCCTGCCCCCGGCCCCCAATGAGGATTCTCAGCTGTGATGGTCTAATGACAGACGCAGACGCCCGGTGGCCGGGAGGAAGGCGTGGCGGTGGCCTTGGCTGCAGGAGCTGGCGGTGTCCCCACTGGTGTGGGCACTTGACACAGGCACTGAGGACCCCCTCGGACCAGTCCCTGGCCCACATATCCGGGCCCATGGGGGAGGCAGGCAGGTACACAGACCACCATGTGGGGGTGCCAGGGGGACGCCCCGGTCTCTAGAAGCACAGAGGAGACACCTGGCTTGACTAGGAGCCCAGGACAGACCATCCCCCCCCCCCCATGCCCTCTGACAGGCCCAGGGCCATGCGGCCATCCCTGCGGATGACAGGACGGCTGGGGGCACTCTCACCGTCCAAAGGAGGAAAGGCTCAGAGGTGGGTGCCAGCCCGGCTCAGAGCAGGTGCTGCCCAGCCTGGAGCCAGGGCAGCAGATGCCCGTCCTCCTCGTGGCCACACAGCCACACTGACCGGGACTGGGAGCAGAGGGAGGGCCGGCCACCCGCCCTGCGAACAGAGCAGACATGGCGCCTGGGGCCGGGGTGCTTTGGGGCACACCGAAATGTTTTCATCTGCTTTTCTTTTAAACTCAGAAGGAACATTAAATACCCTGATAATGAGTAATTACCATGGATGAAGCCTAGACTCCAGCCACCTCCTACCAACGTGGTCATGAAAACATGTTTGTGAAGGAAGGGGCCACTAAGGCAAACGTGTCTGGCCATGAAGGAGATCATCACGTGGCCCCCTGCAGTGGCTGCTCTGTCAGCACCACGACCCTGCTCTGGCGGGCAAAGCCCCACCCCACCGGCCACTGTTCAGGGGAGGACCGTGATGGAAGGAGGAGTAGATCGGGGCTGGGGGAGGACCAGCCAAAGGAATGGCAGCCAGGCAGAGGGGAACGGGGAGGGCAGAGAGGCTGAGCGAGCAGATGGCAGGGAGATGTGGGAGGGGGGGGGGCAGGGGGGTGGAGAGAAGAGAGGTGGGAGACGGGTGTCGGTGAGGACAGCCAGGACCGAGGGAGGGGCCTGTGTATCATGGGAGCCTTACACAAGCATCTCCCAGCTCCTTTTCCTTCCCAATAGCTGCTGTGGCGAACTTCCACATGCTTGGTGACGTACAGGGGCAGAAACTTTCTCCCCGTCCAGACGGCCGGGCGTCCAACATCAAAGCCACTGGGCAGAGATCTGGGCGGAAACCAAGCTGTCGCAGGGCCGCGCTCCCTCTGGAGGCTCCAGGGGAGCATCCATCGCTCTCTCCCAGCCCCTGGTGGCTGCCAGCATTCCTGGTCTGTGACCACATTCTCCATCTCTCTGTCGTGGCCCCACTGCCCTCTCCTCCTCTGCCTCTCTTCTAAAAGGACACTGATTGCACGGAGGGCCCGCCCTGGTAATCCAGGATAGTGTGTGCGCTCAAAATTCTTGGTCTAATTGAATCTGCCAAGACTTCCCCAGTGTTGGCAATGTTCACAGGTTCCAGGGAGTGGGACCTCACGTCTTCGCGTCTTCGGGGCCCATTATTCACCTACTAAAGGCGCCTGGAGGCCGCAGTGTGCGAGGGCCTGCCTCCCCCCGGACTGTGGCCACGGCCTGGCCTGGACCAGTGGAAGGCACATGGCCTCCCGCTTCACAAACCAGCACGTCCTGGCAGGGAGGTCGTTGTGCCAGGACGCTGGGGGAGGGGACGAAGGCTCTGCAAGGGAGATGGTGGATCTGGAGACTCCACCGGGATCGGCTAGGACAGGAGGGGAGTGAAGCGCCCTGGCGAGGAGATGGTCAAGGGAGAGCCCTGCCCCTCCCCGTTCGCTGCCCCTGAATCTGACTTCCCGCAGGAACTCAGACTCCAGCCGGGCGCTGTGCTGGGTCCGACAGAGCTCGCCCTTGGCCTCAGGGAGCTCCCCATCTAACCCAGCAACAGCACTGGCAGCACCATTGTCTTCAAGATGCCCTCAGTACAGGTGAGAGGCCAAGGGCGGGCAGAGGGTCAGTTTTTGTACACAATCAGATTCAAATGTCCTCAGTGCCCTATGGAGTACTTCCTTCCTGTCCTGTCTCTGAGATTTTGTCATCTCTCGCCTCTTCCTCTTGGCACTTCAAAGTGAAATAGTGACAGCCTGTTCTGCCTTCCGCTAAAGAGCTTGCAGAGGAAGCCACTCCTCCCGGCTGGGTCTGTGGGGACCCAGGGCACAGGACCCCCGGGCCGGCGGGTGAGGGCAGGCAGCCTTTGCCTAGTTGGCATCCATCCCCGCTCCTCTCGGACAGCCTGCCTCCGAGCACCAGCTCCCTCCTCACAGCGGAGAGAGGCTTCCGCAGGGGGACTGGGGGGGCCCTGGGGACAGATTGGGCAACGGCAGAGCCCCCTGCCATGTCTGAACCCCCAAATCCACCTACAATGGGAAACGCGGGCTTGGATGTGAAGAGAACCTTCTAATCTCAATGTGTGACTTGAAGCAAATCACTTAAGGCCTCTAGGAGCCGGTTTCCTTATCTGTAAAATGGGTGTCCAAAGGCTAGGACACAATTACGCAGGCGCCGTGGATAGTTCATGGAGAGTTCAAGGGGAGCTCGCTACTCACTACGTGGGTGGCCCCCCTCGGCCATCCTCCCGGACAGATGTGCCCACCACCCAGGCCTGCAATCTGCCGGCATTCCCGCCTCATCGAGTCAGCCGGGGGCGCTGGGAGGCCGCGGCCCGGAGGCCACGCGAGGTGCGCGGCGCGCGAGGGCGCCCCCGGCTGTGTGACCCCCTGGACCGGAGTCAAGTGACAGCGAGACCCAGCCGACCGCCCCCGCCCCCGCCCCGCCGGCCGCTGAGTCCCCGGCGCCCAGACGTCGCCCTCGGCCCGCGTCTCCCACGCGCGGCCTCCTCCCCGGGCGCGCCCGGCCCGCGGGGCCCACGCGGCGGGCGGAGCCGGCCGGGGCCTTTGTGTTCAAACCGCCCAATGGGCGGCGGGGGGCGGGGCGGGGGCGGGGCCTGGCCAATGGGCGGCGGCCTGTCAGGGCTGACAGACAGGCGCACACATACACACTCGGCCACGCGCGCGCCGCCCGGCCCCACTCGCGCGGCGCAGTTGTGCGCGGGCCGCATTGTCCGCCGCTCCCGCTGCCGCCCCGCGCCCGCCGCCGCCCCCTGCGCCCGGCCCGCACCCAGAGCCTCCCGATCCCGGCGCCGAGGGGCGCGCCGGGGGCAGCGCGGGCCTCGCACCCCGGCCCCGCGGAACCGCAGGTAACACCGGCCGCCGGCCCCGGCGAGCAGCCGCGAGGGGCGGGGAGGGGGTGGCCGGCCCTGTCCGCCTCCCGCGGCGCCGGGCCCCGCCTGGCCCCGGTCATGCCTGGGCCGCTCCGGCCATGGCCGGCTGCCGGCCTGCTTCTCCGGCCGCTGGGCCCGGCTCCAGCCCCGCCCGGGCCCGCCCCTGGGCCGGCCGGGAGCGGCCGCGGTGCCCGGCCGGCGGCGCCCTGACTCACGCCCGGCCCCCGCCCCGGGCCGCCGCCCGCCGGTCCCCCCGGCGGATGTCCCCAGGCGGGACTTCCCGGGGCAGGACCTCCCTCCGGGGAGGAGAGTGCCCATGTCCCCGTGCCAGGCGGGCCGCGTCCAGGGACAGGCAGTGCCCTGCCGCCGCCTTTCACAACTCCGGGCCGGAGTTCTAAAAGGACCCAAACAAGCGGGGGGCGGGCGGCTGTGGTCGGTGAACGTCGCCGCCGCCGCCGGGGCGGGGAGGGCGGGGAGCTGGCACCGGAGCGGCTCAGGCCCGGGAGGAGACTGGCGGGCTGGGCCCCGAGTGGAATGGCCCCAGAAGCACCTAGGATCTGCGTCCAGGCTGGACCCTGAGTAGACAGTGTCCTGAAGTTTGTGATGGGCACTGGGGAAGGTGGCACTGAGAAGAGGATGTGGCCCAGCTCAGAAGTGGGGAGGGATGCCTGATCCTGTGTGTGTGTGTGTGTGTGTGTGTGTGTGTGTGTCGGGGGCGTTGTCTACTCTCCTATGCAAAAGACCTGAGCTTCTAGAAGCTAATCTGCTGTTCTGTTTTGGAGGAGGAAACCTTGACCTTTTTCCTCTTGTGAAACCCACACTCCGTTGCAAGCTGTTTTGTGTTCCCAGCGTGCCCCAGAGCGACCGGGCCCTGGGGAGGCCGCAGGGCTGACAGCTCTCAGCTGCCCCCTCCTGTCCGCGGCCGTATGAATATGTATGCCCGGCCGCCCAGTGCTGTGTAAACACATGGCTTTGTTTCTGCCCCTTGGCGGAGGCCTCCACGCAGCGGGGCGGGCGTGGGGGGGGGGCGGTGTGGGCAGCTGGAGCCCCAGGTGGGGAGGGCAGGAGGGGAGAGAGTTACCATATAAGGCGAGGAATAGAGACCAGAACCCAGGCCCACTTCCGGCTTCGGCTACTGCCACCAGCCCTTTACCAAGCCCGGCTGGAGCCAGAGGGAGATGTCAGGTGAGCGTCCCGCCCCAGGAGACGCCAGTGAGACCCAGACGTGAGGCTGCTTGTTCTTCAGAAGAGAACTTTCTAGAACCCGCCAGCTGGACGAACCAGACCTTCTGGTTTCCGTAGCCTGAGTGGGGATGTGTTAGAGAGAACTAGTCATTTAAATGTCTCAGAAGCGATAGCAGGTGTCAGGGACCAGGACCTCTGAGTGGGCTGAGGTCCCGTGACTGACGTGGCTGGCAGAGGTGTGTGGACGGAGATTCTGAATGTGGGTTTCTGGAGCTTCTTAGTCCTCCCGTGGCAGGACTGCCCGTGGGTTTTTTTGTTTGTTTTTGTTTTTTTAAAGAAGAGCCCACACTTGTTCTTTTTTTGTCTTGCTGTTAATCCTCACCTGAGGATACTTTTCCATTGGTTCTCAGTGAGAGTGCAAGGGAGAGAGACAGAAACATCCTTGTGAGAGGGCACATCAAAGGGCTGCCTTCACACATGCTCCATCCAGGGCCAGAGCCTGCATCCGAGGTACATGCCTGTGACCGGGATGGAACCCGGGACCCTCCAGTCTGCAGGCCAACACTCTTTCCACTGAGCCAGACAGGCCGGCGCAGCACAGCACAGCACCTTTTGCCAGGCCTCCCCGCCCCCCACCTCCTCGGCCTCATCGGTTCCAGCCTTGGCTTCCGCCCCGTGTTCCCACACTCTGCTCCACTGCCCTTTTCGTTAGTTTGTTAGCAAATGTCTGTTGTGTAACAACTTTCTCTGCAGCCCGTTCTGAGCATATCTGAGGCCGCGGGGGCGCTAGCTGGGGCCACGCCACACGCTCCTGAAACAACCTGTCACTTCACGGTGGGTGGGAAGAGCCAGCGCTGTCACATGTCAGATCCGAGCTACACCCCGGCTCAGTCACTGAGGGGCTGGTGCTGTGGGCAGGTCACCCATCAGCCGGGTCCCAGGCTCCTCCGCTGTCTGCTGGACTAACGATGCCTGCCTGGCTTGTAGGAGCCAGGTACCTAGGAGGCATTTACTAAGTGTGTTATCATCACCATGACAGCGAGATGTGCTGATGCGGCGGAATAGCAGCTAGCCAAGGGGACAGAGTTGCAGGGGCTGGGCCAGGGGGAGGGGCCCGGTGTCACTGTTTGGCCGGGGCCCTGGTCTCTGAGGGGAGCTGCAGGAAGAAAAGGAGAGCGTGTTCCCCTGGGAAACGGCTGGGATGAGCGTGGAGCCTGCTCTGGGGAGCGGCCCGGCTGGCGGGGCTGTGCGGGCGGCAGTGAGCCAGGCCTCCTTCAGCATCTCCTGTGTGTGTGCCTCACGTGCCACATGCAGGGCTGCGGAAGGCCAGTCCTGCCTCTCACGGAGCTCAGTGACAGATAAACCGAAAACTAACAAGCCTGGCAGGTGCGGGCTGCAGCCGGGGCGGGGTGTCTCCCTCATCGCAGGCTGTGCTGAACGAAAAAATGCCTGGTCTCTCCCCCGCCAGGTAGGGTCTCCCAGGGCCCCAAGCCTCACCTGCCAGCCTTTCTCTCCAAGACTCTTCAGGGGAAGGTCCCCATCCCGCCTCGCCATGTCCCGTCGAAGCCAGCGCCTCACCCGCTACTCCCAGGCAGACGATGACGGCGGCAGCAGCAGTGGCGGGAGCTCAGTGGCGGGGAGCCAGAGCACCCTGTTCAAGGACAGTCCTTTCCGGTAGGGGATTGCCACCCCCATCCTTACCCCCACCCCCACCCTTACCCTCACCCCCACCCCCACCCTCACCCTCACTCCCACCGCCACTGTCACCCCACCCTTACCCCCACCCTTACCCCCACCCTTACCCTCACCCTCACCCTTACCCTCAGCCCCACCCTCACCCCACCCCCACCCTCAACCCCCACCCCCACCCCCTCCCTCACTCCCACCCCCGCCCTCACCCCCAACCTTACCCTCACCCTCACCCTTACCCTCACCCCACCCCCAAACTCACCCTCACTCCCACCGCCACTGTCACCCCACCCTTACCCCCACCCTTACCCTCACCCTCACCCTTACCCTCAGCCCCACCCTCACCCCACCCCCACCCTCAACCCTCACCCCCACCCCCACCCTCACCCTCACTCCCACCCCCGCCCTCACCCCCACCCTCACCCTCACCCTCACCCCCACCCTCACCCCACCCCCACCCCCACCCCCACCCTCACCCCCACCCCCCCCCCCACCCTCACCCCACCCCCACCCTCACCCCACCCCCACCCTCACCCTCACTCCCACCCCCGCCCTCACCCCCACCCTTACCCTCACCCTCACCCCCACCCTCACCCCACCCCCACCCCCACCCCCACCCTCACCCTTACTCCCACCCCCACCCTCACCTCACCCTCACCCTCACCCTCACCCCCACCCTCACCCCACCCCCACCCCCACCCCCACCCTCACCCCACCCCCACCCCCACCCCCAACCTCACCCCACCCTCACCCCCACCCCACCCCCACCCCCACCCTCACCCTCACCCCCACCCTCACCCTCACCCTCACCCTCACCCTCACCCTCACCCTTACCCTCACCCTCACCCTCACCCTCACCCCCACCCCCACCCCCACCCCCACCCCACCCCCACCCCACCCCCACCCCCACCCCCACCCTTACCCTCACCCCCACCCCCACCCCACCCCGCCCCCACCCTCACCCCACCCCGCCCCGGGGATCGTGCTGCGGCCAGAGCAGCGGGCTGGGCATCCCGGCCCGGCCTCTCTCTGTCCTGCCTTCACGGGTGGAGATAAGTGCAGGGCACACCCCCTCCTCTGAGGAGCCAGGGTGAGTACCACTTCCCTCTGCTGGGAGCCAGGCTGTGCCTTGTGCTCAGGGAACAGGAAGTGGGGAGAGGCAGCTTCGAGAAGCCAGGCCGGAAACCCGCACCGCTGGCTGGGCCCACAGGCACCCCGTCTGCCGCGGGGGGCAGGCCTCCGTCACGGCCCCGGGCCGCACTGTGTGTCTCCCGGCGGCCGGGAGCGCCAGCCCCGCCTCCGAGATGAGCGAGGCGGTGCCCCTCCCCTGCCCCTCGCAGACAGGCTCCTGGGCCGTGGGCTTCAGTGGGCTGTACAAATTACTGGCCATTAGGAAGCGGGAGAGAAGCCTGGCTTTGAAGTTAGAGACCCAGATTGGAATCTCCACTCATCCCCCTGACCATCTGCCCGCTGAGACGGGGAGATAATGGGAGCAGAGGAGCTACCTGTGCCCCGGGCTGTTAGTTGCCTAGCAACAAGGCCACCCACTCAGCGGGAGTGCAGAGCCTGGCTTCCTGTGCTTCCCGACCCGCTCACCTCCCCTCCCTCCCGCCGGCCCCGCAGGACGGCGAAGAGGAAGTCCAGCAGCACGAAGCGCCTCTCCCCGGGGCCCCAGCTGGGCCCCTCGGACACTCACAGCTACTACAGCGAGTCCGTGGTCAGGGAGTCCTACTACAGCCCGCGGGCCACCTCGCTGGCCAGGAGCTCCGTCCTCGAGGACCAGCTGCACGCTGACCCCTATTGGAGTGAGTGGACCTTCTCCTGGGCTCTGCCTCCTCTGCAAACCCGGCCCCCGGTGCGGCTCCCTCACCCGGGCTCCTGAGCCTGCGGGGCCAGGGGGGCTCCCAGGTGTCACCTCCCAGGTCCCTGCAGATGGTGAAGTGGCCATGTGGCCACTCCGAGCCCCCTCTGGAGACAGGGGGGCTGGCCCAGCTCACCCTCCGGGAGGGGCCACGACAGAGTCCACCAGGGGCTCCCCCCACCCCCCAGTTCCCTCCTCCTTGGCATCTCTGAGCCCGGGAGAACCCGCCTTCGTCCCTCCTCAGGCGAGGACCTGCGGGCGCGGAGGAGGAGAGGCACAGGGGACACCGAGAGCAGCAAGATCAACGGGCTGGTGGGGGCCAAGCTCTCCGAGGACTTCCCGGGGTCCTCCTCCGGCTACTCCTCCGAGGATGACTACGTAGGTAGGTGCCCCTCAGCCCCGGACAGACGCTCCAGCGGGTTCTGGCACCGCCCGCCGGGCTCCCTGACAGCTTGGGGAGCCTGGTGTTGGACAGGCGCCTCCGCAGATCCAATGGCGTCCCTCCTGCGCCTGTGGCACCCTGAACCCCAGCCTGGGGCGTCCCTCGGCACCATGGGCCGTCCGTCCCTGCCCCACTAGGCCTACGGTCAAGGTCAACGCCATTGTTTGCTCACTTCCAGCAAGCGTTTCACACAGGCTTCAGGCTGAGGGGGTGCCTGACGCCTGAGTCTGGTTCTGAGCAGAGGGGGAGGGGAGGGGTGCAGGCAGGGAGCTCAGGGGAAGTAAAGAGTCAGAAACCCGTGGAAAGCTCTGCCAGCAGGCGCGTCCCGGCCGCGGTGCCAGCCGGTGTGGCACGGGGAGTGTGGGGAATGGTGCGGGTCCCAGGGCACCGTCCCAGGAGAAGACCGGGCGGGCAGTGCCCGTGCCAGGCTCTCCTGAGAGAGGAGACTGAGCCGCTCCCTCCTGCAGGGTACTCGGAGGCGGCCCAGCAGGGCGCGGGCTTGCGGCTGCGGGGCGCGGCCTCCCGGGCAGGCTCCTTCTTCTGGACGGTGGTCACCTTCCCAGGTGGGTGCCGGAGGTCTGTGCACGCTGGTCTCCGTTCCCTGCAGCAGCCCCCTCTCTCCGCTGGGGTCCAGCCCGCACAGAGGGGCTGTGGGACCATCGGGAAGCTCATTCTAGAACGATCCCAGGGCCAAGAGCCATGGGAGCATCCTGGCGGGGGAAGGGCGGGAGCGGCTGTGGCAGGGCACTGGTGGGGCGGTGGGGGAGGGGTGGTGAGAGGGGCTGGTGGCCAGAGGGTAGGAGAGAGTGCCTGGCCGGGTGCGGCGAGGAGGCTGGGATAACCACAGGGGGCGGGAGGGGTGCTCTGCAGGCCCCGCCCCTCCGGGCGGCACTGAGGCCTGCGGGTCCCTCTTCCAGGCCGGCTCTTCGGGCTCCTGTACTGGTGGGTGGGCACCACCTGGTACCGCCTGACGACGGCCGCCTCCCTCCTCGACGTCTTCGTTCTAACCAGGTGAGCGGACTCCCCGGAGGGCGAGCCAGACCATCCGGCCGAGTCTCAGGCCCCGGGCCTGCCTGCAGGCGGGGCCTGGGCTCCAGCCCGCAGTGCATTCCCTCCTCCGGGCGGCCCGGACCCCACGCCCCGGCCTCGGGGCTGCCTGAGCTGCGGGCTCCTGCGAGCCTTTCGGCAGAGGAAGAGGCAGAGGCCGGAGGGCAGGGTGGCTCTGGCCGTATCCTGGTCGGAGTGGGGCCAGCTATGCGGAGAAGGGGGGCCGAGGATGGACTCATGGCACTGAGAGAAGTGCTCCCATTTTTCTAAAAAGAAAATGTTGCTCCCATTTTTCTAAAAAGAAAATGCCCTACTTTTTTCTGTTTGCTTGCAGAGAGGACCTCTGTATATGAACATTCTAGTGGGGGTTTTTTAAGACTCCACTACTTGTTTTTAATAGCGTCAGTAAAGTTCAAGGCCGTCATTGTCCCCGTTACGTTAGCACTCAGAAACCGATCTCCCCGGACGCCCGGGGGACCGAGGGGCCTGCGCCTCTGACGTGCCCGCCTTCCCTGCCCACCCACCCCCGCCCCCGGTCCAGGCGCTTCTCATCCCTGAAGCCGTTCCTGTGGTTCCTCCTGCTGCTGCTGCTGCTGACCGGCCTGACCTACGGTGAGCTGAGCCGCGGCCACAGGATACGGGGGGAAGGGAGCTGCCAGGGGGCAGCGCAGGGCTGCGTGGGCGGGGCACGCTGAGCGGAACTGAAACCAGAGGGACGGTGACCACCGACCAGAAAAGGAGGCAGGACGAGTGGGCCGGACAGCCCAGGTGCCTGTGATCCTGGGGTTGTCCCAGTCTGTCATGGACACACACACTCGTGTCAACTTTTCAATGGACAGTTTCACATGGGTTCCACAATTCCACCAGTTGCCTCCATGGCCCCCGGACTCAATTTTAATGACTGTGCCAATCTGTAATCAAGGATCATGCTTAGTGCTTTTAAAGGGCTGGTTTTATAGGTGGAGCATCTGTCCGCCTTGTACTTCTTTTTCCAGCACCAAGGCAGAACCCTTTCCCGGCACTGCATTTCCTTTTCATTTCCGGTTCCTCTCCCCCTGGAACGGCATCGCCTTAAAATACCGGCACCCGGTGTAGCTGCGCAGCGTCCGTTCAGGGCCCTCTCCCAGGAGTAGCTCCGCGTACTCCGCGCTTCTCCCTCGCCTGCGGAGCTGGTGACGTCTTCCTGGCCCGGCCCCAGGAGATGCGCGGTGCCAGGCCGAAGGGCGGGGGCGGGCCCGGGAGCCTGCTGGCGGTGCAGAGCGTAGGGGCGTGTGCAGAGGGCCCGACTCAAAGCCCCGTGGTCACCTGCTTCCCGGTCCATCTGCTCTGGCCGATGAGTGACAAGTGTGGCATCTGCTGGATGGAGACTCCGCAGCCAGTATGGCTCGCGAGGATAAGACCAGCTACGCACAGGAGGGCCGGGTAGCCGATACCCAGTAGGCGGGAGCCCTCAGCGTGTGCGCCTTCGTGCTCACGGCCCCGCCAGGTAACCAGTCTCTGCCCTGTGTCCAGGTGCCTGGAACTTCTACCCCTACGGCCTGCACACAGTCCACCCCACCCTGGTTTCCTGGTGGGCAGCGAGGGGCAGCGGCCAGCAGCATGAGGTGTGGGAGCCCAGAGACTCCTCCCCGCATTTCCAGGTGAGTGTCCGAGCGCACAGGCTCCCGCTCTGGAGTGGAGTCTTTAAGAGAGAAACTAGAATGTTCCTACTCAGTAAGGTCCTGCGCTGTTTGCCGCAGGTTTCCCTGCGCTTAGACTGGCCCGCCTGTGCCTGAGAGGGGTGCCACCCTCGCTGGGACAGTGCCCATCCCCCGGGCACTTTCTCTACCATTCGGAGTGGACCTGCTGGGGGGCAGTCTGCTCTGACTCAGAACTGCCCCCCCGTCCCCACCATCCTAAGCACAGGAAGCGGAATCAGACAAGCCGTCTTATCGCCATATTCCTTTCCCCGCCGTTTCACAAGTACAGGGGGGGGCAAAAGTAGGTTCACAGTTGTTCCTATGAAAATAGTACAATAGCCCTAACGGGTTTGGCTCAGTGGATAGAGCATCGGCGTGCGGACTGAAGGGTCCCAGGTTCGATTCCTGTCAAGGGCATGTACCTTGGTTGGGGGCACATCCCTAGTAGGGGGTGTGCAGGAGGCAGCTGATCGATGTTTCTCTCTCATCGATGTTTCTAATTCTCTATGGCTCTCCCTTCCTCTCTTAAGAAATCGATAAAATATGTTTTAATAATAATAATAATAATAATAATACAGTAATTAATAAGTAATACAAAAATAAATTCTGTGTTTCGTGTACTCACCACTGTAAACCTACTTTTGCCCCATCCTGTATTCACTGAGCACGTCTATGAATAAGGTAATATCACGGTCAGCTATCAGTCAGCACAGACAAACCACCTGTGAAATTAGAGCCTTAAAGGGCACGGGTAAGACTGGTATGAGCCTGAGGGTCCGCTAGCTGGCCCTTCCGGTCCAAGCAAGGCCAGGCTGCCTGGGCTGGGCTCCCGTGTGCCTGCAGCCGGCCGCGGTCAGCGGGCGGGCTGGGCTCCCCACTTTGTTGTCCAACAGGCCGGCCCAGTTGTTCTCACAGCAGCCACGCAAGGTTCCCAGGAGCAGAATCAGGCCAGGCCCTCTGAGGCGTGGCTGGAACTGGCACCCTCCACGTTCCATGGCCTCAACAAACCGCAGAGCCAGCCTAGCTTCAAGCAGGAGCCAGGCTCCGCCTCCCCATGGGGACGCCTGCCAGGCCACGCCCACAGGTGCACCTGCCAGGCGCAGAGGAGACAGGCCCAGGCTGTACCTCAAAGAGCCTGCAGTCCACGCGCGCACGCACACGTGTGTGTGTGTGTGTGTGTGTGTGTGTGTGTGTGTGTGTGAGTGAAGTGCACAAGTAACCAGACTGTGTGTGCACAGGTCCTGAGGGCCACAAAGAAAAATTAAAACTATTATAGTTATTTAACTTTGCTTGTATCTTGCTGAATTTAATTTGATGACATTCTGGCACTTATAAGACTTCCTTTTTTAATCATTAGTAAACACATTAAATACGATTCAATTTCAGGACCACCTTTTTTTATTAAAAAAAAAAAAAAAGAAAGAAAAGAAAAAGTTACATTTGCATAAAGACACTAATAAAAATAGCTGCCTCGTTTGGGAAGGGGTGGTGCGGGCACAGTGGAGGGGCAGAGGTTACGAGCATGACTTCTTACTGTTTGCTTGCTTTTTGAGTCATGCCAAGAAACGGAATTTTTGAAAATCAGACTTGACCTCTGTACCCAGCGGCCTTGCCGTTTGGTAGTCAACAGGCTGTGTGTTACGCTTTCTCTTGGCAAAGATTTTCGTGGTGAAGCGAACAAGGCTCTCAAATTTCATGGCACGCTATCAAATGCCACCCCCGCGTCCAGATGACCTGTGTTCTGCCTTCTCTGTGGGGCATCCAGTTCAAGAGGAAAGAGAGAGCCTTTTCAGAAGGCGTGGTCTCTTAGCCGCAGTTACTGATGGGAGAAGTGGGAGCTACTGACAGTCAGCTGAGCCTCTGAGCCCCACGCTCTCTGGCACACGTGCACCCCGAGAGGAGTGGGGGGTTCACCCAGCCCCAGTGGCCATCCATTCGGACCCTCTGGGGAGGGCACTGTGTCCCCATCTCCTGTCCCACATGCACCCCTCCTTGGGGATCAGACCCCTCCAGCCGCTGTGTGTCCCGTACCCTGTGCTTCGGAGTCACCGCACCCAGCAAACCCATTTGGCAGCTGCAGGAACCGCCACCTGTGGGGCCTGAGAGCCTGGGGCCCAGCAGGTGTTCACGTCTGGGCGGACTGAGACTCCTCCCGCTCCTCCAGGGCCACAGCTGTGGCCTCTCACCTCTGCCCTTCCCTCTGGCAGGCGGAGCAGCGCATCCTGTCCCGGGTGCACTCCCTGGAGCGGCGCCTGGAGGCCCTGGCCGCCGAGTTCTCCTCGGCGTGGCAGAAGGAGGCCGTGCGCCTGGAGCGCCTGGAGCTGCGGCAAGGGGCGGCGGGCGAGGGCGGCGGCCGCGGCCTGAGCCAGGAGGACACGCTGGTGCTCCTGGAGGGGCTGGTGAGCCGCCGGGAGGCCGCCCTGAAGGAGGACTTCCGCAGGGACACTGCCGCCCGGATCCAGGTGCGGAGGAGCTGCGGTCTCGGCTGGAGCTGGGGCCACATGGGCGTGACACCGTGGGCGTGCGGGTGGGGGGCGACCCTGCACACCCTGACGTGGAGAGGCAAGCTGAGTTTTCTCCTCTTTCACATGGACGCTCTCCCCTCTTCTCCCACGCCCCTGCTCCCCGGCAGCCCATAGATTACAGGGCCTGGCACCCGGGGGTGGGTGTGCGGTGAAGATCAAGGGCGGCGTCCCGCTCCAGGGAGGCCCTGTGGCAGAGGCGGGGAGCTGAGGTGCCAGCACAGAGGCCAGGATTGGATTGTGGTCACCCCACTCCCTGGGGGCTGGGGGCTGGGGGCCCTCTGAGCGCAGCCCCCTGAGACCCCCCCGCCCCGTGCCCACAGGAGGAGCTGGCCTCCCTGCGAGCGGAGCACCAGCAGGACGCCGAGGACCTCTTCCGGAAGGTGGTCCGCGCCTCCCAGGTGGGCCTGGCCTCATCCAACTCCACCCCTGACTAGGGCGAGGGGGGCACCCAGGCCGCCCGGAGGGCCTGCTGAGACATGGGGGGGGGGGGGGGCGGAGAGGGGACGGGAGGAGACTCCTGACTTCTGGCTGGAATGCTCGCCGGGACACTGGGAGCCGCGGGGACAGGAAGGGGCACAGTCAGCTGGCCGTGGGGCTGGGTCCACATGCTGAACGAATGCGAGGTGTATGAGCCTCCAGATACGGGGAGACTCGCACGGGACCTTGACCCGGAGGCAGAGTGACATTTGCTGGAGCAGCTGGGAGACTCCGGGAGGGAGCGGTTAGGGAGAGACAATTGCTACCATCTGACACGGCTCGCGTTTCTCCCTTGTGCCTGCACAGGAGTCTGAGGACCGGCTCCAGCAGCTGAAGGCCGAGTGGCACAGGTAATGGGCCTGCTTCTGGCCTGGGCCTGCCCCTCCCCCTGCCCTCTGCCTGCCCCCCTCCCCCCAGGCAGGACTGGGGAGCAGTGCCTCAGAGCTGAGTTCTGACTGTGTTGTAAACAGAGCGGGAAGGCTGACGGCCAGCTCAGACCACGTGCTTTTAGGCCTGTGCCTGAGGGGCAGTGCAGGCTGGGGTGGGCCCTGCAGGAGGTGGGATTGCCGGGTTCACGTAGACACATCATCTCTGCACACCCTCCCGCGCTGCCTCCCCTGCCCCGGGCATCTGCTCACGGGGAGCGAGCGGCAGAGGCCGAGAGAACGATCTGAGCTGAGAGAGGGAGCGGGGAAGGAGTGAGCTCCCTGGTCAGGCAAACCGGGCGCTGAGCTCTCAGCCAGGAGCCCCACGGGCAGGCCCTGCGTCGCCTGGTGCGTGGGCACGCACACATCAGGAGCCGGTGAGGGGTCCTCTTGCTCCCCAGCATCCCAGGCTCTCTCTCCTCTCTCTGGGCCCAGGATGACCCAGGAGTCCTTTCGGGAGAACTCCGTGAAGGAGCTGGGCCGGCTGGAGGGCCAGCTGGCGGGCCTGCGCCAGGAGCTGGCAGCCCTGGCCCGGAAGCAGAACGCAGTGGCCGACCAAGTGGGCCTCCTGCCGCAGCAGCTCCAGGCCGTGCGGGACGACGTGAGTCCGACGCCCGGGCCCCGGAACACCGCCGCTGAGGCCATCTGTCCTGTGCCTGCAGCCTCAGTCCCACATCCCTGGCCCTGGCCCTGACCCAGATGCTGTCTTCCTGTACTGGGGGACGGGGATGGGCCATTACTAGCTCTCTCATCTGTGTGGCCCGAGCAGGCACATGCTGGCCCTCCCTCACAGGCCCGCACCCCTTCCCTGCTTCCCTCCCCAGCCAGCTCTGCCTGCCGGCAGCCCAGAGTGAGACCTCTTCTCGGTCCCCAGGTGGAGTCCCAGTTCCCTGCCTGGATCAGTCAGTTCCTGCTCCAAGGTGGGGCGGCCCGCACGGGCATCCTTCAGCGAGAGGAGATGCAGGCTCGGCTGCAGGAGCTGGAGGGCAAGATCCTCAATCACGTGGCCGAGATGCAGGGCAAGTCGGCGAAGGAGGCGGTGGCCAGCCTGGGGCTGAGGCTGCAGAAGGAAGGCGTGATCGGGGTGACAGAGGAGGTGAGAGATTACGCCCCGGGACTCCCACTGGCACAGACACACGGCTTTCCTCCCCGGAGCCACAGACCTGCATGGCCCCCACTGCCAGCCCCTGGAGCGGACCCTGCAGGGGGCGCGGTGGCTGCTGTGGGGCGGGTCCCGGAGGGTGGACTATGCCTGGGTGGCCGGACGCCAGGGCGGGGCAAGCACAGAAGGGCCGGCAGGGGGGTCCGAGGGCGGCCGAGGCGGCCCCCGCCACCCCCGCTCTGGCGCCTGTTGCAGGAGGTGCACGGCATCGTGGAGCAGGCCCTGAAGCGCTACAGCGAGGACCGCATCGGGATGGTGGACTACGCGCTGGAGTCCGGAGGTGCGCGCTCCGCCCGCAGCCCAGCCTGGCCCCGCGCCGCGCCGGCCTCTGGCACCTGCGGGAGCCGCCCTGTGCTAGGCCAGCAGGGCTTCTCAAAGTCGCCCAACCAGATCAACCAGAACTCCCCAAAGGCCGGGCGCTCCTGGGCTGGGACGAGGCTGTGGACACTGCCCTGTGGTCTGGGTTGGGTTACGGACTGTCCCTGGGCCCGGGCCTCTGCCCTCCATCCTCAGAGAGGACGTGGGCAGTGGTGGTGCCCCTCGGGCTGCCTCAGCCCTCTCAGCCGGGGTCCTGGCTGCTGAGCTGTCGTCTGGTCTCCCTCCCCTGCTCCCAGGCAGGCCCCCAGCGCCCACACCTCTCTCTCTCCTGGGCCAGGGGCCAGTGTGATCAGCACCCGGTGTTCCGAGACCTACGAGACCAAGACGGCCCTCCTCAGCCTCTTCGGCATCCCCCTGTGGTACCACTCCCAGTCGCCCCGCGTCATCCTCCAGGTGGGCACCAGGCGGGGACAGCAGGGTCCTGTGCAGCTGGGCAACTGCCCACCCCAGGTCAGCCAGCCCTGCCCTGACCCGGCTCTTCCCTTCCAGCCAGATGTGCACCCAGGCAACTGCTGGGCCTTCCAGGGGCCCCAGGGCTTTGCCGTGATCCGCCTGTCTGCCCGCATCCGCCCCACGGCTGTCACCCTAGAGCACGTGCCCAAGTCCTTGTCACCCAACAGCACCATCTCCAGTGCCCCCAAGGACTTCGCTGTCTTCGTGAGTGTCCCCGTGCGGCCCGAGGAGAGCTGCGGGGGGGCCTGGGGTCTCTGCTGAGGATAGAGTTGGGGGGCGGGCGCAGATCTGGAAGAGATGGTGCCAGGGTGGGAATGGGACTTGGATCCCAGTTGTCTAGGCTACGGAGGAAAAGAGAGGCCCCAGGGGCAAAGCGGCTTGTCTGACCCAGACCCCTCCGCAGCCCTGTTCCCACTGCTCAGACCCCCTGCGGGAGGGGACGGGGGCACAGAGAGGGGCACTGCTCTCGGCTGCCAGGGCGCGTGTCCAAGAGCAGGCTCCTCCCTCATGCTGTGCTCTCTGCAGGGGTTTGAAGAAGACCTGCAGCAGGAGGGGACGCTGCTTGGCCAGTTCACCTACAACCAGGATGGGGAGCCCATCCAGACATTTTACTTTCAGGTACAGGGTTCTGTGGTGCCCGTGGAGGGGGCATACTCCCTTCCCTGCCCACCACCCTGTGCCAGGGCCCGGGGTTCAGACAGGGAACCACAGCGCCCGCCTCCCACAGCCCAAGGCAGGGAACAGGACCGCTGTCTCAGTGACTTCCCAGAATGCAGAGCCCCAGGCTCCCCAGGAGGTTGATTCCTTGGGGCTGTTGGGGCCCAGAACCCTGCAGCCTCCCCCAGGGGTGAGGATTGGAGTCCAGTAATGTGAGGGCGGGTGTGAGGTGAAGGGCCAGTGGCAGGAAGAGGCCGGAGAATTCCAGCCCTCAGAGTGGGGTGGAGGGGGCGGGCGGTGCTGTGTTAGGCAGAGAGGTGGCAGTATGATGTGCAGCATCATCTCGCCATGGCCGTGAGCGTGGGGCGTCCAGGGGGACCAGCCTGGAGACAGGGAGGCGGCCGAAGTGGCGGTAGGAGAGCATGCCAGAATTGGCGATGGGTGCTCACCCGGAGGACGCAGAGGTGCGGACACACAGGGAAGGGGGAGGTGGAGAGGGCAGCGGGAGGCTAATGCAGACGGGGCAGGCTGGCCACCGAGTTTGAGGCACCTCTCCCAGTCCTTGGGGCTGTCCGTGGGCCTGACACAGATGGAGCTGTGAGCTCCAGGCCATCACGAAGCCATGGGAGGGCCGGGTTCTCAGGGTGTGTGCAGAGTGGGCCTTAGGAGCGGGCGGAGGACAGGAGCCAGAGGGATGAGGAAGAGCAGGGACACTGCTGAAGCATCAGAAGCTCCTCATAAACTGGCTCTTTGAGCACAGAGGACAGAGGCCTGATGGCAGCTGGAGGAAGAAAAGGAATTCTGCTTAATTCAAAGAAAAGAGATTCTTTTCCAACATCAGCACAGAGCAGCAGACTCCGTGCAGGCCGTGCTGCCGTGACCAGGCCCCTGTGGCTGTCAGTGCGGGGTGAACTGGCCGGTGCTCAGCCACAAGGCCATTCTGAGGCCCCGGTGGGTGGTCCCGGGAGGACTCTGGAGCCCTGAACCCCTAGGCCCCCCCGCTGGACACTCCTGCAGGGTCTGGGACAGGCAGGGGCTGTGGAGTCCAGGTCGCTCAGAGGCCCCAGGCAGGGGCCTGGCCCGAGAGGGGCACCTCCTCGCCCGCCTGCTGCCAGTGAGGGCTGAGGGCTCTCTCACACTCTGAACCTCCTCCTTCTCCACCCAGGACCCCAAAATGGCCACGTACCAGGTGGTGGAGCTGCGGATCCTGACTAACTGGGGCCACCCGGAGTACACCTGCATCTACCGCTTCAGGGTGCACGGGGAGCCCGCCCACTAGGCTCCCTGCACTGCGCCAGCGGGGAGGCCAGCCGCGCCCCCCTCTGCGATCGGGGAGCAGCGCCCTGCACTTCCCACATGCTTGACCAGCGCACTGACTCCCAGGAGCGGAGCCCCTGGCCCCTCCAGCAGCGGGCAGCTCTGGAGGCTCAGCTGGCTCCAGCGTCTTTCCACCTTTCGTTCTCACGCCAGGCACTGGGGTCTGGTCCCCTCCTGGGAAGGTGTATATACGTAGCATGTGGGACTCAGAGGCAGGAGCGGTGACGAGTGGACATGTCCAGCAGCCGTGGGCAAGACCTGACTGACCGCCCCTTGCCCACGGCGGAGGGGCTGGCACCCAGGAAGCTCCGTTGGGAGGTAGTGGTGTGTGACGATGCAATGCCGGAGCCACGGGGCACAGCGAGGGCTGGGGCAGGGGACTGCGGCCCCAGGGGCGGAGGGTGCTCGAGGTTCAGGTTGGGACGGGCTGTGGGCAGGGAGCTCCTGGGAGTGGGCGGCTGGGCTCTCAGAAGCCAGTTCCATCGGCCCAGGGGAGCTTGGCCCACATCCTCCAAGGGCTGCTATGCACTGTCTGTCCTGGCGTGAGGTGGGCCGTGGGGCTTCTGTACCCCAGGCCTGCTCCTGTGAGCTTCAGAGGGCCCAGGCCAGCCCTGTAGGGCCCCCTCTGCTGGGGACACTAGTTGTTTCTGCTCGTCCGATGCTGGGATGGGGCCTGCCTGTCCTCCAGGGTGCAGGCTGTGCGTCTGGGTTGGCTAGAAGGTGCAGGCAGAGGACTCCCAGGCCCCCTGGTGGCCCAGTGATGGTGGTGATATTCAGGTTTCATGGTGGGAGGACCGTCTGACCTGTGCCCCATCTCAATCAGGCCCCTGGGCACGCCCCCCCCCCCCCCCAGCACCCTCTCAGGGCTCTTCCAGCTCTTGCTCAGTCGCTTCCTTTCCGGCTTTTTCTATGGGGGTGGGGCTGGGGGAGGGCAGGGGCGGGAGGCAGGGTTTTGGACTAGGCTGGCCCTGCTGTTACTACGTGAACTTTTCAAGGTCTTTTTTTTTTAACTGAAAAGCTAAGGGCCTGATTCCTGGCCCCGTTCGGTGGGCCGTGGAATAACCCGGATGCGGAGAGGGGCTGCCATGCAGGCAGGCGCCCTCTGGGGGGCCCAGGTGTCCTGTGCTCCAGCCCTGGCCCTGCACTCCTCTGCCCAGCTCTTCTGTCACAAATGCTGCACTGTTGGGTTCTTACTTTTTTATCTCCGGATTCTAATTTATACCTATGCAAAAATAAATTATGCCCAGGACTAACGGAATACTTGCTCTTTTGTGTTTTGGGGGAAAGGGAGAATACATGGTTTTAACTGGCCATCGCACAGGGGATCTCTTTTGGGGAAAACGAGTGTGAATTATTGGCCTAAACAATGCCTCAAAGCCAGGCCTCTCGGCTAAAACCCAGCTGAGGTGGGAGGTGGGGCTGAGCAGGCCCTGCCCCGATGGCTCTGGACTCAGATTGGCAGGAGAAAGTAGGGCGGCTTTATGAACCGCCCTGACACCATATTAGGAAGCACCTCCTAGGGCCGTATTAGTTACCTAACTAATGGCCACGGCTGCCTGCAGACTGCGACCCTCCTCCACAGAGTTAGGCATCTGCCCCTTGACCCTGGGCTGGGCTGGGCCACGGAAGTGGGCATCCTGAAGAGCCAGAAGCTGCCAGCTCAGGTCCTGGCCCTTCTCCTAAACACTTCCCGAGCCAGCGTCTCCAATGAGCTGCTCAGAGGGCCCCGGGGGGTCCCCCACTGGACCCTCCAGCACAGGCCTTGTTGACCATGACACCTGGGCAGGGCCAGTCCCCACACAGCTGAGAAAATGAAGGCAGGAACAGGCCAGTAGGGAGGGGCCGGGGGGGAAGTGCAACAGAGGTGCCTGGTGGAGTGCAAATCCAGCCCCGAGATCCTGGGCCAGATCAGAACCCTCAGCTTCGGGTCCCAGGAAAGGGCTAGTCCTACACAAGGCTTGTCCCCCATTCCACTCAGCACTTGCTCTGCAACTAGCACCATTTTCCAAGAGGAGACGTCCCTGAGCAATAGCCATGAGTTCCTGAACTTACCAGTCACAGGGCTTGGGGCTTCTGCTCTTGCCCTTGGGCCAGGCACATACCCTCTGCCAGTCTGCACTGGCCCCTCCCGGCAAACTCACCAGCTCCCCTGCGGTACATCCCTTAGCCCCAACAAACGTGCGCTCCCCGCCCACGTCACAGTCCTGTGACAGAATTAAGACGCCACCAACCCTACTGCACACAGAGATGACCAGATTAACAACTTTATTCGTCAACTACAAAAGGGCTGGTGTTTGTTCCAAACGGAGTTGGTAGGCTGAGCCACAGGGAACTCGGGTGGTCCCCGTGGAGGACAGTGAAACGCTGCGCTCGGTCGGTCGGCCCTGCTAGCAGGCGGGCCACAGATCACACAGCCTCCTGAGCATCCGAGGACAGAGGACAGAGGCCAGGCGGCGGCCACAGCTTCCGAACATCCAGTGGTTATGCTCACAGGGCCCAAGAGTTCAAACAAACGAGGCACCCCCTGCTCGGAGGGCTACCATGGCCAGGCCCGGGAATACCAGCTCCACAGCACCCGCCGTGGGCACAGAGCAGGGCGCTCAGCACTGGAGCCCTCTGATTACGAAGGGTTCCGTGGGCGGCAGCCCGTCAGCAGAATGAGCCAAAAAGCAAGAGGGACACAGCCAGGAGACAAAGGAGCAGGCGGGGCCGGCGGGCGCAGCTGAAACGGCTGGGCCGAGGGCCAGGGTGGGAACATCCCGCCTGTCGTTGGCACTGCCCTGCTGAGCTTCAGTGGCCCCAACCAAAACGGCACGAATGCCACCTCCCTGTCCACAGAGCGAGGACACATCTGGCACAGCCCCAGCCACACCACAGCCACGTCGATGCCACCTCTCTCGAGCCTGTGCCCCAGCCTGGATCTAAGCAGCGCGCTGGGCACAATTCTGACACCCGGAGGCGTTCGCCTCTCGCCGTGGAGGCACCCTGTTCAGAGAAGCTGAACGTGTCCCGTGTCAGAGCTGGGGGGTGAGCGAGGGTGGGGAGGCCACGCCTGCCCCCCGGAAGCGTCCCCCACCCTGCCCCGTTCTCTAGGACCGGGCTGGGCAGGCAGAGCGCCAGTGCTCCCGGTGGCAGCTCCTCCGTCATCATGGACAAGCTTTTGTGTGTGTGCTGGTCTGGTCACTGGGTGGCCGTGGGCTGGTGGTAACTAGAATCAGCTGGGAGGAGAGTGAGGGGACCAGCAGTCTGGGAGCAGGACAGGAGGGTTGGGGACAAGAGGGAGGCAGGCTGAAGGAGGACCCAGCCAGCTGGGTGTCTGCCCCGGCCAGAGAAAGCACACCTCTGCCCAATAGCCCACCCTAACGGAGGGCTCCAGGCCACAGCTGGGGAGGCTGGGTCAGGGCCCACGCTGCCTCTGGGGCCTGACACCCACCCCGCTCCAGGCAGTGATCCTTGAGGGCCTCCTGCTCTGTGCGGGCCTCCAGACCTGGGTTCGGGCCATTCCCTGTTGTGCCGCAGCAGCCATGCTGGGGTGACGTGGCGGAGTTACGGCGGGAAGGAGGGGTTCCACCCCAGCCTGGCTCAGAGGAACCCCTCACCCCCACCAAAAAGAAGTGCTATGAGCATGACACTGAGCCGGTGACACCCGTCCAGGCCAGCAGTGCCCCAAGACCCAGTAACATTCACGGTCCACGCAGGAGGCGGCCGGAGGCTCGGCAGAGCCGCAGAGCAGGAGTTGCCCTGAGCAGCCAGGCAAACAGGACTGTCGCCGGGAAGGAAAGCCACCAGCTTCTCTGGGCCAGTGGCATGGGCTGGAGTGAAGGGCAGGGAGGGCCCCACAATCCAATCGCCTCTCCCCTCCACCATGTACAGGTCACAATGTAAGAGCTTTTGGCATTCCTGTTCGGGGCTTAAGGAGAAAGAGGGAGGGAAAAGAGGAAGCCAGTGCTGTTGATCCTGCCAAAAGCCCCGAGGCCCAGGAGGGGGCCCCCGAGCCGGAGCAGCAGCACTACACCTGCAGCCCCGCCGAGGCCCGCCCCAGGAGGCTCCGGGTGCACAGCAGCGCTGGGAGGGGCCCGCAGCTCCTGCAGCCCCTAAGTTCTCACAGAGACGCACACGCAGACGGACAGCTCCTGGAGGCCGGGCCAGCCATGGAGGAGGAAAGGAAGAGAAGACAGACTGCCAGGGCCCCGAGTGGCCATATTCCTGCGCACACACACACACACACACGCACACGCACACGCACACAAGTACGAGAGAGAATAAAAAGAATACAAACTGAGGGCCCCGATGTACAAAAACTGAGTGAGGAAGAAGGCGGGCGGGTGGCAGGAGATGGTAGTGCTCCGGAAGCTGCCGTCGTCCTCGGCCTATAAGTTAGAGCCCCAGGAATCAGGGCGGGGAATGCTGAGCTCCGGCTGCGGCCTGGGAGGGTGGGCGGTCTGGCCCGTCGGATGGAGGTGGCCGGAGCATGAGAATCCTTGGCGGGAGGAGAAATTCAGCAGCCACTGGCAGGAGTCATGCAGGCCCCCTGGGTCTTCACCTTGTGACGCTGGCCCCCGCGCCGCCGGCCCCCGCTGCTGGGCTTGAGCTGGAAGAGAGAGGAGCGTGAGGAGCAGCGGCCCCTGGGAGCGGGGAGGGCAGCACAGGAGCAGGGGCAGCAGGTGACAGGCAGGTGGGTCATGTGGCAAGGGTATGAGCGCTCAGAGAAGCACACAGAAAGCAGGAACCACACCTGCCCCCACTGATAGGTGGGAAGAGAAAGGAATGACAGAGCAGAGGAAAGCTAGGGGAGAACAGGAAGAACAGGTGCAGCAAAGCTTCCTTCCCAGAGGCGGGCGGCTGGAGAGACTCTGAAAGGGAAGAACCAGGAGAGAGCTGGCAGGGGATGCTGAGTGACAGCCACAATGACACACGGCCAAGCCACCGGCCCCTCAGGAGGTGTCATATTGGGGGAGGGGACAGGAGAGTCTATAAGGCAGAGATTTTCAAACCGTCTGGACACGGCACCCTCACCTTCACACATAAGTACTATCCTTACTAGGAAAGGGGACTCGGAAATGTGGGAAACTCTCAAGTGCCCATCAGGACCATAAATTGCTTCTATGTAGGCCCCAGCTCCAAGTTTGAAAAAACGGCGCCTTCAGAGGCAGACAGCGCATGCTCAGAAAGCACCCGCGCCTGGGGCTGCACAGACGTGGCAGCAGGCAGAGGCTGCGGGCTCACACGTCACCCTCTGACAGCCGCACCCATCGCCCTGCCTGCACCCCCGGGTGGTCAGGGCCCGGACGGCGGGGAGGCATGCTCACCGTTGGCTGGAGACTGCTGGACGCGGCGGACTGCGCGGCCCCCAGAGAGCCCGCTTCGTCTCCCGGGGGAGGCACCCCTGCGGGCAGCCCTCCAGGGGGGGCCCCGTCTTCTCGTTTGGTCAGGGGGCCTTTTTTCGTTGACTGCATCTTAATCTGCTGAGGCTTGGAGTTCATCGGGGAGTTGTTGGTGGTCTGCAGGAGCTGCAGGAGCCAGGGGTGAGGGTGAGGCTAGAGCTGCAGGCGGTGCCAACAGCTCAGTGGCCGGCTCCCCTGCCCTCAGGGACTGCTCACTCCCAGCCTGGCTGGTCCTGGGCGCCCAGGTGTTCTCTCCCGTCCAGAGCTCCATCTGATCCCCTGCTCTGGCTGCTCTTCCTGCAGCCAGGGATCCTCAGCCCGCCCACTCAGCCCAGCTCCCAGACAGGCCCTGTCTGCCAGAGCCGGTAAGCTGGACTCCGGGCTCCCATTCAGGCTAAGACTCCTCAGAACATCAACTGCATCTGCAGCCCTAGGACCTTGTGGTCCCTGGAACCAGAGTCTGGGCAGGTTTTAACCTCAGGCCCAGCAGTGACTGTCCCAGCAGCCGGAAGCCTCTGCAGCGTGGCTGTCCCCGGGAATGCCCTGGTCCGGCTCTCCCGAGGCAGGAAGGGCCCAGGCCCCAGCCGGTCAGGAAACCCCGCCAGGCCTCTCCAGAAGCACCTGCTGTGCTGGCGGGCCAGTGACCCTGGCGTCTGCGGGGCAGCTGAGATGGCCAGCCATACCTTGGTGATGGTGCCCACAGCCTTGGTGCGGCCTTCCCGGAACACCAGCCGCTGGTCTATGTGCAGGTACTCGGGGGTCTTGATGAAGCGGAAGTGCACCGTGGCCTTGTCCCCAGTGCGCAGGCAGTCCTTGTCCATGCTCAGAATGGTGGCCGTCTGCCTGATGCTCCCACAGTGCACTGTCAAGGGAGCCACCGTTAGCCTCGGGGCAGGGGAGCAGAGTGAAAGCATGAGATGTGCTTGAGCAGCGGCCGGCTAAGCCTGGGCAGGCCTAGGGGAGCCGAGTGAGCGGAGGCTGCACTGAGATCTGATCGCCTCGAACTCACCTGCCTTTTCCTCCAGTTAGACCCCACCAGCCTCCGGGCCCACGGTCCTGGCTCCTGAACACAGGGCACCATGTTTGCATGTGCCCCTAACCTGCTGGCTTCCTGAGGGCAGGGCCCTTGCCTATCTGGCCTTTGTCCCCAGCACCTGGCAACACCTGACACAGAAGTATTCGGCGGACACCGAGCGGCACACAGCCGGCACTCAGTTTGTCTGCAGGACTGAATTAACGCTGCAGCCGTGGCGGAAAAGGGAGCGACACTAAGCAGGAAGGAGACCTTGGATGGAGTTGAAACTTTTGTGTTTGGGTCACTGGAGCACTTTGTAAAGAGAGCTAGAGTGGGGGGCTCCTGGGCTGGCACCCCTTTAGACACCTACCCATGGCCTGGTAGCGCGGGCTGATGGTGGTGGGGTGGTGGAGGACGAGGATCTCGGCCTCAAACTCCCAGGATGCTTGGGGATTCAAACGCGGGGAAACCATCACCATGCCCTTCCGGATGGATGAGCGCTTAATCTGCAAGAGAGGAGCCCAGAGCTCAGGCACCTGTGCCTTCGGCTGCAGCCCTGGCCCCAAGGACTAGCTGGCCTTCCGGGAATGAGGCCGCCCACTCGGCCTGGCCCTCACTGCCTGGGCCATGGCCTTCCAGGAGGTTTTAGCTACTCAGGGTCATGCAGGAAGCGGCATCTCAGTGGGCTGTCAAGGACGGGTAAGAGTGAAGTGGGTGATGAGAGAAAAGGCAGGTAAGCAATGGGTGGAGGAACAGGGCGAGTATGCCATGACTGTGGGGGTAGAGACAGCCCATGTCGCTGGCTCATTTGGTTGGCGGAGGTCGGTGACCTAGAGCTCGCACTCACCCCATTCCTGGGGACAGGAGGCGGAATGGGAAGAGGAGCTGGCATGGACCCCAATGGCCCTCAACACAGCAGGGAGATGCCTGCCTGACCTCACCACTGAGCTCAGGACACCCTGCTCAGGCGCTGGAGGGAGAAACGAGCTCAGGAGGCAGCAGCCTGGCTCAGGTCCCAGCTCCAGCACGTACGCCTGCGCACTCCTGGGCATGGCGCTCAGGCTGGCTGAGCCCCGTGCCTCCTCTGGAGGGGAGGTCAGTAAGCCTGGCTGGCAGAGCAGCCATGAGGACCGGAGACAGCTCCGGGCCTCGTAAAACACGGGCTCTGAGGGGAGTCAGAGCGTTACCGACACTCACCTTCTTCAGCGCGAAGGAGGCCGTCTGGCCCCCGCGCACCTCCTTGACGGGCATGCGCTTGCGATGGATGGATTTCACAGCGATGGACAGGAAGTTACCCAGAGGATCCGGGCCCAGCAGCAGCGTGTCGTTCAGCTTGATCAGGCCCCTGAGTGTTGTCCCTGACACCACTGTCCCCACACCCTGCAGAGAAGACCTGGCCCAGTGAGTCTATCCCCACTCAGCCCCTTCCACCACCCACCCAACCCAACGCCCCGGGGGGTGCCCGCCAGCCTGCCCCTGCTCCTCCAGAGCACGCACCGGCACGGAGTACGTGTCATCGATCTGAAACTCGGCCGGCTCCTCCTCCCGGTAGCTGGTGCGGGGGGAGAGGAGGTTGAGGAACATCTTCAGCAGATCCAGGTTCTCGCCCGTAACGTTGGAAATCTGGAATATTGGGCACATCCTACGTGGAGGGTGAATAGAAAGACAGGCGCTTAGGAGGCCAGCCTGCCTGACAGGATTTTGCAGCGGGAGGGCTCCTGGAGGCCCACTACCCCTCATCCACCTCCCCCAGTTCTTCCCCTCTGGCCCGACTCTAAGGCCTTCTCCTCTGATCAGTTTTGTCTCTAAAATCTGGCCCCTCCTCTCCGTCCCTCTACCACTGCCCTACTGCAGGCACTCACACTGCTTCTTCCTAAAGTGCACGCATGCTTGCTTAAAACCCTCAATCCTCTTCCCATTACAGAGAAAACAGCCGGCATCCCTCCTCGCAGCATTCTGCAGGTTTATTTCTCTTAAATTCCTATATTCCTGCCAGACCGGAGGACTTACTTTCTTCAAAAAGCCTGATTCTTTTATGCTCCCTTATATTTTTCCACTCTGATCCTCCTGCCTCAATTGCTTCCCTCTGATCCAACTACCAAATCCTTTCATCCTTCAGGGCACGCCTCAGCCCTGCTTCTTCCAGGAACCTTCCCAGATGGGCACTCCACTCCTCTCAGCGCTTGAACTTTTGTGTTCCTGTTACATGTAACTATGTCTGACTTGCGGTCATTTATCTCAGTGGCCTCAAACTCCTGGAGATCAGGAATTATATATCCCCATAGCTCCTAGACTAGTGCCTGCACAGAACAGGCACCAGAAAAACTCAGTGAATTATTGTAAAATGGGGGCAGCTGCCCTGGCTGGTGTGGCTCAGTTGGTTGGGCATCGTCCTGTGCACCAAAGGTTGTAGGTTTGATTTCCAGTCAGGGCACATACCCAAGTTGCGGGCTCGATACCGGATAGGGAATGTGCAGGAGGCAGTCAATGTTTCACTCTCACATCGATGTTTCTCTCTTTCCCTCTCCCTTCCTACCTCTTTCTAAACACACACACACACACACACACACACACACACACAATTTAAATAAGATATTATAAAATGGAGGCAACTGAAATGAACTCCCTCTGCTGGTCAAACGGTGGTACTGAAGACACTGTCAGGGCAGAGCCAAGCCAGAAGGCAGATGGCTCTAAGCAGCCCCAAGACTCTGGGAGAAGGAACAGAGCTGACAAAGTTCAAGGAGTATCTCTGACCAAGGAGCTGACCACCTTGAAGACAAGGCTAGTGCCCGAGTCAACCCTGAAACCTCAATGCTAAGGTGTGAACCTGGCACACAACACACATCCAAATGTATTTATAGAATCACAGGATCTGTTAATGAGCAAAGGCCTAAAATGACTTGTGATTGGAGAGTTTTTGAGAAACAACAGTATAAAAACATAGAATAAGTTATAAAAACGGCAGTTTTCTATTACACACGGGCCAGGCACAGTGCTAAGTGCTTTCCAAAAGCCATTTCCAACAGTTACGAGAGCCCTATGGAGAGGGAACATCATTCCATCTCACAGACAAGGACTCTGAGGACTCAGCTGGGATTCCCACCTCAGCGAGGCTAGCTCCTCAGACTCTGAGGCGCCTGCCAGCCTGGGAGACCTTGTGCTGAGACCACGGGAGTCCACTTCACCCGCCTGTGCCGCCCCGAGGGAGTGCTCTCCGCCCATTACCTCTCAGAGCTGAAGTTGGAGGCGGTGACGATCACATCATCCTTGCTCTGCACCAGCACAGGGATCTTCCGGCAGCCTGGCGACTTCAGCAGGCGCTGTAGCAGCTTCAGGGTTTCTTAAAGGGTGGAAGGAACAGAATTAGGGGACACAGGCTTCCTTTGGCCAGGCTTTTAGGGCAAGACAGGTCCACTCATCATACTGCCAGCAGGAGACAGAACGTTAAACGCCACAATGCCTGGAGAAGCAAAAGGGAGGACCCAAACTTTGGGTGGATGCGTCCTGCTAGAGTAGAAACAGAACATGATGGGCCTGTCCGCGGAGGTTACGAGTCTGAAGCCCACTGGCTTTCCTTCATCTCTAGAAGACCCGCATCCTGTCAGTGATGGGGGAAGGCGAGGGTGGTGGGGCGTCCATAGGGACAACGTTCTCAGAATGCTCTGCTTCCTGGGGAAGAGATCTCTAGGCCATTCAGACACCTGCAGAGGTCCCTGTGGGCCCTCCCAAAGGACCGCTCTCGTTCTCTCCTCCCACCTGCAGCAAGAAGGGAGAAATGCACCAAGGCCTCATCCTGCACCTGTTTTGAAGCCTTTGGTGCTAAAACATTATCAGCCTGGCCGGCGTGGCTCAGTGGTGTAGCGTCAACCCTGAACCAAAGGTTACCAGTTTGATTTTTGGTCAAGGCACATGCCCGGGCTTCAGGCTCAATCCTCAGTAGTGGGCGTGCAGGAGACAGCCGATCTATGATGTTTCTCTCTCATTGATGTTTCTATCTCTCTACCCCTCTCCCTTCCTCTCTTTGTAAAAGAAATCAATGAAAACATATTAAAAAAGCAAACAACAACATTACCAAACCCTCTGCCGCAATGTTGCCACATACCTCCAGCTTACATGGTAAAACCCAACCCCTTCTGTCTGAGGCCATCTGAAAGGAGGTGCCAGATTAGAAGCCTCAAGAATCCTGCATTTGGAACCAGAAAGAAGAAAGTGCAGGGGATAATCCAGGCTATGCTCAGACCAAGAGCTGAGCAGGGAGAAGGCAGAAGGTTCTGGGCTGATGGGAAGCTCGGGCGAGGTCTGAGCACAAAGTAAGGAAGCTGAAGGCTCAGGGCGGGAGCCCTGGGAGCAGGCACCACGGAGCCACAGGGGTGGCAGCCCCAAACACAGGGACTGCTGCTCGCTGGAGGCTTCACTTACCTTGCAAGATGTTGGCAGGACACATATCAATCTTGGTGACCACCACAAACACAGGCACATTGAGTGCCAATGCCAAGCCCAGGTGCTCCTTGGTCATCCCCACGATGCCAGCATTGCTGCCCACCTGCCCCAACACAGAAAGAACTATCAGGGCAAGGGAGACAGAGGTTGCTGCTGGTGGCACAGAGACTTAACGACCGCTGACGGGAGAACGCTCCCATCTCTGAGGCGGCATCAGAATTGGACACAGGGCACAAGTCTCAGGCCAGGAACTAAACGGCTACAGATGAAAGCTGGGCTCGGCACAGATTGCTTTAACCCGATTCAACATTGTGGGCTATCAAAACCTGAGGAGACCTGGGAACAATAAAAGACAAGTTCACAGAGTGCGGAATCTGAGTGAAGGTGAGGGAGGGTGGGAAATAATCAAAGACCTGGTATGCATATAGGCATAACCCATGGACACAGATAATAGGGTGGTGAAGCCTGGGGTCAAGGGCAGGCTGGAGGAAGTCAACAGGAGGAGAAAGGGGGACATATGTAATACTTTCAACAATAAAGCTTTATTAAAAAAAAAAAAAAAAAAAAGACAAGCCCAGACAATCTGGGAAAACAACAGTCTAGGGCAGGTGTCGGCAACCTCCGGCTCCAGAGCCACATGCGGCTCTTTGAAGCTTTACCGCGGCTCCAACAACTGGCAAGCCCGTGTGAAAATGAAGGTAACGTCTTACAGCCCTGACGTGCTGACACTGTGCACTGAGGTTCAGGAGCAAAAATCCCATTAACCAGGTAAATTAAATATTTTAATTAGCTATTAATTTGCAAAAATATATTTTACATTGTTAAGTGAAAAAGTCCTTTTTTTCTTCAGATTGACAGCTAACTGCACGATCCGGTATACAGCATTAAGGTAAGAAACAATATATGCAGTGTAATATTTGTTTTAAATGTCGCAATGGTTTTGCGGCTCCCGGGTTTTTTTTTTCCTTCGGAAACGGGTCCAAGTGGCTCTTTATGTCTTAAAGGTTGCAGACCCCTGGTCTAGGGTCATCAAAGTGAACTGCGTTTAACAGCCCTGGCTCTCAGTGTCCCCATCTATAAATTGGGGGGATAACATCCACTGTAGGGGGTCACTTCAAGTTTAAATGTCCTAACATGTCAGAGGTCCAGCACACAACTAGCATGAGTCAGGTGCTCAAGCAATGGCTGCTATTATTACTGTCACTACTCCTTTCCATAATAAAGGTGTTTAAACATCACCACAGAGGCTGGTTAAATGAATTAGGGCACAGGCACAAGTGGGCCGGCCGTACCAAAAAAGAGGAAACTTACCTACCAATGTGGGATAATCTCTAAGATATGTTGTTGTTGTTTTTTTAATATATTTTATTGATTTTTGACAGAGAGGAAGAGAGAGGGATAGAGAAATAGAGAGTTAGAAACATCGATGAGAAACACCGACCAGCTGCCTCTTGCACACCCCCTACTGGAGATGTGCCCACAACCAAGGTACATGCTCTTGACCGGAATCGAACCCGGGACCTTTCAGTCTGCAGGCCGACGCTCTATCCACTGAGCCAAACCGATCCCGGCTGTCATGAGATTTGATCATGCCAGTTCACAGATGAGCCCAATGACACAGATGTCCCATACCTGTGCTCTCACCTACAAGACACTGCCATTTTCCCTCCCAATTTTTCCTATTCCCTCCAACCTTTCCCGTTCAACCCAGACCTGCTTTAGTCCTGCCCAACCTGGGAAAGAGAGAGCTCTGTTGCTTTGACGATCCCCCTACTCTTCTGGAAACAGACTGCCATAGAATAATAATAAAATATTTCATTATTCTCTACAGAAAATTTTAATATTTATATCTGGCCCAAAAGTCAGATAATATTTAACATTTCATATGGGTGAAGATGTTTCCAAAAATTGGCCTTTCTCACTGTAGTTTATTTAGAAAAGTGCTCATTTTAAACTCACTTATGTCTATACCTTTCTTTCTTTTTTCAATATATTTTATTGATTTTTTACAGAGAGGAAGGGAGAGGGATAGAGAAATAGAGAGTTAGAAACATCGATGAGAGAGAAACATCCATCAGCTTCCTCCTGTGCACGCCCCACTGGGGATATGCCCACAACCAAGGTACATGCCCTTGACCGAATCCAACCCGGGGCCTTTCAGTCCACAGGCCGATGCTCTATCCACTGAGCCAAACCAGTTCCGGCATATACCTTTCTTTATTTAAAAAATACATTTTTATTGATTTCAGAGAGGAAGAGAGAGGGAGAGATGGAAACATCAGTGATAAGAGAGAACCATTGAACGGCTACCTCATGCATGTCCCACACTGGGGATCAAGCCCGAAACCTGGGCATGTGCCCCTGACCGGGATCGAACCCGAGGCCCTTCAGTCCACAGGCTGACGTTCTCTCCACTGAGCCACACCGGCCAGGGCTATGCCTTTCTTAATACCACCCCCATATGCCCTAAGGACCCTCCATTGACCCCCTTAGAGAGCATGTTTCCGTAGCCCAGTCCAGGCTGATAATGCCCCCTGCGACGATCACAGGTACCGGAAGTGAGGTCCCACTGCAATCCCAGGAAGCCGGGGCAGAGCCCACAGTGTTCACCCAGACGCTCCGCCTCTCTCTGCTCTCCAGCCTGGGGAGGCTCCGCCTGGGACCCTGTGTTTGCGGGACAACTTGGTGCGTTCACTCTGAACAGATGCCTGTGTTTCCGCACTTATTAATGTGAGCAGCCGGGGGGACCGGGATGTGGGGAAGGGCTTCGAGGACTTGCCGGAGGAAAACGTGCTCACTGTTCTGTCTGTGAAAGCTGGGAAGCTGCCACCAAAGTGGTGGGCCTCACAGAATCCCACTGTCCAGCCAGGAAGATCAAATACAAGTTTAGCACATGATCCAACACCGGCCTCTCTCCCTTTCCTTTCCAGTTCAAACGAGCTGCTCACAAATCTACTCCTGCCGGGCTGTGAGCTCTCCGGAGCCCGGCCGGCCCGTTCACTGCTGCACCTGCAGGCGGCATGGGGCCAGGCACGCAGCACCTCTCAACCAGTGCGCTCATCCCAGGCTCCGGAGGGGGCCGCCTCTCAGGGGCCTCAGGACTGCTGTTTGGGCTCCCCTCCCCGAGGGTTCCACCTGGCACCACTCCTCGAAGTCCCCAGAAGAAACCATTTCTGAAGGTAGTAAGTAAGCTCCTAGGAGCTTGTGTCTCTCCAAAAAATGAGGGCTCTGCAAATACCCTGGTTTTTCCTTAGGGGATCCCTTCTGAGCCTCACCTGGAAAACCAAGTTACACCCTTGGAGATGACCGTAGAGCTCAGAGGACCTTGGCAAAACTATCACCCTTCCCCAGTGTCAAAGCCCCAAACCCACGGGCTTCAGCCTCAGGACAATTTCAAACCTGTGCACAGAGCCCGTCCTCCACGGCCGCGGAGGCCTGCCGAGGCCGCACTCACCATGAGCATGCAGAAGTCGGGCAAGTGGCCCGTCATGCCGAACACTGTGGTCTTCAGGTATTTCTCGTGGCCGGCCAAGTCAATGAAGGTGATCACCTTGGTGGATTTCTCACAAATCTTCGTCCACTCCAGGCTGCCACCGTGGCTGTCAGGCTTGTTCACCACGTTGCCTTCGCTGTCGAAGCCCAGGATGTCGTTGCCCACACTGCTGGTGCGGCCGGATTCGATCTCGTGTTTGTGGCGGAAGAGTTTCTGGCGGGCAAAGCCGCGGCCATTGTCCAGCTCCCCGTGTGTCAGGACCCCCAGAAGCGTGCTTTTGCCAGCGTCCACGTTGCCCACCACGGCTACCCTGCGAGGACAGGAACCATACATCCACGTGAGAGGTGCTGGGTGAGTGAAGAGAAACCCCAACGGAGTCTGCAGACAGGCTTGCCCCGGAGCCTCTCGCTCACTGCTCCTCCTCCTCCTGGGTGAGCCAGGGGAGTGTGCTGGAGGCATTCTCCAGGGGCTGGAAGGGTTCTCCAGGAGGAGCTGGGCGCTCACCACAGTGGCTTTCTCCCCTAACAACCCCTATCTTCCCCAAAGCGGCCGGAGAGGGGCCCAGAGCCGAGAGAGGCACAAAATGCCCCCTCCATTCCCCGGTTTCTAGACTCACAGCCCACAGAAGGAATGGCTGGCCTCTCTCTCACCCTTCCCGAGTGGAAGTATTAGGGATGGGAGGTGCAGAAAGAGCGAAAGGTCTATGGTGTCTCTGGACACTCTGCCCCCGAGCAGAGGGGAGGGGTGAAGCGGACAGCTAGGAGTCAGAGGCTCAATCAGCTCGTGCTGAGGGCCCTCGGCCTCCTCACCTGACCTCCAGGAAGTCATTGTCTCCCACTCGCTTCCGGACCAGGTAATCCCGCACACGGCCCCCGGCTTCCTGCCGCTCCCGCAGGAGGATGACGTCGGCCTCTATCTGTTCGGCCATGCTTTTCACGGTGGCGTAGGAGGCCTCCATGTCGGCTTCACTCAGCCCGTACTCAGTCCCATCTGGTGACAAGAGCCCAGGCATCAGAGTTCCCACAAGCCACACAGTCCAGCCCTAACCACGGCCCCACCCTGGGCACCAGAGGACATGGCTCTCTCCAGCTGACACTTTTAAAAAACGTGGGCACACGCAGAGTTAATCGATAATAGTGCCACAGCCTGCCCATTAAGCAGGACACTTATTGATTCATTCCACACTAATCACTGAGACTCTGCCTGGGTTTGATGCGAAGCCTCATGCCGAGTCCTGGGAATACAGGTGCCCTTAGCGAGCTCACAGCCCAGTGGGAGAGACAGGAAATTAATGAATGGCAATACAACGTGAATGTTATACTAGAGGACTGTACAAAGAGAATGGGAAGTTTGAGAACTAGCACTGCCTGGGAAGCGGAGGCAGCGGTGCAGGCTGCTGGGCCTCCGAGTGTGAGAATGGGCTTGCAGAGAGAGGAGGAGAGGCGGCCCGGCAGGGCTAAGCATGGAGCATGGCAGGTCAGCACACTGGGGGCCAGCAGCAGCTCGGTGTGCTGGGAGCGGGATGTCAAGTGGCAGGAGACCACGGAAGAGGTGGAAGCGGTGACGCAGACGGACGTTAGCAGCAAACACACTGTGCACCGGGCAATGGGAAGCCCCGGGTGTCCGGGCCGGGGAGCGACATGACCTGACCACGGCCGTTAGAAAGATCTCGGGCAGCGGTAAAAAGTGCACACCGACAAGTGAGACCGGAGCGGGGAGCCCCGTTAGGAAGCCATTCTCATAATCCCGCAAGCGATAATGAGGACAGAGACAAACGGAAATGGGGGAGAACTTGAGAATGACTTTGGAAATAGAATTTGACTGAGGTAGCTCCAGTGAAATGTCCAGCAAGCGGATGGAAAGATGAGTCTGAGCTCAGGATGAGGAAGGGAGGAACCAATTAACCAATCATTTATTGAGAGTTTATTTATGACAACTCCCATCAGTGCTTCCACTTGATGTCATCATCTCCACAATCACTCCTCCAGCCTCTCTAATCCACCAGCATGGGCCTAATCTCTTTTACTGCCTCCCAGCACCTTGACGCACCTCTCTCACCCTCTCTTCCTCTTCCTCCTACTTCTCCCCTATGGACAAGCTCAGTCTTTCCTAAATTAGGAAAAGGAAACCCATCCTCACTTCCCCTGCTTATCTCTTAAGCAACCATCTCCTCTATTCCTCCTTTTACACTGAGCATCTCAAAAGAGTAATTGAGACTTGCTGACTATCACCATCCTACCCTGAAGCTTATAACTCTGGAAGAAACTAGTTTTCAAGTCCTTGATGCCTGTCTAACCCACATCCGATGCCCCTTTCTCAACCACAACAGGATTTGGCACTGCTCGCCTCCCTCCACCCTGCTTGCCGGTCGCATGAACTCTCCTGACCCCACTCCCCTCTCTGGCTCCTTTCTCTGTCTACTCTGTGGCTCTTCCGGCTCCTGTCCTCAAATGCCAGGCTTTCCAGTAGTCAGGCGGTGGTCCTCCTCTCTATCCTCTGGGCATTCCCCTTGACTATCTCACACTATGGCTTCAACTGTCATTTAAAAACCTACAAAAAATAAAAACAAGTACTAAACACTTTCATTTCTAGCACTGTCCTCTTCCCAGGACTCTAGAATGAATTCCCAATTGTAGGATGACTCTTGGAAGCCTGATGTCTAATCTCAACAACGCCAGCCCTTCCCCTTTAAACAACAGCAAAAAACGAACACCATTAATGAACCACTCTGGCCCTCACTGCAGCCATGGAGGGCACTCCTCCCCCCTGTAACAGCGGGGTCAGCCAGAGCAGACTCAGCTGGCAGAGCTGGAGGGCTGGGTGAGTTCAAGGCTTCTGCTCCAGACCTCGAGCCTTTTCCGCTGGCGAGGGATCCTCTAATGCCAGGCCAGTCCCTCCTCTTGCCTTCGCCATCCCTATTCCTGAAGACAGCACCTCCTCCCAGCCGCCCAAGCTGAATGCTCCGCTCCCGTCCACTGATTCTAGCTTTATGCCTGCGCTTCTGTCTTTGTCCCTGCTCCTCTCTTTGGCCAACCCAACACCACAGTCTGGTTCAGGCCCTGATTCTACCTCAGTCACCACAACAGACCCCTCACTGGTCTTAGCAAATCCAGTCTCTGTTCCTCCAACCCATCCTGCAGAGACACAAGTCCATGCTCCCAGGCCAGTGGTCGGCAAACTAATTAGTCCACAGAGCCAAATATCAACAGGACAACGATTGGAATTTCTTTTGAGCTTAATTTTTTAAACTTAAACTTCTTCTAACGCCACTTCTTCAGAATAGACTCAGCCAGGTCGTGCTATTTTGTGGAAGAGCCACACTCAAGGGGCCAAAGAGCGACATGGGTTTCGCGAGCCGCAGTTTGCAGACCACGGCTCTAGACAAAGAAGCTCTCATGTTGTCACGCCCTAGTCGAAGCTGGGAACGGCTTCCCAGGCCCCGCAGGTTCAGCTTCAGTTCCTTAGAAGCCTCCACCCCCTCCTCAGTCCTGTCCCATCCCCTCCCCACGTCCCTGCACTTCTCCAGCTCCGCACCTTCGCTCATGTGTTTCCCATCCTACAAAACCCAGCACATCTCCTACCTGTCTGCTCTCTATGGCCTTTCCCACACACCCAGCCTGTGGAATGGTGCTCTGGATGCACGTCTTCCCTCACTCCATAAGCGACTCCAGGGAAGAAGTCAAACTCAGACATCCCCTGACCCCCCATGTGGGACACCTTTCCTACGTAAAGTTCTCAGAGTTTGTAAACGCAAACCAGATGAACTGAGGAGTTGGCACATAGTAAGCATTATAAAAATGTTATAATGCTGAGGAGTTTCCAAATGTACGGCCAACTGAGCTCTGGGCATCTGGGCCAGAGAACTTGCTGGAAGTGTTCCTTGGACAAGGCCTGCTAATCCTGCCATTCTTGCCAGATCCCCAAATTCTGGCCATTGATTCTGACACAACAAAAAGCAATGCTTTCAAGTAAGTGCTGCTCCACACCTGGCGGCGATGACCAATACCGCCGTGTCCATCCCGAGCTCAGAGAGGGTCCCCGTCCTATCCCCCTTCTCCTCACTCGGTAGAAGTGGAGACAAAGGCCAAGGAGAAAAGCCGCAGCGGTCCAATTACCAAAGGGCACTGTCCTCCCACACCTGACCCTCAATGAGGCCTCAGTCCTGCCACCTGACTTACCTTTTCTACATGCGCTCTCCTGCTCAACGTGATGCGAAGGTTCTCCGAACTTTCAGGGTAAAAGCCTAAACCCTTTGGTATGGCATTCAAGGATCCTCCTAACTGGCACTCCCAACCTCACAGGCTACGCTCCTACGTTCTGGATCCCCACTGGCCCACCATATCCTCCACAATGGCCACAGCCTCTGCCTCTGTGCCCGTGGCGTCCTCCGCTCACTCACTCTGCCTTCCTTTACCCAGAAAACCCCTACCATCCTTTACAACCAGTTCAAGGGTCACAGCCTCTCTGAAGCTTTTCCTGACTCTCCACCAAGACTTAAAATACGCTTCCTTTGTTCCCTGGACTTTTAATACAGTTCCTGGCTCTTAGGAAGTTGTAACTTCATATCTGACAAATTAACAAGATTCTGCCCTAACTAGTCTGGCTCTAATAAATAGAGCCTCAGCCTGCGGACTAAAGGGTCCCGGGTTCGATTCCAGTACAAAGGGCATGTACTTTGGTTGTATGCTCAATCCCCAGTAGGGGGTGTGCAGGAGGCAGCTGATGGATGTTTCTCATCGATGTTTCTCTCTATCCCTCTCCCTTCCTCTCTGTAAAAAATCAACAAAATATATTAAAAAATAACAAGATTCTTTTTGAAAGCAATCTCATGGTAAATCAACTAAGACCTAGAACCCTTAAAAAATTATTACTGCAACTATTAATAGTAGCTAACATTTATATAATGCTTACTATGTGCCAAGTGGTAACCTTCACCATGACACTACTCTCTCCCCTTTTTAAGATAAGTTGGAGCCAGTAGGCAAATTCAGACCTGCCAGACTCCAGACCCTGAACTAACTACGGGGCCAGGCTGCCCCCTTGTGTAAGCTCAATCTTACAGGAGGAATGTATACTTACAGGGCAGAAAGTTTCATGCCTAAGTTATTCACACAGAATTTCTCTGAGGAGGGTGCGGAAGGATGTCATTGTCCTCGTTTTACAGGCAAAGGATGTGATACAGAGGTGAGGCGCCAGGCACACACAGGGAGCAGGTGCTGGAGCTGACCCCTGGGCCTCCCATCTGGCTTCGTCCTCTGTTTGATGTTCAGCTTGTTTAACTAGTTATGACCTCGACATGATTCCAGCAGGAAGGAGTCACTGTGGATCTAATAACACCCAGTTGATAGATGCAAAGATAATGCCTGGGTGTGTAGATGTGTTAATGAATGTCTGACATCGTATGCTTTGTCATGAACGGGTTAATTAGTTGTCAGCCGCCAGGTTATGGGAAAATTCACTAAGAGTCCACATTAAAGAACTGGGGGCAGAGGAGGGTCTTCAAAGAACAGTCCCCCCACTTGTCAAAATTGATCTGGATGTGGTTTCTTCAGTTCTACAAGCGTGAAGTGGTCTCTGATGGTCCATCCTATCAGAGAAGACCTACTGTGTGCCTGACACAAAGGTTTCAAACGAGCAATGATCACCAAACGAGTGGCTTTTCCTGAACCCAGCTCTCCTTGGCCATCTCTCTAGCACTTGACAACGCTAACCAACCCCCTCCCTTTCTTGACATGCAAAGGGTGATAAGGCCAAAACCAAGCGGTGGCAGCAAAGATGGAAAGGAAAGGACAGATAAGAAAAACATTTCAAAGGAAGGCACAGCAGTAACTGGAGATCAAGCCCTTCTTCTTTGTGTCACTTTTGAGCATTTCCAAATAGTACTGTTCTCTACTGAGGTCATTTGTATGTATGCTATCTTTCCTCCTTGGGACAGGGACCAGATTTCAGTATCCAAAACTACTTTGCAACAGTATCAAGCCTTCAGAAGATACTTAATAGGTATTTGCCAAATAAAGAAGGATATTGAGATCTTCTCCATCTTAAACTCAGTCAACAAAAGAATTATTATCTGCCTTTACAAAGCCTACATTCACAAAGAGAGCTGTTCCTTTAATGATGCACCCAGCCCCACTGAGGCTGCCGGCAAAGATGACAGACAAGTTCTGGTACAGGCTAAGTTCATACTCATCAGAAGCCCAGCTGTCATTCCAGCATGGTGTCATAATGAAGATGAAGGCAGTAGGCCTTGTTGTTGAAAGGATAAAGGAGAAATGACTGGGGACGGGGACGGAATACCCAAGACATAAGTGGGATTCTGTTATGGAAGCTGCCCTCCTCTGCAACAGCCCCATAACAGTGAAATAAGCAGGCTGGAGTACAATGACCAGTTCCTTCCAGAATGCTACAGAGTCTACACGTCTGATGGGAACTCCCAGGGAGAAGAGGGGGCTTCTGTTAGCACAACTATCCACACCGCGTGGTCAGCGTGCAGGACTGAGTGATCAGTGTGGTGTGGGGCAAGACAGCCTTGCTAAAGAGAAGAATTCCATTGTCTCCTCCTTGCTGATATCAAGAAGGATCCCCTAAGTTCCCTGCTAAGCAGACAGTAAGTAGCAGTGGGCTCTGTAAAGTGGGCTGCCGGGAAGACTGAGTTCTAGGCCCGTGGCTTGCTCTATACCTGGGGCAGGAGTTCCCTTGCTTTGTGCTTCGTTCCCCTTTATGCAAATGGAGGCAGAAAAGAAGCATCTGTAAAACCGCTTGGAAAGTGAATCTTTCAAGTCAAGCATATTATGACCAAAAAAGTGGGAATTAACATTATCACATACTTTTCTATCCTCCCAAACAGTTCTGCAGACACTGATCAAGAAAATGGGTAAAGGATGGGAAATGTGCTCTAAATAATGTTTAAAAAGTAAAGTGAAAGGAAAACTATGCTCACCTGATCCCTGCCCAATGACATATATGGTCTCTCCGCATCCCTCGTCCATCCTCTCCCACATCTGCCGAAGTAGGCTGTCATACTGCTCTGATGTAGGGCTCACTAGAACCAGCTAGAAAAGAAACCAACAGCCTTAGGACCACACTTCCTAGAAGAGCACCACAGCCAAAGCCCTGACTGGACCCCACGACGCCCTAATCTAAAATAGCTACCCAGCCCCCTCGCGCCCTCTGCCATCCGTACATGGCCTTTGAGCCTAAGGCCTCATATGTGTTGAGTTTTATAATGTACTAAAATGACTACTCTGAAACACACCACAGAGAGGAGGGTGTGAGCAGCCTGCCTCCAGCTGCTTACCAGGAGGGGAGGGACTAACAGTGACTGAGAATCTGACTCTGTGGGTAGAAATTGATGAGCAATGCTGCACACCCACGTGCCCAGGTCTTCCAGCTACAGCTTGCAGCTCAAAGGACAAAGCTCTCTATACCTCCATGCCCTCCACCCTAGACCAGTGGTTGCCATAATAACAAAAGAATTCTGTTCCATTTTTCCTTGGCTATCTTGTTTTTTATTTCTTCAACAAAACACCATTACCACTAAGATGGGCATTAGCACGATCATTTTCTAAATCTGTGACAATAACATTAAAAGTATCAACCACTTATTTGGAGAGGTCATTTAACAATAGCCATTCTCTAGCATTCTTGGGTGACCTTGGACAAAGAGCTTAATCTCTCTCAGTCTCATTTTTTTTCAATTTACAAAATGTAGATAATACCACCTGCACCTTTAGGCCACACCACATGTAACATGTAAGCATCAGTCCAAAGCTCAGTGAATGGTAAGTATAGTTTTCTTCACAATCATTCAAAAAAACAAAAAAAACAAAAACCTTCTTGGATGAAACTAGCCACTAATTATTTCTCACTTGGGAAACTTTCAAAGCCTTAGATCTCCACATATAATTATAGCAAGTGCAGAACTTACAGCTTCTAATCTTTTCCTCAAGACTCAATCTATCAACCCATTCCTTTTCTCTCTCTACATGGTCATTTTTCTTTTCAATATCACCAATACTTATATACGTACAGTTTCTCAACTTTAAGATAATGAGGTGGCCTTCCCCCGCTATTGATGAAGAACCACTTCGCTATTCTGGAACATTAAAGAAGTTGGTCAGGAAACGAAGGTATTACTCTCTTTGCAACACTGCCCTGCAATTTCCCACTGTTTTCAGGTTTCTTCAGCAACTTGACCGTGAACTGACATCCAGCTGGTCTGCCTGAGTCAAGCACCTCTCTCACAACTCTCCAGTTGACTCATCCGAGCTTGTACCTGTGGCCTGAGTGCTGCCTGGGTCTTTTGCATCTTGTCTCATTGCCTCCCCCATATCCCAGACCTTCCCTCTCTCCCAGCATGGCCATCCTCCTATGGCATTAGAGGCACCAGATACGACCCCTAGCTTCTAAGAACTCAGCTGTCACTCAACAGAGAAAGAGCAGCCGAAACCGGTTTGGCTCAATGGATAGAGCTTCGGCTTGGGGACTGAAGGGACCCAGGTTCGATTCCGGTCAAGGGCACGTACCTTGGTTGAGGGCATATCCCCAGTAGGGGGTGTGCAAGAGGCAGCTGATCGATGACTCTCATCGATGTTTCTAACTCTCTCTCTCTCTCCCTTCCTCTCTGTACAAAATCAATAAAATATATATATTTAAAAAAAAAAAAAGAGAAAGAGCAATTGAAACTTGGTTGCTGAGGTTGCAGGGGCAAGTTTTCTCCAGTATGGGCCAAGTTTCATGCAATTTTGCCCCCAAAGGCTGTGTAAGGTCACAAAAATCTTTATTGCAATTTTCCAGCAACAGGTAGGATTATAGCAAGTGCAGAACTTATTGGTGTTGGTGTTCTATCTTCCATCCGCTGCTGTTAAACTGCATAGGGGATGATCAGCTCTTCAGTTCACTTCATTTACTGAACAGTTGTGTATTAGGCACTGTACTAGGTGTCTTATATGCATCTCTCATTTTTGCAACCATCTGTATGTAAAAGATCATGTAGCCAAAGAACTGAGAAGCGAAACTTTCCTAAGGTCACAGAGCCTTTGGAAGTGGCAAGGCAGGAAAAGAATCTGTTAAAAACAAAATTCAACCAAATAAACTTAAAGATCTAATTGGCTTTGTTAGTGATGCATGAATTGTGCAGCATCCCACTTGGCAAATAAAGAGACCCACTCTGAGCCGAAACTGGTTTGGCTCAGCGGGAGAGCATCCGTCTGCAGACTGAAAGGTCCCAGGTTCGATTTCTGGTCAAGGGCATGTACCTTGGTTGCGGCACATCCCCAGTAGGGGGTGTACAAGAGGCAGCTGGTCAATGTTTCTCTCTCATCTACGGTTCTAGCTCTCTAGCTCTCTCCCTTCCTCTCTGTAAAAAATCAATAAAATATATTAAAAAAAAAAAAAAAAAAAAAAAAAAAGAGAGAGAGAGACCCGCTCTGAGTAGTAAAAGTGGGAAATTCTTACAGGAAACTGAGCCAGATAGAGAGTTGTTAGACCCCCTGGCAATGGGCAAGGAGACACGGGTGTTGCTCTTATATCTGTCAGGGACAAAGTTAGTTCATCCTAGCTTGGTGCCTGTGTTGGTGGCCAGAGCTATTCATGCCTGGGCACATACAATTATATGTATATATAAAGTTATTAGAAAAATAACTTTAAAGAAAAGACTGTTTCAGGCCAGCTGACTAATGCTGGTGGAGAAGGGTGGCAGGGGGCTCCTATGCAGGTTACCTGTCTAGTGTCCAGGAGGAAATCTAGCAATCTCCAGCCCCATATTCCACACCTAGGAGGGGCTGAAACCGCAATTAAGTTTTGTTTTACTGTCTAGGGAGCAAGTGATCCCACCGTGGGCCTGTTTCTTTTCTTTTCTTTTCCTTTTTTTTTTTTTTTTTTTTTTTTTTTTTTTTTTTTTTTTTTTTACCAGAACCCAATCCTGTCTGGCTCCCAAGTTAGCATTCTTCCTCTTCAGCGTCTTCAAAACACAGTCACATCTTATACTTCATTTTCACCCCCCACGATGCCAAGCAGAAGGTCAGACCTTCCCTCCTGTCCACCTTCTCAAGAGCTCAGAGGACACGATTTGAAACGTCCTTCATTGTTGCATTCATACAAGTTGTGGTTCCACTCCCAGGATGGCGAGATTACAGGTCAGGTCCAGCTTTCAATTTGGTTTGGGGTGGATTTGCAAAGCAGACATAGCTCAGCCATCCTTCTCCCCGGACGAGCGACTACTTTCTGTTTCCTTTCCCGACGCCAGGAAGAGACGCCTCCCCGCCCCGCTTCGGACCTGGTCCTCCCGCGCCTCCACTCAACCTGCCCAAGCCCCGCCGGCGCCCGGCTGCCGCGGACAGCCCAGAGGGCCCCTCTCGGCATCGGAGGAGGTGGCACCGTGCGGGGCGCAGCCGGTGTCGGGCACCCAAGTTCCACGTGGCGCAGCCGAGGGGCTGCGATCTCCCCGGGAGGCGGACGGCGGGAGGCCGGGTCGGAGCCGCCGGGAGACGGACGGCGGCGGGGGGCCGCCCGGGGCCGCCCATCGCCCGGGAACCCCCGGCGCCGTCCGCACCGGCAGGTGGGCGGGCTCGGCCCCTCCCGCTCCCGCCCCCGCAGTCGCCCGGGAAACGGCTCGGCCCACCTCCGGGTCCCCGGGCACCTGGTCCCATTTAGCGCGGCTGCCGGCGCCCGGGCCTACCTTGTTGGTGAGGTCCAGCTCCGGCTCGCCGTTGAGCGCCTCGCCGTCCTCGCTGCAGTCCGAGTCGTAGCCGTCGTGGAGCCGGGCGGCCGCCGCCGCGGCCCTGGCCGCCCCCGGGGAGCTGGGCTCCGGGGCGAACATAGAGGCCGGGACCGGCGAGTCCATCGGGGAGCGACTCCGCTCCGCCGCCATCTTTAATAACTTAGGCTAATTCGTACCCGGCCTCCCGGCCCTCCCCCTGTCATTTGCCTAATCTATGCGCGGCCCCGCCCCACGCCTCTTCGGGGTAATTTATGCGCAGCTCTTTCGGCCGCGTGGAGGGCGACACCTATCGCTAGCTCAGAAACAATCGGCCAGGCTTCTTAGCCACCAATCGCTGCCGCGCTTTCAAGTACCTCGTGAATAATTAATGAGGCCCTAGCCCCAACAACAAATATCTGAGACGTCACGCGCTCGGATCGCCACTTGGGCGGGGCAGCACTGTGTCCACGCTACCAGCCTGGAGCCTTCCCGCCAATGGGAGCAGGGGAGAGTAATGACTGACACAGAAGCCATCCAATGAGGAGAAAAATACACACACACACCGTTTACCTTCACCTATCTTCCCGCCCCTCGTTTCCAGAGGCGGTGCTCAAACAGTCGGCGCCAGAGCCTTCGGATGATGGACAGGGGCAAGGCCCAATCCGGTCACCGGATAGGTCCCGCGCCTTGGGCCACCGCCCACGGAGATTGTAAACTGCACAAGGCGCGTCCCACTCAACTCAGTGGCTCAGGGCAGTCCCTGGGAGAGCTCGGTCCCATCTGGTGGCAATCTCCAGGCAATTTTGATGGTAGGATTGGATCGATGCCTGGAATACTATAGCAGCCAGAGCAAGGCAAGACATTTAATGAAACGCTGACCTTAGGGAGAATTCTCCATTCACTGTCTCTGCGGAGAGAGCAATTACACGACCAAAAAAGAGGCAGCAAGCTTAACAGAAGCCAGAAGCTCCTGTTAAAAAGAAATAGACCCAAAACGGAGCCACTGTGGTAAGCTGCACCAAGACGCAGTATGCAGTTTTATTCTCTCCCGAGGAGTGAAATTTTAAATCAATCAGTCTGCAATTTCCTGATCACTTGTGAGGTAAGCTGCCTGAAAAGATCCCTCTGCCTTCCCCCAAAGCAAGGTGACCTAGTCTGAAACAACCCATTCTTTCAACTTCCTTGGCCCACCCTCCTGCCTATAAGAACCTTCTGTTTTGTACAACTACGTGGGGCTTCCTTCTATTTGCTAGATGAGCTGCTACTGCCAGTTCCTGAATCATTTAATAAAGCCAATTAGACTTTCAAATTTACTCGGTTGAACTTTTGTTCTTAAACACATCCCACGACATTTATTTATTTTTATTTTTTATATATTTTATTGACTTTTTTTACAGAGAGGAAGGGAGATAGAAACATCTATGAGAGTCAATGATCAGCTGCCTCTTGCACGCCCCCTACTGGGGATGTGCCTGCAACCAAGGTACATTCCCTTGACCGGAATGGAATCAAACCGGGACCCTTCAGTCCGCTGGCTGACGCTCTGTCCACTGAGCCAAACCCGTTTCGGCGTCACCACATTTATGAACTGTGGACCTGAGATCTAGCTAGGGTCTGTTTAAGGTAGTTTCCTATGGATTATTTTTTTCAGTATCACCACTTGTGGAAAGTCCCAATCCAAAACACCATCAACCAAGTTTTAGTATATTGAATTCCTGTTTCAAAAGTCTGAAAAGTTTGAGGAAATTAGGGATTAGGCCCATGGTCCCAGGGAGCAAGCAAGAAAGCAGCCGTCCAAGCTTCGGGGTTTGGAACACAGGATTTAGTGAACCAAAGGCTGGCTTTCCGTTTTGGTAAGGAAAGCGGCAACCTCGTTTTGTTCCTGTTTTCAAGTCTTCAGTGTACAAACACAGCTGGGAACCCTGGGCAAGAAGTCACCAACTCCAAATGTCTTGGTACTAGTTCTTCGAATGTGTTTTTCCTTTGTGGTTGGCTAAGCTGCTCACCACTGTCCCATGTATTTCTCTATGAGATAGTTACAAATAAAACCTTGATTTGTCAGAAAAGCAAACTATCAAGGCACTGTACTTTAGAATAGTTGATATTTAATATTTTACTAATAAACTGGCTTGTCCAGAAGGAGTTCAAGTTCAGAATGTGCTGACACAGGATGGGATACTAAAAATCATGCTCTTACCCAGCAGGTGTGGCTCAATGGTTGGGCGCCAACCCATGAACCAAGAGGTCACCCTTGGGTTCCCGGTCAGGATACAGGCATGAGTTTCGGGTTGATCCCCAGTAGCTGATCCTCAGTAGGGGGCGAACAGGAGGCAGCCGATCAAAATCAATGATTCTCATCATTGATGTTTCCTACCTCTCTCCCCTTCTCCCTTCCTCTTTCTGAAATCAATGGAAACTTTTTTTTTAAAGCATGCTCTTCTCATCATAGGGCTCTGTCCTATTCGCAGAGTAGGCGCTTCTTTTTTTAATTTTTTAAAATATATTTTATTGATTTTGTACAGAGAGGAAGGGAGAGTTAGAGAGCTAGAAACATTGATGAGAGAGAGTCATCCATCAGCCGCCTCTTGCACACCCCCTACTGGGGATATGCCCGCAACCAAGGTACATGCCCTTGACCGGAATCGAACCCGGGACCTTTCAGTCCCCAAGCCAACACTCTATCCATTGAGCCAAACCGGTCTCGGCGAGTAGGCGCTTCTTGAATAGAGAAATCTTAAGTCACATTTTATACAGGGAATTCCCTACCCATCTTACATCCTTTTTCTAAAAACAGGTTAGAGCCTGGGCTCCTTACTAGCTATGTGACCTAGAGCAAGTTAATTAACCTGAGCGTTGGTTCTCTCATCTAAAAAAATACCTCACAGAAGTTACCAGTAAGTAAATTTATATTTGTGAAGTACCTAGAACAATGCATGCAAGCCTCAATAACTAATCTTATGTAAATGTATCTGTAACTCTTAGCAGGCTTACAAATTACAAAAACTTAGGTAATCCAAAAGTTATCTGGAGGACTCCAACCGCATAGTGGGTCCTCAAACGTGTTAAGTGATAACTCCGTTGAGTGTAATAGTGTTGAGTGCTGTTGAAACAGGGTTGAAGAAGTGACGGAATTGTAAGCGTGATCTTTTCCCCCCCAAAAAATATATTTTATTGGTTTTTCAGAGAGGAAGGGAAAGAGTTAGAAATACCCATGAAAGAGAAACATCGATCAGCTGCCTCCCGCACCCTTACCCTCTCCCTTTCCCCCCCCCTCACACACACACACACACACACACACACACACACACACACTAGGGATGTGCCCGCAACCAAGATACAAGGAAGGTGACGGGGATCGAACCTGGGACCCTTCAGTCCGCAGGTTGACGCTCGATCCCCTGAGCCAAACCGGGGATCGAGCGTCAGCCTTATTGTTTTCCCACTTTTCTGAACAAAAATCCAAAAGGAGGGCAGCTAAGGTGGATAGTGAATATTTGGTGATGCCTTCCACACGCCCTCGAGGCAGCCAAAGGGGGGGAAATCCGCGCGGGACTGAGTTTACCCTTCCGGCACACAATGTGCTTAGCCTTAGACAGACCTTAAGAAAACCCCGAGGAAAGCTCCGAGGCAGCGGCCGGGAGGACGAGAGACAGTGGGCTGTGTGCAGGGAACCCCACAGGACACCCAGGACCTGAGATCGGATTCCTCACTCCGGGGAGCGGGGAGAATCTGGCCCGACCGTGCCGTTAGGTGCTTGGAAATCACCAGTGAGCAGCTCGCTGCACTAACACAAAACGGTCACCGCGGGACTCGCTGGGCCCGGCGGGCGGAAGCGCTCCGCCTCAGCCAACCGGGCCCGGCCAGAGGGGCGGGCGGGGAGGACCGCCAAGTGCGCCCACAGGCCGGGTCACCGCCCGGGGACGGCGCCGACGCCCGGGTGAGGGACGGGCCTGGCAGCGGCGGGGGCCGAGGCGGGACTCCCGCAACCGCCCCGCCCGGCGGGGACCGGAGCGGAGAAACGCCGCACCAGCTCCGCTCAGGGACCAGGTCTCCCAAAGCCACTGGAGCCGGGTCGGCCAGCGCGCGGCTGCCGCGGACCCCACCGCCGGCACCGCTGACGTCAGACTGACGTCAGACGTGACGCAGCCTCGGGGCGGGGCCGGGCGGCCCTGGAGGGCGTTTCCGGGGCACGCGCTGGGCGTGGCCGCTGACGTCGGGCTCAGGTGCGCGCGCTCTCGGAGCGGGGCCCAGGTGGCGGCCCGCAGTTCCCGGGGGCGGCCTGCCACGGTGAGGGGTGCCTCGCGGCGCGGACGCGAGTGGGCGGCGAGGGCCGGGGTTAGGGGGGTGCGGGGAGGGCCCCTCGACTTGCACTCACGTGACCGGCGGGGAGGTTTGGGTGGGGGCGGCGGCGAGACGGGTGGGCCCCCGAGGGTGAGGAGAATTGTTCGGCTCCGCCCCTCGCGGCTCGGCCCGTCCCAGCTCCGGACCTTCCCTCGGGCTGGGGCCGGGGCCGGACCCGCCGCGCCGCTTCCTGGCCAGCCCGGTCCTCGCCCTGCGGGGCCCGCCTGGCCGCCGGCTCTGACCGGGCTGTCTCCCCCGCAGGGCCGCGGCGAGAAGGGGGGAGTCCGCGCTTTCCCAGGGAGCCGCGCCCCGCGGGGACCCACCGCGCCCGAGGGGATGGAGAGGCGCCGCCGAGGCCCCAGCGCCGCCCGCCGCCCGCCGCCGGCCGGCCCTCGCTAGCCGCCCGGATTCTGCGTTTGATACACCACCGAGGCCTTGTCTCCTGGGTCAGTGGCGTCGCGGTTCGAAAGAAATGGAGGAAAAGGAGCGATGTGACCGGTTCCGTTCAGTCTTCCTGCATTGAGGCCTGGTTGGCTTTTACAAAGAAAAACACAGCAAGAAAATCGTGGGTTTTTGTTTTTGTTTTTCCCCGAGGGGTGGGGGGAGGGTAGAGAGGGAGGGAAAAGGGAACAAGGTCTTGGGTTTTTCTATGATTCTTTTTTTAAAAAATTCTGCACTTTGACATTAGTGGTGAAAAACACTAATTCGAAAGTTATTTTTCTATTGAGAAGAGATGGATTGTTTTTCCTTTTGATTCCAATCTTTCTCCCCGGTGACAAAGCATAAATCATGGACACCGGGAAATAAGGTGGACCTCAGGAATCCTGCAGAGACCCCGCAGCTCGCCTCCTTCCTCGGGAAGGGAGGGCGGGGTGTTCCTGGCCCTCTCCGGAACCCAAAACGAAAAACATGAGTTGCGTGCCATGGAGAGGAGACAAGGCCAAGTCGGAATCCTTGGAGCTGCCCCAGGCGGCACCCCCCCAGATCTACCACGAGAAGCAGCGCAGGGAGCTCTGTGCCCTGCACGCCCTCAACAACGTCTTCCAGGACAGCGGCGCCTTCACCCGGGAAACGCTGCAGGAGATTTTCCAGAGGTAGGGGACCCGTGCTTCTTAGTTTCTGGGTGCTTCTTGCTATGTCTGAATTTCTGGGGGGAGCGATGTCTCTTTTCCATTCACCTTCAAACCCACAAGTATTGTCAGCTGGATACTGTTACCAGGAATAAGGGACACAGAATTGCAAAGATAATCCCTCCTTTTTATTGGACACTTAGGGGCTAGGCACAGTGCTGAGAGCATCAGCAATATCATGGGAAGCATGTTGTTATTTCCACGTTATAGATAAAGACAGGGCTCAGAGAAGTTCAGTGATTCGCCCAGCTAACAAACGCAACAAGAGATGGAGCCAAGTTTGAATTCAGGTTTGTGCCTGTGCTGTTGGCATTGTGCTGTAACGCCTCTCCAGCCCTGCCCCTAAGGACTTGACGGTCTAGAAGGGGACAGGATAAGTACTACTCGGCCACCTGCCATCAGAGATGGTATGCTGTGGGTTCTATAGAGAGGAGTCTACACAGTCCCACTGGCGTGGCTCAGTGGCTGAGCACAGAACTATGAACTAGGAGGTCCGTTCGATTCCTGGTCAGGGCACACGCCTGGGTTGCAGGCTCGATCCCCAGGGGGGGACATGCAGGAGGCAACCCATGAATGATTTTCTCTCATTGATGCCTCTGTCTCCCTCTTGTAAATAAATAAAAAATATATATTTTTAAAGGTGTTTACACCATGCTCAGCCTTTCTTTGAGACCTTGTGCTAGCCTTTGTGCTTTCCATATATTTTGTGCTGCCCTCCCAATAGTGGACTACTGTTTCTGTTTTACTGATGGAGAAAGGCAGAAAGGTCAGGTAAATCCTCCAAATAGCTTCTAAGTAGCAACTCTTGATCCCCTCCCTTTTTTACTTCATTCTAGATATCCTTTCTTATCCACTTTGCCAGATGCTGCCTGACAGGTTGATAGAAGTTCAGTTTCTCTCTCTCTGCTTTGATGTTCTAAAATTCTTTTATCAAAGGGTTTTTCAGGAAATGGGGCCCTGTCAGGTGAAATAACATGTCTCAGGTCACCAGGTCAAGCAGTGAGCCCGTCTGATTCCTCCAGCTACAAAGTGTTAAGGCCTACTCAGTTCTCAGTCAGATCAAGCTGAGGAATTCTTGAAGCAGTGCATATTGGCAGTTTCAGAAGACTCTTCTCCCTTTACTCAGATAAAATTATTGCGCCATGAGGGCCTGTATTGCAGGTGGAAGCAATGTATTTTGGGGTGAAAGTTCATAGGTGTAGACTTTTTCCCCCGAAAGAACCATAGAGCTCTCTTAAAGGAATGTTAATCCCAGGGTGTTAACAAAATTATAATGAGAGTAATTGTTTTTCTCTGCCAGTAATAACTGTAGTTATGCCTTAGCTGTGCACATGCGTCATTTGCATTAAGGCCATTACCTGGCAAGCAGAATTAATTCTCTTCAGGAATTGGGCGCTGGCAGATAGATAATCTGTCTCAGATCATCAAGTCATATAACTGAAAGGAGTAGAAAGGAGGCCAGTCCATTACGCTGTTTCCTTTTCACCAGCCATTCATATTTTTTAAAATTGGATGTTTGTGAATTATTTTCTAGACCTAACCTAAGTCTAGGGAGAAGGAAAGGACTCACAGTGAGTAGTTGAGTGTGCTTTGTACAATACCTGGAAATATGTGGCAATCTGTTTTGTTTGTTAATCCTCATCATGATTTATTTTAGAATGGAAGGGAGGGAGAGAGGAGAACCATCAATGTGAGAAAGATACATGGATTAACTGCCTCCCACATGCACCCCAATCAGGGCCGGTGATCCGGCATGCAACCAAGGTACATAGCCTTGACTGCAATAGAACCTGGGCCCCTCCAGTCCCCCCCCTATCAACTGAGCCAAACCAGCTAGGTCAATATGTAGCAATCTTGCAGCAACCTTCTTATAGTGATCCAAGGATTCAGTTAAATTTGCCCAGTTCCACTCACTAGTAAATTTCAACAGTCAAGATTCATTCAGAAGTTTTCCACCTCTATAAGTTTGGCCCCAATCTGAAATGATGACAATCTCTAACACAGCTGAGCACTCACACTGTTTCCTCATGTTAAGTCATTCCTCACATTGATTTTAAAAAATAGATTCTGTTATTTCCCATTTTTTCATGTAAAATCGTGGCCCAGAGCTATTAATGGCAGGATGTGGACCCAAGCTTTGTAACTCCAGGGCCTCCTAACTGCTCTGTTGCTCCCTAAGTATTGGAAAGGCACGTCATAACAATTATGTCATCATAATTATGTCTTCATCATAGCCAAATTCTACTACATACAAAGACATCAGTATCTGTTCACTCTGCTAGTAAGTTGGGTCTCAGTCTGAAGATCTGGACTATGATTGTAAACTAAATAATAGTGAGGCTCTTTTAGCTGTGTTTTCCCTGAGCGAAAGAATGTTAAATACTTGCTAAACATTAACATGGAACCAGAGTTCTATTCCTGGCTTTAAAGCTTCAGCAAGTTGTACTACACTCCCCAATTCCCTAGCAGCATAGTGTAAAGATCCACCTTAAATCAGTACACAAAGAGAATACTTTGTCCCCACTCCAAGAATTCTTTAGTATAGTATAGACTATTTTGTGTGGAAAGATTCTGTGTGGGTGAATAGAAACAAACAAAAAGCATGAAAAGGACCCGAGGAAATAGCAAAGGAGAAGAGGTGAAAGAGAAAAAATGGAATTTTTTAAACAAACATTTACTGGCTGTGTGCAGTGCCAGGCACTACCGGACACTATAGAGAAAACAAGCTGAAAAGGACTCAGCCACTGAGAGTACATCTCGGTGATACACCTTGGCCAGTCTTGAGAACAGACTCAAGTAAACTTAGAAGCATGGAATTTAGAACAATGTAAAAGGAAAAGATGATCTATTTGGGACCTAACAGAAAAAAACAGTAAAGTTGACAGATTTAACTAAATAATTTTAAATTCCCAGATCTAAAGTTCTTTGCTTTTTTGAAGATGTGACTAATGAATAGTAGAAATGAGAAAAAAATATTAATGTGAATGCCATTTGTTGAGAAGGAAGTTCATCCTAGCAGTTGAGTTTAGCCGCTAAAGGAGAAATACAAAAGCAGGGTGGAGTTTCAGTACAGTTGTGCCTGTGAGATGACTCATGTTTGGAATAAAAATGAGTCGGAACTTAGAAAGAACTAAGCTAATGACTTGGTAGCCAAATGGGGATGAGGAAGAGAGGAGTCAGAGTTGTGGCAGGCCGGGTCCATGATTTGGAGATAGTGGTAATGTCTGTAGTGATAGTAAAAAGACACGAAAAGGTTTTCAACATGTGAAATTAGAGAAAAGATAGAAATAGTGTTCATGCCGAAACCGGTTTGGCTCAGTGGTGGAGCGTCGGCCTGCGGACTGAAAGGTCCCGGGTTCGATTCCGGTAAGGGGCATGTACCTTGGTTGCGGGCACATCCCCTGTAGGGGGTGTGCTGGAGGCAGCTGGTCGATGTTTCTCTCTCATCGACGTTTCTAGCTCTCTATCTCTCTCTCTTCCTCTCTGTAAAAAATCAATAAAAAATATATTAAAAAAAGAAAAAAGAAATAGTGTTCATGTGGACATTTGATCTCACAGTTTATCATGCACATCTATGCTTTGAAAAGAAAGGACTTGGGAGTGAAATGATGCGGCAGCAGCTTTGAAAGGTTATTTTAAAAATCCTCAGGTCTCAAACATTTTCACTAAATTCATCTCAATTTTTCAGTGATCAAATGTTCTTGAAGCTAAGTGTTTCCTCTCAAAATAGATGCTAAAATCTAAACAGATGAAAATTAGCTTGGTACTAGGGAAAAAATCTAATGCACTTGGAAGGGACAAAGATTGTGGATATTGGTGAGCAAAGATCTCTACTATAGAGGGGAAGACCTGCTGCCCTCCTATTAAATGGTCCCTGAGCCATTTAATAGGAAGGAGCCACATTTAAAGGTTTTGTGGTTGTGCCCTGACCGCTGTGGCTCAGTTGGTTGGAGCTTTGTCTCATACACCAAAGTTGGGGTGCATGTGGGAGGTAAAAAAAAAAAGAAAAAAAAAAAAGTAAAGATATGGTGGTTGTAAATTGAGAAAAGATGTTAAGTGTTAACCTCTAGAGATTTGAATTATCTCATCCAAGGGCCAGACATCATCACCGTCTTCATCATAGCCAAATTCTACTACATACAAAGTACTTCTGTGATTTATATTTTACACTTAATAATTTAAAGACATCAGGAAGCCCTATTTTCTAATGTCACATCTCTTCAGACCTGATAAAAAGGAAAATAACAATTATGGGAGAAAAAGGATATGGATGAATGTCTCCACATCTACTTTTCTTTAAAATCTGAACTCATCAGCATGCCAGACACAGTGGCAACCATGAGAGGATCTGGAATTTCTCTGAGGTGTGAGACCTGGATTAGAGCCTGTCTTCTCACGTGTAGATCACTTCAAATCCACAACCTTTTGTCTGTGACAACAGTGAGAAACCTGCTTTGTGGTTCAGAAATTTTAATGAAATTAAGAGTCAGTCCTGAACAAGAATTTGCCAGGGAGTCCTAAGAAAACAGTCCATTGAAACAGAACAGGATCTTACGGAATTCAGTGGGGCCAGTGTATGGAAATATCGAGGAGGCTGTTTAGTGAAGTCTTAGTTCTGTTCAGAGTTAGGAAGTTGAATCCTAGCTCTGCCCCTCACTAGCTATAGATGACTGGGAAAATCACTGTAACCTCTTTGTATGTATGTAGTTTCCTTATTTACACAATGGGATTAATCTCTATCTCAAGATTGTTGGAAGGATTAAGCGATAAAGCTTATAAAGGTAGCTAACACAATGGGCACTATTATTAACATAAAAGCAAGTGCTAGTGTCCTAGATACACTGGGTAGACCCCACTTGTTCAAATAACCACTCTGGGAATGAGGTGGAAGCCATCCTCAGCATTTCCTGTATTGACCCGTTTGATCAACACATGTTTACTCAAATTGCCAGTGCCTACCTGTGAGGGATAAGAGTAAAAGAGCAATTTCCTTTCCTTCAGGAATTTACTATTTGTTTGGACATGTAGGAATAAAATGGCCTTCTTCAATAGTCCTTTAAGATAGGATTCATTCCCATTTTCACAGACAAGCTAAGAGGCATGGAGATTAAATCTCACAATAAGCATGCATGCTGCCTGGAAGTTCCTCCCAATCTCCCTTCTTTTTCTATTACAAAGGAGCCAGGAAGGATTCCGTGGAGGAGAGAGGATGTGAGGATGAGCCTGAAGAAGCTTTAGGATTTGACTTGGCACAGAAAGCAGGATGAAAGAGGAGAGGCCAGAAATAACGCTTGAGTGCTCAGACATATTTGGGAAATGAAAGATAAACCCTGTCTCCTCAAGGCTCAAGGTGAATACTAGCATTTTAGGGTTTCCAAGAAGACCTGCAGGAAACCTGTTTTCTTGTTTCATGCAGCCATTGTATTGAATGTTTTCTGTGATCCTCTGGGAATACACTTGGGAAAGCTCAGCTCTGAGGTTTGAGCCTGGTAGGTAGGGACTTAGGTGGTGAGAGAGGAGGAAGACTCACCAGTTTCTTTGTCAAAATCTTCCTGCATCCACTGGCTAGAGAGTTCACTGAAAGAATGAGATGCTGTTGAAAAACTGGTGAAGGGGAAGGAACTGGGTCTGTCTTGAGCGAGGCTTTTTTCATTTGCTTTTGCATTTAATCCAAGTGCCCAAGAGCCCACTGAGAGCCTTTGTCCTATTAAGCTGCATTTCAAGCCCAGGCCCAGGGGCTCAGCTGGCCTTTCCTCTTATCAGCCTGCCGCCACCACCATTCTGTCTTGGGTTCTTGCTGTAAGACAGGCACAACTGCCCAGCTAGTGTGGCTCAGGGGTAAGCACCGACCTTTGAACCAGGAGGTCATGGTTCAATTACTAGTTGGGGCACATGTCCAGGTTGCGGGCTCAGTCCCCAGTGTGAGGCATGTAGGAGGCAGCCAATTGAAGATTGTCATAATTGATGTTTCTATCTCTCCTTGCCCTTCCTCTCTCTGAAATTAATAAAGACATTAAAAAAAAACAACAACAACACTGGATTCCAACAAATCTGAGTTTGAATCCTCGTTCATACTTGAAAGATCAGGGATTAGTCATTCAAACCTTAGTTTTCTAAGCCTATAAAATGTAAATAATTCATAGCCTCATGGGCTTATTGTGAGGATTAAATTAGATACATATGAAAGCATGTCATGGGCTTGGCACAGAAGTTTCCAATAAATGGTAGTTATTACAGAGAAAACAAATTTTGGTTACAGAGTGGAATTTAATATCTTCAGGTACTCTTAACAGTTCTGGAGACAAGCACATAAGCTCTTTTCATTTTAAGGATCCACTGCTATTTTCAGGGAAAGAGATACCAATAAATACAGAGAGCTTTTCGACAACACTCCTTAAGCACCAGTCAGGTGCTAGGCACCCTTTGGGCCCTGGTGATGTATTCACAGGATGGAGAAGGCCACTGCCCCCCTGCCGTCATTTTAGTGTGGGAAAACAGACAAATCAGAAGGCATGTCCAGTAATAACAAGGGCTGTAATTAAAGCAGGTGTATATAAGAGGAAGTGACTGGGAAAAACCGAAGGATGGACTGTCAGAAAAGGCCTTTAAGACCCAAATAATGGGCAGATCAAGTGACGGTCTAGGGGAAGAGTATTCCAGACAGTGGCAGCCATTGAGTGCAAAGGCCCTCAGCGAGAAAGCTTGTGTGTTCAAGTAGCAGAGAAGGTCTGTGTGCTAAGAGGGGCGATGAGGTCAGCAGGACCCCAGGGCCTTGCAGGCCAGAGGAGGTAGTGTCAATTGTGTTTGGGGAGCCATTAGGGGATGTAAGCAGTGGTAGGAATGTTTTATATTGAAAAAATGACCTGGTATGTTGGCTGTGTATAGAGAAGTGTTTTACTTTTAAAAAAAAAAAAAATTAAATTCTTTATTGTTTAAAGTATTACATATGTCTCCTTTCCCCCCCATTGACCTCTTCCCGACCATTCCCACCCCAGCCCATGCCCTCACCCTCCTACTGTCTGTATCCATGGGTTATGCTCATATGCATGCATACAAGCCCTTTGACTGATCTCTTTCCCTCCTCTGCTTCTCTCTGAGGTTAGATGATCTGTTCCATGCTTCTATGTCTCTGAATCTATTTTTGTTCATCAAGTTTTTTACTTTTTATAAGGTTATTCTTAACTTTTTAAAATTGACTTAAAAGTCTCCATTCTCTTTTGGAGATGGTATTTAGTGGCGCCTAGACATCTCTGCTTTTTTACTTTTTTGTTGTTGTTGTTAATCCTTACCTGAGGAAATTTTTCCCCTTGATTTATAGAGAGAGTGGGAGGAAGGGAGGGGAATGGGGAAGAGAGAGAAAGAAAGAGGAGAAACATCAGTGTGAGAGAGACATATTGTTTGTTTGCCTCCAGCACTCATCCTGATAGCCCGGGAATCGAACCTGCAACCCACGTATGTGCCCTTGACCAGGAATCGAACCCAAGACTATTTGGGCTGGCGCTCTTAAGCACTGAGCACCACTGGCCAGGGTGACAGCCCCCTTCCTCCACACGTGCTGCCCTTTCCTTCTAGATGGCCTTTCCTTGGCCCTGGCCTGACAGGCCTGTGAAGCCAAGTAATAGGACTGGAAATGCCCTCAGAACTGACCTTGCCTTGAGGCGAAGGAGGGCTAAGGGCCTGCCTGGCCAGAAATGCCTTTCAGCTGGTGAGCAAACCAGACTGCAGTTTTGTTTTTGCACAAAAATTCCTTTCAATTGAGTCTTTGTTTTAATTTTTTAAAAAAATATATATTTTATTGATTTTTTACAGAGAGGAAGGGAGAGGGATAGAGAGCTAGAAACATCGATGATGAGAGAGAGACATCAACCAGCTCCTCCTGCACGCCTCCTACTGGGGATGTGCCCGCAACCAATGTACATGCCCTTGACTGGAATCAAACCTGGGATCTATCGATATCAGTCTGCAGACCGACGCTGTAGCTATTGAGCCAAACCGGTTTCGGCTATGTCTTTAATTTTTTTTTTAAATATATTTTATTGATTTTGTACAGAGAGGAAGGGAGAGAGATAGTTAGAAACATCGATGAGAGAGAGTCATTGATCAGCTGCCTCTTGCATACCCCCTTACTGGGGATATGCCCGCAACCAAGATACATGCCCTTGACCGGAATCGAACCCGGGACCTTTCAGTCCCCAAGCCAACACTCTATCCATTGAGCCAAACTGGTCTTGGCATATGTTTTTAATTTTTAAAAATTCTTAAGTATTTTACACATGCATGTGTATATTTGGAATGCTTTACGTGGGTCATACATTGCAGTTTCATTTAGGCCTTACTACATTTTATTGCTTTATACCTGGCCTCAATTCATACATTTGTGTTACCTGTCTGGGCTCCTGTAGGCCTTTGAGTGTTAAATGATTAATGATTACCAAGTGTGTAAGCTTTAAATGGAAAGCATTTAAATGTAAAAAAACAAGAATAACAAATACTGCCCATGGAAATGAAAATATCATATACTATTTTCCATTGTTTTAAAAAAAAGGTTTGTATCAGGGCAGAGAAGTCAGCAAGAAAAAAAGCTGGCAGAAATGGGTAGGCTGGGGATAAATGAGACTTCTTCATGGAACATTCTTTGTGTCCATTGACTTCATTGTAGACACACTTTTTAAATGATGGGCAAATAGGCTCCATCACTACTGAATTATTATTATTTAATTTTCTATATATTTTTGTTGAATGTAGGGGTTGAGGGAAGAGAAACATCAGTGATGATAGAGAATCATTGCTTGGCTGCCTCCTGCATGCCCTCCACTAGGAACCCGCAACCCGGGTATGTGTCCTGATCAGAAATCCAATGGTTCATAGATTGACATTCAACCACTGAGCCACACCAGCCAGTCCTGAATTATTGTTTTGCATTAAAAAAGAAATAACCCCTGGACAGTAAGAGCCCAGACTATAGAATACCTGGTTGAAAGCTTGGTTTACTTGAATGGGGTAAACAAACTTTTGAGGGCAGTGGCCAAAAGTGCTCTCTGGGAGTGCAGGCTCAGGAGGCATTAGGCAGATCAACAAGTCTCAGTCCTTCTTTCACATCTGTAGGTTGTCTCCAAACACCATGGTCACCCCCCACAAGAAGAGCATGCTGGGAAATGGGAACTATGATGTGAACGTCATTATGGCAGCACTTCAGACCAAAGGCTATGAAGCTGTTTGGTGGGACAAACGCAGGTAATCTGAACCAGGCTTGACTGATGAGAACTGGCAACAGGGAGTGAGTGGGGAGGTAGGTGACCAGTTGTGTGATAGCCAGGGAACCTGACACCGTTTCTCTTCTGCAGGGATGTCAGTGCCATTGCTCTCACTAACGTCATGGGCTTCATCATGAATCTGCCCTCCAGCCTGAGCTGGGGTCCACTGAAGTTGCCTCTCAAAAGGCAGCACTGGATCTGTGTTCGAGAGGTGGGCGGTGCCTACTACAACCTTGACTCCAAACTGAAGATGCCCGAGTGGATTGGAGGCGAGAGCGAGCTCAGGTGCCTGTGATGGCTGATGTGCTGGGTGGGCTCCCACAAGCTCACCTTTGGCTCTTTGACAAAGGAAATTAAATTCCTAGCTTCTTGGACTTCCTGCCTCACTTAGAATCATAAGGTCTCAGATCTGAAAGACCCGAGTCTTTGATAGTCCAGGAGCTCCAGCTCCTGGGATGCTGACCTTCTGGTCTGGAGGACTGGCCTTGTAACTTCAACTACACTTAGACAACTTGGCAGTGTGGCTGCCAGTTCAGGGCAGAGAGGTCTAAACTTCTCAAAGAATAGTTTTTTTTTTCTTTTCACAATTGTAAGTCTTTTGCTTTAGAGTTCTTTTGGCTGGCTCTGTTTGTCACAGAACTAGCTATTTAGGCAATATCAGCAGAAATTCAAATTGGAAATCTTAACTAGACACATTGAGGGGTAACCAAAAGTGGAACCCTCCAAGAGCAGATCATTACAGTTGTTTTTTTTTAGGATTGCCAAGGGTATAAATTAATGACGTTACTGGTGAATATATGGCCCCAAGACTTTGCCATTTTAACAGCATCTCATTCTCTTATATTTTCCCCCATAGGAAATTTCTAAAACATCATTTGCGAGGAAAGAACTGTGAACTCCTGCTGGTAGTACCAGAAGAGGTGGAGGCCCGTCAGAGTTGGAGGGCTGATATGTGACAGTTCTGCCAGCCTTCCCTCACCTCGGCCCCCTGAATCCTCCATGTGCTGAGGCCTATACAGTGGGTCCGCCCTTGCCACTTCCCAAACATCTCATCGGGTTTTTCCCCTCAGATCTGACTGTGCAATAGGCCAGAGGTGTGAAATGTTACAAGAACCAACCAGCGTTACTCATTCCTGGGAAAGGAAGGTAGGAACTCTGTGCTTAGGACAAGCAATAGAGACCTTGTTTTATTTGAAGAGACAAGGAAAAAGGGGGGTGGGGGGCAGTTCGTAGCTATTTTTTCCCCTTTCCTCTGAGGACTTGACAGAGGCTCTGCTGGAGTTCACTGCTGCTCTGACTTACCTGGAGATGCTGCCTCCATTTCCCTTTTCCTGGCAACTAGTGGGTCTGAAGACACAGGACACGCAGAGCTGGTGTGACTGGTTTGAAGGACCCAGAGCAAAAGGCCTCTCAGGAAACCATCTCGAAAACCCCAGCAGCACTACATCATGCCATCTGCAACCCTCAAGGCCATCCCTTGCCCTCTTTTTAAGGATGGTTTGTGGCTATCCTTACAGTTTTATAGAAAAGTTCTCTAATATTTCACACCGAGTGGCTGAATCCTGCAACATTCTAGCATGACAGGGTGAGCTAGATACCTAAGAGGATATGGCCAACCAGGCTGCCTGGGCAACCTGCCCGCCTCACTCCAGCAGTCCCTGCCATTTTGTTAAGTTTGGAGGCTCTGGGCACAGGATAAGCAAAAGGGCAGTTTTCCCTGTTGGCCCACTCTGACCAACTCAGGAAAAAATGAGCCTGCCTTCGACATCCAATTCCACAGTTGAAGACAGCCGGGTGAGGCAAGTATTGTGAAGAGAACAGCTGGGATGGAAGTCCTGGGCTGGGAGTCACTAGTGAGCAGAGGCCTCGGATTAGTGGTTATGTGTATTATGTTAGAGGACTTGGGCCTCTCATCTTTCTCTAGCTTCCTTTACAAATCAACTAAGGATTGATCCGCCCCTACCTCTTTAAATAGCTGTAGGCCACTTTTCTAACTTTGGGAAACAAAGGAGGAGGGGAAGCGCTGCTGGTCTCCAAAGTGGCTGTAATTGCCTCAAGGCAGGTGGGCAGGCAGGGATGCCATCGAGGCCTTCCAGATCAGTGGTCTTGGCAGGCCCAGAGCTGCTCCACTAGCCAGACTTCTCTCCAGCAGCAGCCAGCCTGGGGCTTGCATGTCAAACCTGAGCAAGTTAAACAGGATGAAGCCGAGGCTTTCTCCCCACTGTGACTGGAGTGCATGTTTACACCAGCACTTTTTCTGCATTTATCTTCAATCCAACAAGGCCGTTTTTTATGCTGAGTAACAGGCCACCAAGTGGCTAATGCATTACTGTCTGAGCAACTGACTGCAAACTCTTGCACCATTTTCTACATCAGACTTGCTTGGCTCCACAGACAGCTCTGTATCCCTGCACAATGACATTCCAACCACCACCAGCCAGAAGTTACAGCCAGCCTTGCCGATTGTCACAAGCAGGAGCTTGGATCCATTGGCACTGTCAGTGATAGTAAGCCATTTCCTGAGAAGAGGAAACCTCTCCAGTGGGCTGGGGCCTGTGCAAATGGCACTTCAAAGGAGTCCCCATGCACTAGTCCATGAGCCAATGGGATATGCAAAGACGCTTAAACATTTCAGGGCTGGTCTCTGTTCATATCCAATTCTGGTGCTTAGGAACAGGGGCCCACGCTGATGCCTAAGGGCAAAAGCCCTATTTCCTTTAAGGAAGGGAGCGGGCCTGACCCTGATGCCCGTAAGGGGTGACCCTAGGCATTTTGTTTTTCTTGCTTTTACCCTCCCTTCCCCCCAATTTTGTTGGCCTTGTGCTGGGTTTGTTTACAAAAGATGTATTTTGTTTAACCAAATATTAAAAATGGAAAACTCCGTACATAAATCTCATGTCTGCCTAAATTCTGTAATTATGTACATAAAGGAGGGGAAAAGGTAAAGGAGTATGATGCTGCTTTAGAAGGAATTCACTAAAATCACAATTCATCTTTTACAGAGATGTTATGGTTTGGGGCAGTTCATGTCATTGTCCTAACATGGTCTGAGTTTGAGGTGCATATCCACTAACACAGGCTTGACACTTGGTTGGAATCATGGAATCATTTTAAATATTTAATTACAAAAGTGAGCACTGACTTTTTTTCTCTCTTTTAGACACAGGTCTAATGGCCAAAATGTGCAGAGGAGTGAGCTGCTGCTCTGCCCTCCACAGCACCCATCCTGTGGTTAAAAATCCTCCCTCTTTTCCAACATACACAGAACTTCACAGTGGCTGCTTTTACACCGCAGCAGTAATGCATCTGTATTTCATATAGTGTGCATGACAAAACCAAACCGTCGTCAATGGTCAGCGATACATCCTTCCCAGTGGCATCAGTTCATATTCCACAATCACACTGAGACCTGGTGAGGAGTAATTCAGTGAGAGGCGGGTGGCCGGAGTTGGGAGTGACCATCTGCTTCAGTGCACTCTGGTGGCAGAGTGAGGAGCGAAGTCAGGAAAGCTTGGAGGGCACAGTTGCAAGTTGGGAGTCTCCATGAGACAGTGACGGGGAAATTTTCCCAACCAAATTGTTTTGGTGCAAAAAAAAAATAAAAAAAAAAAATCAGCAGTTCAAACAGTATTGAATTTTCAAACTTCTGGTAACAACCTAGATCTTTCCAGGTAGTGAAGGGAGAGCCCCTGGCATTCCTCCTGACAGCCCCGTGTTAGGCCCTAGGAGTATCTGGAACAGAAAGGAAAGATGTAAGTCACCACACAGAGCTGGGCATCTCATTTTTCATCCTGTCTAATAGGGGGGAGACAAGGTCAACAAAAACAATGCTGAATGCAGTCAAGTGCCTAAAAGGCCTGGGCCAGATCCCAAGCGCTACCCACACATTAACTGCTGGTCTACGCAGGTGTCAGCTCACCTGCCGCTGCTGCAGTTGCTGCTGTTGCTCCATTTGCAACTTCTCAGTCTCAAAGACAACAGGAAGAACCAGGATCATGAAGGAAGTTGTCCCAATCCACAAGGCTGCCCTGGAAAACCTACAAAAGGATTGTGAGCATGATGGGAGGCAAAACCAGACAGCTGCACCAAGGAGGAACCAAATTCCTCATGCCACCGATGCCATGTTTTTTAGAAACACACTACCCAACTCTTCTTCCAGAAGCAGGAGGAACAGTTCTGGTAGCTGTGTATCTAGTGGCAGCAATTTTAACTTTCTACTGAGTTCTTACAAAGATACGGATACCTTAATTATCTCACACAATCTGAAATGAGTCTAACAAGGATCCTACCCAACAAGAATCCCCATTTATAGACAAGGAAATTGAGACTAAGGCTAAGGTACCAGAAGTTCAAGGTCATTCAACGATCTAGGTGACAGGCTAACTTCCAAACCAGGTAGGACCCTCCCAAGGCCCGCGTGCATTCACGGCACCCCAGGCACACCCCCGTGTCTTTGCCCTTGTCCCTTACCTGTACATTTTTTGAGCCACAAAGAGGGAGAGATCAAAAGTGGCTCCGGCCGCGGACCGGATCCTCTCGGGAAACATCTCCGTCAGACCCCAGAGTCTCTCCGACAGGGTCTCATCTGGCTGTGGTGGAGGAGGCCGGGGTCTTGGATGCAGCAGCGGCAGGTCCCCGCGCGCCGGGGCACGCTCACCACCCAAGGAGCTAGGGCACTCGGGGCCGGCGGGACCCCTAACTCCGCCTCCGAGAACACACCTCCGCTCCGACCTCTCCAGGCTCCACGGCGCGCCAATGCCCTGATCCCGCAGCACGCGGAGCCCACACCCCCGGGCGGGACGCTCCCGTTCGGACCCCCGCTCCCCGCCTCGCCCCGCTGGGCCCCGGTACCTCGTCGTCGTCATCCTCCTCCAGCTCCTCCTCCGTCTTCTCCGCTTCACCTTTCGGAAGCAATTCGTCCGGGGGCAGGGGAGCACCTGGACCGGGGGCGGCGACCACGGCGGCCATGGCTGTAGGCGGGGAGGGAAGAAGAGAGGGACACCGGAACCGGAAGGGAGGAGGCGAGAGTAGCGCAGTGCATAGAGCTGCCCTTCCGGGAGCTGGGATCAGAAGGGCGGGGGACAGCGACACCTTCTGGCTGGCGGTCGTTATCCGCCTTCAGCCAAGACGGACGCGGCTGCGAGTCCAGGGAAATAAACAGGGGAGTTTGCTCCAGTCTGGCTTCTTCCGCGGGAATTCTGTGCAGAGGGTTCCGCGTGGGCCCAGAAACCTGCACTTTGACAAGCTGCGTAGGGATCGCCCTTAGAGAAACACCAATCTAGTTTCATTTATCTGAGCGGTGTGCTGTTTGGTAGGAATAAGTTAGAGATTTGAAGGTTAATTGGTCTTTTGGGAAAATATCAAATAAACAGACCCAGTATACTAAAACACAGGCAAGAGCTAACGCTTAAGGAGCGGGCACTGTGTGTGTGTTGAGGTACCGTTTTCCCTATCTTTGAATTAAAGAAAGTGAGGCACAGTACCGGGTTACTGTATCTTTGGAAGATAGATTTCTGGAAGTGGATTTGTTACAACAAAGTATGGCATTTAAAATTCTGCTAGGTATTAGCTCATTGCCCTTCAAAGTATATACTTCCACATAGTGAATGAAGTGTCCTTTTCCCCACATGCTCCCCAGAATTAGGTATTAACCGTATTTTAATATTTTGCCTATATGATAGATGAAAAATGCGTTTTTATAATGTGCCCCACAGTTATTACATACAAGGATAATTTGATCTACATTATCAGCCAACTGACTGTGGAATGGGAGAATCTCAGAACTGCACCATCCAAATCCTTATCTGCACTGAGCCATTCCGGAGCAGGAGAGCTTGCACTTCCTCCAGAGCCGGCCCTCAGTTTCACTCATCTATGGTCTGGGCAGCTCCGAGTACAAGAAGTTTTCATGTCACGAAGGGTGCCTACTGTATGATTCTGTTACGTAAAGTTCAAAAACAGGCAAACCCTATCAGTGGTGAGAAGGATAGTGATCCCTCTGAGGAGGAGGGTTGGGAGGGGCGGGAGAGTAACTTTTGGGGAGCTGCTAGTGAAGTCCTTGCCCTGGGTGGTGTTACATGGGTGTGTTCATTTGGGATAATTCATCAGGCTGTATACACCTGTGAATTACATTTTTTGCATGTTAACCTTTTTATGTTTTTAAGTATCTATTGTACATCAAGCATGTCAAACGTTTGGCCCTGCCTGGCCTCGAGTTTGACATGTTTGATCTACATCGATGCAAGGGCAGCCTAGGAACCCAGTGATGATGGCTTCTGATTCTTTAACGGGCTCTTTTAAAAATATATATATTTTATTCATTTTTTACAGAGAGGAAGGGAGAAGAATAGAGTCAGAAACATCGATGAGAGAGAAACACCAATCAGCTGCATCCTGCACACACTCTACCAGGAATGTGCCCGCAACCAAGATACATGCCCTTGACCAGAATCGAACCTGGGACCCTTGAGTCCGAAGGCCTACGCTCTATCCACTGAGCCAAACTGGCTAAGGCCATAATAAAATTTTTAACTAAAATCCTAGTCATACCTAAAAATACTTTTTTTAAAGGTGTGAAAGGAGGGGAGCTGAGACGGGTTTGGCTCAGTGGATAGAGCATCGGCCTGCGGACTGAAGGGTCCCGGATTCGATTCCAGTCAAGGGCATGTACCTTGGTTGCAGGCACATCCCCAGTAGGAGGTATGCAGGAGGCAGCTGATTGATGTTTCTCTCTCATTGATGTTGCCAACTCTCTTTCCCTCTCCCTTCCTCTCTGTAAAAAATCAATATATTTTAAGAAATAAAATAAAACCCAGTTGAACACAGCATTCCTCTGTTCAAACTCACTCACGGCTTGCTTCTTCTGTCACTCACAAGTCCTTCTTCCCTGTAGAATTGTCCCACATTCTGGCTCCCACTGGTCAGGTGCCGTGGTGGTGAGCTGGGGACCCACACCATTGTGACACCCAAACCTGCTCTGGTCCCGGCTCTATCCCTTCCAGCTGTCACCCTCTGGAACGCTGTCTTCAGCTAAAAGCAGGGGATGATACGATTGATGAATTCTTGTGAGAATAGTAAACAGGTACCTGGCATCCAGGGTGCTCTTCCAATGTTTGCTAACCAGAGTGGCCCAGGAATCAGCACACTCAGTCGCCCCATTGCCGGCACCTGGAGGTTTGTATCCTATGGGCTGGGCTTCCACCCATTCCCCATGGACTGGGCACCCCCACCTCGCCCCTCTTCCGCTGTGGCTGGGAGTCTAAGAACCTAAGTTTCTGAAACTCCTGGGGTTTGGTTCCTTGTCTGCGAACAGGCATGCTGCTAGTCTGTGCACCACAGGACTAAGTGAGGAGGAAAAGAGAGAGTGCCCAAGGGCCCAAGCCCCCGCCATGCATGTACCTGCTGCCCACAGTGGTCATCCCTGGGTGCCGTCCCCACCCTCAGTGCCCTCCCTCGTTGGGAGCTGAATCCCTTTGGCTGGCTGGCCCCTTTCTCCAGCCAGAGCAGCTCAGCTCAGCTCAGCCTCGGGCACAAAACTCCCCCTCTAAGAATCCAGCCCCACCCAGCTCCTTGGTCCCGGCCAGAACCAGGATAGTCGCAACTCCCCAGGGGAGAGCAGGGAGGTGGGGCAGGGAGTTTGTCCCAGGTCAGCCTCTGCCAGTGCCCCAGCAGCTGGATGCTTCCCACCACCTGGACACTCTCTCTGGATGGAACAACAGCTCAGACTCCAGGTTCCACTTCTTCAGGAATTGATGCTTTTTTCACTCTGGTCACGGAGATCATGTAAGAACATTTAATTGAAAGAAACAGTGTTGAGCCAGGACCGGTTTGGCTCAATACATAGAGCGTCGGCCTGCGGACTGAAAGGTCCCGGGTTCGATTCCGGTCGGGGGCATGTACCTTGGTTGCGGGCACATCCCCAGTGGGGGGTGTGCAAAAGGCAGTTGATCGATGATTCTCTCTCATCGATGTTTTTAACTCTATCCCCCTCTCTTCCTCACAGTAAAAAATCAATAAAATATATTTTAAAAAATCAATATTTTTTTTAAAAAAGAAAAAAGAAAAGAAACAGTGTTGATCATTGAGCCATGAACCAGGAGGTCAGAGTTCAATTCCCATGTCCGAGTTTCAAGATCAGTCTCCAGTAGTAGGCATACAAGAGGCAGTCAACTAATGATTCTCTCAATGATGTTTCTCTCTCCCTTCTCTCTGTGAAATCAATAAAAATATATTTTGCTTTTTCTATTGCTGATTAGAGAAAGGGAGAGGGAGAGAGAGATAGAAACACTGATGAGAGAAACATCATCAATCGCTGCCCCCTGCACGCCCCCCCTGGGGATCGAGCCTGAAACCCGGGCTTGTGCCCTGACCAGGAATCGAAACTCGTCCCTCTTGGTTTCTGGATCAACGCTCAATCACTAAGCCATACTGTCTGGACAATAAAATATATTTTTACGAAGTACACTGTTTTTATTTTTCAAATCTTTATTGAAAAACAAGGGGGAGTAGTATAAACAAGAAAGTCGCACAAAAATATAGTGTTGCATAGAAGACTGGTGATTGCTGCTGAGACTGAAGCCAGAGGGTGTGGATCTGGGGAGAAACACTCTAACGCACAGAGAGAGCGGCCTGAGGGCAGAAGGCAGGGCTCTTCAGAACTGGGGCCAGGCCCGAACACCAACGGGAGGGGAGGCTCGGCTCAGATGAATTCCAGCTGCTTCTCCAAGAGTCCGTCCAATGAGAGCGAACCTGGGACAAGCGCATTTACACGTTAAGTGACTGGCGAGCACCAGACTGCAGAGGCTCTGCTCGCAGCCTGGCCCCCGGTGCTGAGCCGCCAGAGGACATTGCTATTTACTGCCCTGGCCTGGAATCCTGGTTCCTCCAGGATGCCATCCCCCTTCTATTGCCAACTCAAGGGTGCCAGGGCCCTGGGCCCCATTTGTGGAACTCTCCCAGGGCCTAACCTACTATGTTAGCTTAAAAAACCCTCAGCTGTATGCCACTCCTCTGATCAGTCCAGTTCTCCCTCTTCTGCTAACCAGCGTCGTGAGGTCTTCATTTCCTTCTCCGGTTGACACTCTTCAGCTCTTCCAGTTCCTTCTTCATTATCTGGAACTCGGCCGTGGTCTCGGAGAACTGGAAGGGAAGCGGGCTGTTATAAAGGAGGGCATTCTGCGCCCCCTTCCGGTTTGCAAGGCCAGCCCGGCGCACCGGTCAAGGCTCCTGGCATTTCTCTGCCACGCCTGCCAGCATCCGGGAAGGAGCCCTTTGTAACTGGGCAGAATGTAACCACCTCAGGCACTGAAGAGCTTTCACAATCCACTCAGCGCATTTGGTCGCTGGGATTGCATGGCATTGACCTTGGGAAGGACAGCAGGCCTCCGGGAAACGGAAGGCTGGGAGCACGGCCCTCCCGCAGCCCTCCCGCCTCCGGAGCGCTGCCTCGGCCCGGCTCTCCTCCAGGCTCCCGGGCCCTTCCTTTGCTCCTGGCACTTGTTTCCTGGGCCTCCACAGCCCAGCCCGCTCGTTTCTACCTCCGTAAATTTCTAAAGAAACCTGCTCTTATAATTTGAAAAAAATAAAAAGAGGAGAAGAAGGCCAATACTGGTAGTTCTAAGCTAGGGGTGTCGAACTCAATCAGAGAAGGGGCCAAAATCTAAAATCCAGCCTAAATCGCGGGCCGAATGGTTTACTGAACAGTCATAAACTGTCATTGTGATGGAAACGCAGCGGAGTGCAGTGATGACAGCACGGTGTGGGCCACATTGCAAAGCCTGGCGGGACGGATTTGGCCCGCGGGCCTTGTGCTTGACACATGTGTTCTAAGCTAAAGGATTGACTGCTTCTGAGCTGCAGCTCCCATAATGATGGGGGGTGGGGGTGCTTAAAAAAGAATGCCACTTCCCACCCTGGCTGGTTTGGCTCAATGGATAGAGCGTCTACCTGTAGACTGAAGGGTCCCAGGTTCGATTCCGGCCAAGGGCATATGCCTGGGTTGAGGGCTTGATCCCTCAACCCAGGCATATGGGAGGCATGCAGGAGCCAGCCGATCAATGATCCTCTCTCAATATTGATGTTTCTGTCTCTCCCTCTCCCTCTCCCTTCCTCTCTAAAATCAATAAAATATATTTTAAAAAAAAAGAAAAGAAGAAGAATGCCACTGTCCTCATCAGGATCTTTCAGTAATTTATGTTCCCGACAGGAACAGAGATACAGCCTCTGAAGGTCAGCTTGCTATGGAGGAGCTGCCTCCCTGAGCATCCACTGAGGCCCCCAGGGCTTTACTTGTTTATTAACTTCACAAGGTGCAGCCCGCCCTCAGTCCATTTTACTGCCAAAGTCACGAAGCTCTTCCCGCACATCAGGGAGACACACGAGCTGCGTGGAGCAGCGTGGAGCTGGGCGAGGAGCTGGGGAGTGGAGCTCCAGAGCGCATGCTCTAACCATTGCAGAGTACACTCTCCTGCCTCTCAACCTTCACAGGCGCCTCTCGGCCCCTGGGGCTGGGTTCTAACAGCCACAGGAAACGCCAGGCACTGAGGAACGCCTGTGGCACAGGACATCCCGTCCCAGAGCAGACGGCCTTCCGGCCTGCCTTCGCCCAGCGCAGCCCTCCTTCCTGCTCCACATTCAGCTCTATGTCCCTTCTGTGCGGACAGTCTCCCCGTCACGGCTGACACAGCCCGTTCAGACTCTCACTGTGGCCTCACCACCCGGCACTGGCTTTGTGCCATTGTCCCCGGCCTGTGAGTGCGTGAAGGGGGGGCTGTGCCTGATCTGCTTTGTATCTTTGGATTCAACGCCACGTTCCTGGCGGACGGGCACTCAGAGGCACGAGCTGGATGCGCTGACGCGGGCGGAGCCTCCCCCACAGGAAAGCTCGGCAGGGCCCGCCCCCTGTCGCCGTCCTCACCATGTCCAGCAGGACCTCCACCTTCACCTGCAGGAGGTTGTTCTCCTCCTCCAGCTGCTGGTTCCGCCTGCGGAGGCGCTGGGCCTCCCTCTGGTCCACCCCGCCACTCAGCCCGGCCTCTGGGGGAGACAGAACCGGCAGTTACAGGGGCGGGGGAGGGAGGGACGGGGGTCCTTCCATCATCTTGTTGGAAAAACGGCAGAAATCGGCCCACCTGCTACCCAGTGGCCGTTCTCAAACTTCAGGCTCTGCCCCGCCAGGTTCATCGTGGGGGTTCCGTAGTCAAGGCCCAGCTCCACTTCGCGGGTGGACCGGTCCAGCTGTGGGGAGACTGCATGCTGGCGCCAGGAGGCCTGGCACTGGCTCCAGGCCCGGCCCTCTCCTAACCGCAGGACCCCAATAACTCGCTACTTTCCTCTAGTCGTTACCCAGCACATTTAATACTTTTAAAATCAGAAAACCAAGGAAGGTGCAAACAATTCTAATTCTAAGAAACATACTACTTTATACACCAGATGTTTTCAAAAAAAAAAAAAAAAGCTATTTATGTATTTTTCATGGATTTTTCTGATGTTTCTACAACTCACTGGGCACCCGCCCCGCATCAGAGCCAGTCCTGGGCATTCAGAGAGGAATGTGCCCAGCTCTGCCCTGAGGAGCTGAGAAACTGCCTCTGGGGCTGTGCCATATCCTTCAGAACGCCATTAATGGGGCAAACACCGTCCTTTGAGAAGGATCTCGATTCTGGCCACGTCTTGGGACTAAAGTCAGGTGACTGGACGTCCCGCTTTTGGTCTTTCCAAAAATCGGGACTTTTTTAAAACGTCGAGGGACGCGGGACAAATTGTTAAAAATCGGGACTGTCCCGCCAAAAGCAGGACGCCTGGTCACCTTAGACTAAAGTGAAGTCAAACAGGACAGTATTTCGAGCCAGAAGTCATAGTGAGGTTGACTGCTTGCTAGGTCCCAGAGCAAGCAGGCGTTAGCATATGAATGAAAAGGACGCTCTCCTGCTCGCGTGCCTCCAGAGAAGAGACCTGACCCCCCTGTCGCGGCCCCAGGCGGGGTGGGCCCCGGCGGACGCTCACGTTGTGCAGATTGGAGAGCGAGGCTGACTTCCGGGGGGGTGTCTTCTTCGGACTGAACGTGCTCCCGAAGAGAGGCATCCTCGGGCTGAGGAGGAGGGGTCACTGCTCCCTGTCGGGACAGTCAGGGGGACAGACGGTTGGGCCAGTGACTATGTCCCTGTCCTAAAACCAGGAAAACACACATCTGATGTGGCTCTTCACAATCCTGGCAACGGCTCCCACGGTGGCCTGCTCGCTCTGTGCCAGGCAGCCAGTATGCTAACCCCTTTGTGTGCAGTATCTCAAGTCTCACAATCCATTGCTTGGCTCCCCCATTATCCCCATTTGACAGATCAGGTTTAGGAAGACTAAGGTCCTCAGCTGGAGCTAGATCCTGAACACAGCTGTGTGTGGCTCTATAGGTTATGTCTGTGTTCGGCAAACTGCAGCTCGCGAGCCACATGTGGCTCTTTGGCGCCTTGAGTGTGGCTCTTCCACAAAATACCATGGCCTGGGCGAGTCTATTTGGAAGAAGTGGCGTTTTTAAGTTTAAAAAATTTGACTCTCAAAAGAAATTTCAATCGTTGTACTATTGATATTTGGATTTGTTGATTAATGAGTTTGTCCACCACAGCCCTAACCGGTTTGGCTCAGTGGATAGAGCGTTGGCCTGTGGACTGAAGGGTCCCGGGTTTGATTCCAGTCAAGGCCATGTACCTTGGTTGCAGGCACATCCCCAGTAGGGATTGTGCAGGAGGCATCTGATTGATGTTTCTCTCTCTAGCCCTCTCCCTTCCTCTCTGTAAAAATAAATAAAATATATATTTTTAAAAATGATTAGTGTTGGTGTTCTATTTAAGAAAACCTGCCTATTCCAAAAATGACATTTTCATAGGTTAATTTTTATTGTTTAACTTCCCCACTTAGGACTGTGGTCATCCGGAATTAATTTTGTATACTGTATGAGACAGGGCCAAGGTTCATTACTCCTCATACATTACCCAGTCTTAACTCCTAACACATAACTAGCTTAAAAATATTCCAGAAACTGCAGGCAGGTGATAACGACAGTGAAAGCACAAGGGAGCAAAAGAAAGATGCAGAGCTTCCCTGCCCGAGTCCTAGGTCTGAGGCCTTCACCACATCATGAGAGAATCCCAGCTGACAAGAAGCTGACCTAAAAAGAAGGGAACTTCAAGACTATTTGAAACAAAGTTTTATGTCAATTATCATTAAAAAATAACTCAGCCCTAGCTGAGTGGATAGAGCAGTGGATAGAGCATCAGCCCACAGACTGAAGGGTCCCGGGTTCGATTCCGGTCAAAGGTACCTGGTTGGGGAATGTGCGGAAGGCAACCAATCCATGTGCCTCTCTCATATTGATGCTTCTCTCTGTCTCTCCTCCTCCCTTCCACTCTCTCTAAAAATCAATGTAAAAATATCCACGGGTGAGGATTAACCAAATAAATAAATAAATACATAAATAAATAGGGCACAATATAAATCCATCACAGTTAGCAAGACATGTTATGAAAACATGTAGAAAAACTGCTATTTTCAGCGATGGATAAATTAATATCATTAAAATTAATGGTAAAAGTTTCTTTGGACATTTTACAATATACAAAACAGAGTATATGTATATATGTTTTATAAATAAATAAAAATAAAGGTATTTCAGGGTGTGTGCTCATGCGAGTTTTACTGGTAGGTGTGTGTTTGTGATGAGAAACAAAAGCAGTAGACACACAAGCTATGGAATGAAGGCCCTTGGGCCTGGGCACAGCGCGTAAGGACTTGGACAAACCAGAACGCTAACAGCTTGGTGATGGACGGACAGCAGTGGGGGCCAAGATGCTGAGGGCGTTTTCAGCTGTGCTTCCACGTCACCCAAAACACCGCGGAAGGCCCTGGCATGGCTTCTGCTCCAGGAAAAGAAAAAAAAAACGGGTGAAAGAGGGAAGGCAATTTTATGTCTGTAGAGGGCAAAGCAAGAATGAAACTGGAATATCCAGAAAGATTTTAACTCAAAAAAGAAAAGGGCACCGTAACAAAAACTAACTACTATTACTTCCTGCGGCTCCACTGCGGCTGGGCCCGATGCTGGACCTGATGCACAGAAGCCGCTAAGGAGCTTGCCCATCACACGGTGGGGAGGTGAGGAACTGGGCTTCCAAAGGCGGCCTGTGCCTCTGCGCTGGTGACATCACCACCATGGCCGTGCAGTGCGGCACCGTTCGCAATGGGCCACAAAGGCCGTTACCTTATTTTAGTCTAACGGGAAGGCGGGTCTCTGGCTTCCATCGATCCTCCAAGGGATCCGGTCTCCCCGGTAGGTACAAGCCCCACAGGGACAAGGCCCCCGGGGCTGGTGGATCCAACTGAAGGCAGAGAACAACGTCCCTTGCTCGCCCTTCACCCCTTACGGCCCCCTAAAGGGAGTGGTCACACGCGGCCGGGGTGGCTCAGTGGTTGAGCGTTGACCCGTGAACCAGGACGTCACCCTTCGATTCCCGGTCAGGGCTCAGGCCCGGGCTGCGGGAATACTTCTACCTCTGTTGCCCTCCCTCTCCCTTCCTCTCTCTGAAATAAATTTAAATATAGATTACATATTTAAAATTATATATAAAAATAAATTTAAATATATTATATATTTAAACGTAAATACACACATACACATATTCTTTACATATATATAAAGAATAATCACGATTCCAATTTACAATCAAGGAACCGCACTTGGAGGAGCGGTGACCACCCGGGGTGAATCCGTCCGTTGCCCGCCGCCGGCTCCAGCTGGCCGCACCCCCGGTCCCCCGGGGAACGCCCGGCCCCAGGCCCCGGGAGACCCCGGGCCGGAGACGTACCTGACCCGTCGCCGGCGCGAGTTCCAAACCAGCGCCCGCACCACCCGCCGCCCCGCGGCCACCGCCGGTCTGCGCGTGCGCGGCCCCGCCCCGGGCGCTACCACCGAGAGCATAGGGGGGTGCGCGGCGCGGCGCGGCCCACTACACGAACCTTCGAGAAGGACCAGAAGCGCAAGAGCGCTGCCATCGCCGTGACATAGGGATTCCCAAAGGGTCGGTCTCCTGGAGTCACTTACAGGTTCCCCCGACAGAGGACAGGACGGGCACTGCGCTCGCCTCCCCCCGGTTCCGTTGGTCGGGTCTCCTCAGGCCGCGGGGCCGTCCCCATGGCAACCGCGTCAGGCGGCCGCTCGCGAGAGTTCCATTGTGTGGGGAGGGGGACGCGGTGGCTGCGCCCGGCGTTGCCCGGAGAACCCCCGGACTCACAGTAGCAAAATGGGCCTCCGTCTGTTTGCCCTCCTCCCCGCAAGACCACCAAGCAAAGGGCACTCTTCCTGGTCGATGTGGGGGCCACGCGGGTCGCCTGTCTCCCCCAGAGCCTCGCAGGGTCCCTGGAGGGACCCGGGACCAAACCTGCCCCGGGGCCGTGGGATTCCGCCAGGGTCTTCCGGTGAGACGGACGGACGGACGGACGGAAGAGGTAACCCCCGCCGTCTCCCCACACCCAGTCTCATCGGTGTCTGCGAGCGGGGAGACTGAGGCTCCGGGGCGCTTCAGGGTCTCCCTGTGAGCAAGGGGCAGAGAGCTACTCGAGAACCAACTCTGGACCCCCCAAGTCCTAACAGTGTGAGATTAGGTAAATAAAGACACTCAGGGGATGTTTACTGGGTGCCTAGCAGGTGCACCGGCAGGACCATGGGTCTCCGGCTCCAATTAATTTCCTTCCAACTACCCCTCACCCATTGTCCTAGAACAGTCTGCACCGTCTAGCCCCACACTGCCCGGAAACATAACGTGGGCCACATCTGTCATTTAGAATGCTCTGGTAGCCATATTTTAAAAAGTAAATAACAACAACAACAACAAAATCAGGTGATGTCAATTTGAATGATATTTAACTCCAAATGCCTCAAATATTCTCATTTTTACATAGAATGAACATATTCAGATTTATGCTGCTTCATTTTAAAGTTAAAATAAAAAGTTTAGTTCTTCACCCCCATTAACCCCATTCCAAGGGATGACTTGTCACATGTGGTTAGTGGCTACCGTGACACCCAGGTCTGGCCTTTTCCTACATTTCTCCTCTCGCTCCCCTCTGTTTAGTGGTTCTCAACATTCCTAATGCTGTGATCCTTTAGTGCAGCTCCTCATGTTGTGGTGACCCCCAAACATAAAATTATTTTCGATGCTACTTCATAACTGTAATTTTGCTACTGTTAATGAGTCGTAATGTAAATATCTGTGTTTTCCGATGGTCTTAGGCTCTACAGCAGGTTGAGAACCCCTAGCAGAGTCGCCTTAGAGGGAGTTTCCCACTTGGCCGTATTGACTAGGTCAGTGTCCACTATTATGTCATCTCATAGCTCTGTGAACCTCCCTTCAAAGAAGTGGTCAGAGTTATCATTCTCAGCTACTTAATACTAGAGGCCCGGTGCATGAAAATGTGTGCACTCGGAGGAAGGGGCGTCCCTTCAGCCTGGCCTGCACCCTCTCGCAGTCCAGGAGCCCTCAGGGGATGCCTGAGTGACGGTTTAGGCCTGGTCCTCTGTGCTGGCCAGCCATGAGCCAACTTCTGTCTGAGCTGCACTCCCCCTGTGGAAGCGCACTGGTCACCAGGTGTCAGCTCCTGCATTGAGCGTCTGCCCCCTGGTGGTCAGTGCATGTCATAGTGACCAATCATTCCCCGTTGTTCCATAGTTAGGGTCAATTTGCATCTTACCCTTTTATTTTTTTTTTTTTTAATATATTTTATTGATTTTTCACAGAGAGGAAGGGAGAGAGATAGAGAGCCAGAAACGTCGATGAGAGAGAAACATTGACCAGCTGCCTCTTGCACACCCCCTACTGGGGATGTGCCCGCAACCAAGGTACATGCCCTTGACCAGAATCGAACCTGGGACCTTTCAGTCCGCAGACCGACACTCTACCACTGAGCCAAACCGGCTTCGGCGCATCTTACCCTTTTATTATATAGGATAATTGTTTGATTAGACATAAGCTCCATTAGGGCAGAGATCAGGTCTGACTAGCTCACCATCCTGTCCCCAGTAGGAATGTACTGCTGGCTCTCAGTAACTAGTCACTGAATGAACAAAAGCCAGCCTGCTTAAGTTAGAATATGTTAACTTTATTATTGTTATTATTTAATCCTCACCTGAGGACATGCTTTTATTGAGTTTTAGAGAGAGGAAGGGAGAGGGAGAGAGAGAAGCATCGATGTGAGAGTGAAACATGGATGCACAAGTTCTGACTGGGAATTGATCCCACAACATTTCGGTGCACGGGACGACACTCCAACCAACTGAGCCACTCGGCCAGGGCAAAGCATGTTGACTTGAAGCAGTCTCAGTCCAGTCTCGGCTGCCAGATCACATGCTCCACGAGGGCAGGCTGTTTCTCACTCTTCTGCTCATCTACCCCCAGGACAGAGCATGGTGCTGGGCACAGGGTAGTTATTCAATTCCGTTAGTTCCCTCCCCGTCCTTTTCCCCTCCTTTAGCACTGACAATAAAAACGTACCATGTTTCAGAGAATACTTATCCTAAAATGGTCTGATGAAAATTCAGAAGGGAACAGAGTATGTATTTTAAACATTTCTATCAGAAAGCATAATATTCAGCTTTCCCATAGGCAGGAGGAGGAATAATGTTAAACTGAAGCAAGAGGCTTTGTGACAAGGTCACCCCACGCCTGCTTGCCAGAGAACACGTTGTAGTTTGCTAGCCATGCTGGGGCGTGGGCAGGAGGAAAGTGAGAAGCCCTGCAGTGCACCTGCTGCCTCCCTGCCCTCCCCTGGCCTGCTTCACTGAAGGCTAGGAGCAGGAGGGAGGGCCTGCGTCAGCGCTTCCTAGAATCCAATTGGCTTGGGATAGCCCAAAATGCAGCGCCTCTTTGGCCTAGAAAGAAGTATGGTGAGTGAGAATAAAATGGAAACAAATATCTAGTGAACATAATCTCTACGGAGCAATTTGCCTAATGGAGAAAGCTGTAGAAGCAAATGATTCCCATTCAGTATATTAAGTGCTGTAAGAGTACTGGGCTTCAGGGAGGCAGGTGGTACTAATTGCCTGGAGTAATTGAAGAAGGCTTTCCAACAGAGCGATGAAGGCCTGGGGCTGGGGGTGGGGACACAAGCTGGATAGGGTCAAGGGGGAGAAGGGGGTCATATGTAATACCTCAATAGCAAAGGTTAAAAGGAGAGATGGTTTTCCAAAAGATGTATCACCTGGGCTGAGCTTTGAATAGAGGGAACAGCACGTGTAAAGGCGTAAAGGCACAAAGCATAGCATTGTGGGACCAGGAAGTGGTTCAGTGGGGCAGGCACATAGGACACAGCGCTGGGGAGAAGCGTGCTGAGCGGAGGGCATGAACGGAAGGAGAGGAGAGGAGACTGTGGTGGAAGGGCACCTTGGTTGAGTTTTCCACCAAACTCTACCTTTCTCTCTCCTCCCATTATGTATGAGCTTCTTGAGGGCAGATCTTTTATTTCATTACTAGTGGCCCTGCACACGAATGCATGCACCAGTAGCTCCCTGCCGGCCTCCAACCCCCACCCCATAGCTTGCTGCCCTGCCCCCTCCTGTAGCTCTCCCCAACCTGCTTGTAGCTCACTGCCCCACCCTCCTGCTGATCTGTGACCTGGTCCTTACGTGGTCAGTTGTTACGCTTCACGGAGTAAGAACCATTTGCATACTACATCTTTATTAGTATGCAAACCAGGCTTCTACCACCAGGCTCTGGCCGTGGAGCACCCACAGATTGTAGTGATGAACAAAAAGCAAGGACCCAGGAGGGCAACTGGGCCCCAGCGTTTTATATCCAGGAGGAGGGGTAGTGATGGGGCCAGTTTTTGAGAAGGAGCAGAGCCTTGGGTGGAGGAGGGCCTCAGACTGAGGAGATGCACTGGAATCATAGACTCAGCATCGGAGAGCTGAAAGGGGCCATAGGAACCTCACCCGCAGCTCAGACTCCACGGAGGCTCGGAGAGGCAAGAAAGATTTGATTTTATTTCTAATTCGGAAACGCGATTGCCTTCTTTTCCTAATGATTTTTTAAATAATGTTTTCTCCAGCTTACTGGTTGTGAGAGTACAGTATATAAAAATATAACTGACTGTGTATGCTAGTGTTAAGGCTTCCAGTCAACAGTAGGCTGTCCAATAGTCAACTTCAGGAGTCTAAAGATACGTGTTGATTTTTGACTTCATGGGGGTACCCTTACCTCATCCCCATATTGTTCAAGGGCCAACAACAATTTTCAGTGGGGCTGGGGGGTGGGCATGCCTTGAAATCCTCACTTGTCAATGGGCTTCTCAGACAAAAGCCTTTATCCCATCAGCCCTGCCTGCCCGATGAGCACCCTTGTTTTCTAAGACATTTCTGTGCTGCTTGTGATTCCAGGAGGCTGGCTGAACAGAGGAAAAGATCAGAGTGAGGAACAAGAGGCTGTTAGCAGTGGGAACTCACCATTTGTCAGTGTGCAAAAAACTGGACAATGGCTTATTTCAAGAATATGAATGTCGTCAACGCCACCGCCTTGCCAATGGTGCCCGTGGACGAAGGCCCGGCATACGGTGCGAAGCAGTGTGCCGCGAGGAGGAATCTGGCAGACTATGTGCCCTGTATCCTTCGGTGGTGCTGTTTACAGTCGAGACCTAATACTGGTACACCTGCCCCCCGGGTGCCACCTGAGCCGAGTTTACAGCACCTGTTACTTGTCAGCTCGTTCCTTATAAAGTCATTCCTTTTTCCAGTACTTACACTCTTCCAATCCTCTAAAACAGTTTGAGACTGGTAAGGATTATTTGACTTGAATTTGTTTTACTGAGATAATCAGAAAGAGCCCAAAAGGAAGAATCCTAGAAATATTTGTTGAAAGAATCAGGAAGAAGAGAAAAAAGCTCCCCCCACAGCCCTATTGCTTCCTCCTTTCCCTTTTATCTTCCAAAACACGACAGTTATAGGGAGCAACTAAAAAGTCATTGTCTAGCCCTCTAGCCTCAGACAAGTTAAAACATTATTTTACTCCCGTTGGCCTCCCCTGGCCTCCCCTCTGCTCACCTGCCAGCCCTTTTCCCTGGGCTCAGAGGTGGCCCTGCTGGCACTGTGCAGGCCCCACTGGCATCTCCCTTCTCCGGTCCCGCCTTCGTTGATCCTCATCTCACTTCCCCCTGAACTGTACCCCAGGGACCCACAGAAACCGTCTCTGGGGGAGCTGGAGTTCGTCCAGCACATGGCCCTCTCAGGCTGTAAGTGACTGCAGGTCCCTTCCTCTCACACGGAGCTCATTCCCCTTCAAGTCCTGCTGCTGCCGGCCCCGCTGCACTCACCCGGCTGCGCCCCTTCTCTGCAGCCTCTCAGCCTCCTCAGGAGGAGCCCCCATGAGCCCGCAGGGCCTGTTTCAGGGTCTGGCTTCCACGGGCCACTTCTAACCCTATTTCTAACCCCTCTTTCTTCTTCATCCCACACTCACCGCAGCCTAACCGCCCAATGGGGTATGCCCCTCGTTGGCACCTTCCTTTGCCAAGTACCCTCCGATCTGTGAGGACACTTGAAGGTAATGAGAGAGAGCGTGGGCCTTGCTCTTTGTGAAGGTGCGAGAGGAGTGGAAGGATTAGGGGGCTTTTACAGAGGATGTGTCTGAGGCCAGTTGAAGCTTAGACAGACAGAAATTCAGACAGTGCGAGGGTAACAAGATGGGCCACTGAACTGAGCAGAGATTTCAACAGCGGTAAACAAGGTTGAGATACACTGCGATCCAGTCGTCTGCAACCTAAAATCTCCCTTAAAGGAGTAATCCAAAATATGGAAACAGAGCTTTGCCTGCCTATGTGTATAATTTGCAACGACTTATAATTGCAAAAAGTGATCATTTAATTATCCAATAACCAAGGAACAGTTAAGTGTAGTAAGGTGCATCCTCTACGTGGATTCGTATAATGCTGTTTAAAATATTACAAATATTTATTTTGCTTTATGGAAAAACTATCATGTTAGTGAGTGGAAGAGAAGTCAGAGTAGTCAAATAGACATACACTGAGGTTATAGTTATGTGCTGAAGGCGGCATGTGAAAAATCCTGGAAGATCTCCCTAAATCCTAATGAGTTGTTAAGGTGATAACATCATGGATTATTCTTTCCATACTTTCCAAGGTATTTAGAATAGAATTATCACTTACCATTTACAAACCAGTTAATTTAACACCAGACAGAAGGCGTGTTGAATGTTTGGAAAGAAGGTAATTCAGTGGAGAGACAGCACAGAGAGGGCGTGAGCCCGTGTCCAGGCCGCCGGCCCATCCTGTCTGTGTGTCACTGCCACCCCTTTCCTTAGCGGACCCTCCTCCCAGCGTGCCTCGTGGGCTCCATCCACCAGGTGAACGAACGGATTGCTGAAGTGGACCTGATCCCCAAACCCCTGGACAACATCCTGGTGAGCTATGGGCCTGGGGCTGAGGCCAGGCTTCCGGGAGGGACGGCTCTGGAGAGCCCTCCATTTATTTGAGAGCACGTTTGCCCAAGGGGGGCCTCAGATATATATACACAAGGCCCAGCGTGCGATTGAAATTGCGATAGGAGGCACCCTGTGGGGGGCTGGGACCCGTGCCTGACTGGCAGAGGCCCCTGGCCCCCCTGCCTGTATCGGCTCTGGGGCCGCCCAAGCTGCTGCACCGGTTGGGGCTGCCCCCCCCCCCCCCCCATCTCAGTCTCTGTCTCCACTCCAGGCCTCACCTGTGCACACAACCTCCTCCTGTCTGGTCATGACCCATTACGGAGTCCTGACCTAATTTGCATATTACATCTTTTTATAGATAGATAGATAGATATTGATTGCAGAGAGGAAGGGAGAGGGAGAGAGAGATAGAAACATCAATGATGAGAGAGAATCATTGATTGGCTGCCTCCTGCACGCCCCCTACTGGGGATTTAGCCGCAACCCAGGCACGTGCCTTGACCGGAATCAAACCCAGGACCCTTTAGTCTGTAGGCCGACGCTCTATCCATGGAGCCAAACCACCTAGGGCTATATTTTTTAATTAATGAACTCTATTTTTTAGAGCAGTTTCAGGTTCACAGCAGAATTGAGCTGCAAGTATGGAGTTCTCGCTTATCCCTGTCCTCACGTGCACAACCGCTCGCCCAGGGGCGCGTGGCTGTGACTGAGGAACCTGAATCCTCTCATTAGTGGTGACATGAGGAGGAGGCCAGTGGCCACCAAGACCGTACAACCTGGGGAGACAGCAAAGGCTGTCACAGATTTTGTCCGGGCCTTTTGCACGCCCATGGCTAAATGGCCTGGCCCCTGACCCTCGCCCTGCGCCAAGATTTGCACCGCTCTCTAATGCCCCATTTCTCTTTGGTTTTTGAAGGCATTTGAGAGACATGAGTTGGAGAAGAAGGCTTTAAAAGAGAAAAGCCACCGCAGCTCAGAAGACAGAGGCAAAATTCCTTTCTCTTAGTGTTTTTGTGGGGTCTGGTTTTGTCGTATCTGAAATGCATCCAGCAGGAATCCAGAGTTTCAGATGAGGGTATTTTTGTAATCTTCTGAAGGAGTCTTTAAATCTGGCTTCTTGGCATTGGGCAACAAAGGAGGGAAGAACAATACCACTCAGAGACCACCCACTTACTGCGTGCCACACTGCACCAGGCGGTTGCACACATATAATATTTCCCTGCTAAATCTTCGTAATGCCCCGACCAGTGAGGTTGGCATTACTGACTGTATTTTATAGATGAGGAACAGGCTTGGGGGGAAGGAGGGCTTAATAAGTCAGCAGCTCGATAGTAAAACTGGTGAGTGTCACCAGGCAGTTCAGGCTGAATGAAAAAGTCCCCGTTATAATTACAGGCCAGCGGGGGACAGACCCTGCGGTTTCTCACATCTCGTTTCTCTCTTCCATTCTTCTGCAGACAGGAGTCAAAGAAAATCCCCAGAGGTTTGCAGTGGCTCAGCAATCAGGAATGTCAGAGCCACCTCTATGAAAAGGGTAAGGGGTCCTGGGTGTGTGTAACTGGTTTCTGCTAGGCACGAAATTGATTTTATTCCTGGGAGGGGGACCGGGGGGCGGATGGAATAATTGGCATGAGGATGGTGATGGTGCAGGAGAATGAATCCCTTTATTGAGGATCTCAGGGTATTTTAAAGATGCTAGAATTTCTCACAACACTCTGGAGAGAGCAGAATGGGGGGCGTTCCAGAGGCATTTGTCTGCTTACTCTTGGAATGTAGATGTTTGCTCCCGGAAACTGAGTCCAGATTCAGCCCACACATTAGCTCCAAGGGGCGGTCACACAGCAGGGCTGCTCCATCAGTCCCTGCAGACGCCCGAGAAGCTGGGATCCAGTAGTGAGAGGGCCTGTCCACCATCACACAGAGCTTATGGCAGAGCCCCACTTCCTGCTCAGATCCTGGGACCCACGGCCAGACGCCACCCGCTCCAGCAGCCACCCCAGTTAAGATCTCCTAAGCTTGCGCTTTAAACTACTCAGGTCATAGGTATTCAAACTCTTCAGATGCTGGAGAATAGGAACAAGGCAGCATTGTTATCCTCTGTTCACCTTTTAGCCTAGGACAGTGGTCGGCAAACCATGGCTCGCGAGCAACATGCAGCTCTTTGGCCCCTTGAGTGTTCTAACGCCACTTCAAAATAGACTCGCCCAAGCCGAAAACAGACTTTTGCGCATGAGCCACGAAGTTTCAATTGCATGGTATGTGCACGCCTGAACGTGGTATTTTGTGAAAGAGCCACACTCAAGGGGCCAAAGAACCACATGTAGCTCGCAAGCCGCGGTTTGACCACCACTGGTCTAGGAAATGCCCACATAGCATAAAGTCCAGCGTCGAGAGACAGCATGGAAACTGTCCTATAACCACGATGGTGGCCGAGCAGAATTAAATGTCTGGCCCAAGGTAGCACAGCTGCTGAATGGTGGAGCCGACGTCTGAGCCCAGGTCGTCCGGCTCACAGTCAGTGCATTTAGTCACTGAGTTCAGCCATAGTCCAGTTAGAAAGCAATTCAGTCCCTCCAAATATTTCCAGTAGGTGCCTCTGGGCAATGGTAATTTAAAACAATTTTTTTATTGATTGATTTAGAGAGAGAGAGAGAAACATTGATTTGTTGTTTCACTTATTTATGCATTCATTGGTTGCTTCTTGTATGTGCCCTAACGGGGGATTGAACCTGCAACCTTCGCATATCAGGACAATTCTCTACCCACTGAGCTACCTGGCTAGGGCCAAGTGATGGTAATTAGTTTACCCTTTCAACTTTTCTGTATTTTTACATTTTTATAGTTTTATTTTTATTCTAAAAATCCGTTTAATGGTGTATATTAAGAACCATAAGGATAGTCATTTGACCTAATATCGCCATTTTGAGAAAGTCATACTAAATAAATAACCCAAAGAAGGGGGAAGCTATATGTTCCAAGTTATTACTAATTTAAAAGATATAATGGCTCTCGCCTAGCATGGCTCAGTGGTTGAGCATCAACCTGTGAACCGGGAGATCACATTCGATTCCCGGTCAGGGCACAGGCCCAGGTTGCGGGCTCCATCCCCAGTGTGGGGTGTGCAAGAAGCAGCCAATCAATGCTTCTCCCCATCGTTGATGTTTCTAGCTCTCTCTCCCCCGCTACCTTTCCCTCTGACATCAATAAGAAATATATTAAATAAATAAATAAATAAATAAATAAATAAATAAATATATATGTGTGTGTGTGTGTGTGTGTATGCAGTAGCATTAATTGGAAGTAATTAGCTTAATTATAGCCCATCTTATTAATAGGATATATTATTATAGGTGAGAAATGTAAAGAGCATAGCAATGTGAACAATCTAATGTTAAATGGATAGAGCAGGACATAAAAGTGTGTGTGTGGGGGGGGTAAATGAAGTTTCATAACACATTTGTTTACGTGTGCTCCAAGCCCAAAAGGGAACATAGAGATGGTGTGCATGAGTGTGTGGTGGGAGGTGCCAGGATCACGCCCTGTAAGGTGGTCTTATTGTCTTGATGACAGAAAGGGGAAGACACCCTGTTGTCTTAAACCGTCGAAATGATGCACCCATTTCCACATTCTGTCTTCTGCCGCAGAGAACGGCAGACAAGAATCTGCTGGCCGAGCTCTACCAGTACCCCCAGTTTGACGACTCCATGCCGAACGAGCTCCCGAACGGGGTGGACTTCTGCGAAATGGTGGGCAACGTGGTTCGCTCCGAGAGGAGCCTCTTAACTGGCAGGGTAAGCGGCTCCTGTGCCGCCAGCCTCGGCCGGCTGTGCCACACACACACACACACACACCCGCAGCGGGCAGCTGTCCCAGGCGCACCCGGAACAGTCAGGGCATGGAGCAGGTCACCGAGGGCCACGTGGTCCAAAGTGACAGCTGAGGTTAGACCCCGAGCCCGCGTTCCCTCCAGAACCCGTTCTGCCTGCGGAGCGCTGGTCTCCGGATCGGATCGCTGTGACCACGTATTCCATCAGCAAAACCCTGAGCCGCACCCTCAGACACACCTTTAAAAACTGCCGTCAGTGCCACACTGGGTATCCTAAACTCAGTTTCTTCTTTTCTTGGACACTAGTTAAACCGTGGGGTGAGCTCCCACCTGGAGAGCAGCCGCCCTGGGCTCCGAGCGGGGAGGGAGGAGGGGTGGCTGCGGCCCAGAACCCCACACGTGTGAGCCGGAGGGCTGGCCCTCAGGAGGGGAGAGTTAGAGGAGGTGTGGGCAGGGAGGGAGCCCGGAAAACGGCCTCATTGCCCTTCACACGGCACCACTGCAGTCCCCACGCAGCTCCTGCCTGGTCATCCGTCACTACGCGTGCTTCAGCTGCACCCTGCTCCCCTTTCCCTCTCTCCCTCTCCCCCGGTGTCCTTCCCTCTCTTCTCTTTGTCCTGAGTCCTCCCTGTTGTCTGCTCTCCTCCTGGGTCTCTGGTTACCTCCGCCTCCTTCCTCTGTGGTTGCATCCAGACTTCCTAAAAGTGCTGATCTGTCTGGTCAGTCCCTGCCCAGCGCGAAGGTGGTGTTTGCTGGTCACTGAGCCAGGGCGGGGGTCACCCAGGGTGTGGCGCCCGGTCCCCGCTGCCCTCGGGGGGGATGTGGAGCGGCAGCCCTCGGAGGGAGCATCCTGAGCTCCCAGGAAGGTGGGAAAGGGGTGCACGCTGTCGTTTTGGCAGCAGCAGTGGGAGACGGGACCTCTGGCGGCTCGGAGGCTCCCTGGGCTCCAGGGTCTGTGTGAAGCAGGGAGAGCAGCGGTCCCCAGCTGAAAGCGTCTGTGTGGGTTTCAATGAGGATGTGTATACAAGCTCTCAGTCACACATTCTAAAACAACGGCAGTTTTATCACCAATGTTCTTAGGAAGCTTAATGATCAGCAGTGTTACAGTACAGCCATTTTTGGCATATATATCATCCTCAGCCATTGCAACGGATGTTTACGAAGAGTCTCTCACCGGGCCATCCCGTGTTGGTGGGCAAGCATGCCAGCGTGGAGATTCTCCAGATGCGCTGGTACATGAGCACACGGGAAATCCGGTGGAGCCGTGCATGGATCCAGTGTCTGCTGAGTGTTGAGACTGTAGTGCTTTCCTTCTTCCTTTTCCTTCCTGGGATTGAAATGATTGTGTGGTGCCTGGATCCACTATTCCTCTGTGTCTTTCCAGCCCATGTGCCTGCTCACCCTTGTCAGGCACAGCCAGCGTGTTCCCCCGTGCTATGTCCTGCATGCGTGGCCCGAGGCAATGACTCTGCGCGACTCAGTGTCCCATTTGTGAGGTCTTGTGAGAAAGTTTCCTTACGCTGCGTCTCCTGGAGTGCTTTAGCCTTTTACTGACGCCAATTGCTGCTTTCCAGGAACTGAAGGAAAGTAGGTTCCTTCCCTTTGGAAAAGGACCCTCTTCCGTCCTGCTCAGGGGCCATCCCTCTTTCACTTCCTTCTCAACCCTCTCCCCCACCTGCTCTCCCCCACCCCGCTCTTCCCCCACCCCCCCTCTCCCCCCCCTCTCCCCCACCCCACTCTCCCCCTGTACTCCCCCCACCCCACTCTCCCCCCACCCCTCTCCCCCACCCTGCTCTCCCCCTGTACTCCCCCCACCCCACTCTCCCCCCCACCCCACGCTCCCCCCCACCCGGCGCCCCCCCACCCCGCTCTCCCCCCCACCCTGCTCTCCCCCCACCCCGCTCTCCCCACACTCCCCCTCTTCCCCCACCCCTCACTCCCCCACCTGCTCTCCCCCCACTCCGCTCTTCCCCCACTCCCCCTCTCCCCCCCACCCCTCTCCCCCACCCCACTCTCCCCCACCCTGCTCTCCCCCTGTACTCCCCCCCCCCCACTCTCCCCCCCAACCCACGCTCCCCCCCACCCGGCGCTCCCACACCCCGCTCTCCCCCCCACCCCGGTCTCCCCCCACCCCGCTCTCCCCCACTCCCCCTCTCCCCCCCACCCCTCTCCCCCAACCCCACTCTCCCCCACTCCCCCTCTCCCCCCACCCCTCTCCCCCAACCCCGCTCTTCCCCCACTCTCCCTCTCCCCCCCACCCCTCTCCCCCACCCCACTCTCCCCCACCCTGCTCTCCCCCTGTACTCCCCCCACCCCACTCTCCCCCCCCACCCCGCTCTCCCCCACCCCGCTCTTCCCCCACTCCCCACCCTGCTCTCTCCCTGTACTCCCCCCACCCCACTCTCCCCCTATCCCGTGCTCCCCCCACCCCGCGCTCCCCCCCACCCCGCTCTCCCCACCCCCGCTCCCCCATGTGAAACAGTCAACAGTCACATGGCAAGGCACATAGTCACCATTCACTACAAAGTGGGTGTTGGTTATTTTTTAAGTTGACTCCACAAATGACAGGTGGAAACGCTGGGATTATAACAGGCGTGGGACCAAGAGGAAGGAAGGCTGTGAGTGGAGATGATTGTGAATCTGGCTGTGGCTCCCGGTGAATTAAAAACAGCAGCAACAGTAATAATGTGAATTTTGTTTCTTTTCAAGTTCTTCTGTTCGCTTAAAGACTTAGAGACGTTCCTTTCTTCCCCTCCTATACGGGCCATCTGGCTGGACAGCTTCTGGTGGATCTTTCATGAGAGGTATCAGGTCCGTGCGAACGGGTGGGCTGCTCTCCCTGCCCTGGGCCTCTTCCCCTGGCACCGACCCTGCCCCTTCTGCGTGGGCCACGCCCTCTGGTTCCACGCCCTCTGCAGCCCATCCTTCCCTCCCCTCCCCTCCCCTCCTCACCCATGCACTGCCTCTGCAGCCCATCCTCCCTTCCCCTCCCCTCCTCACCCATGCACTGCCTCTGCAGCCCATCTTTCCCTCCCCTCCCCTTCTCACCCATGCATTGCCTCTGCAGCCCCCTCCCCTCTCCTCCCCTCCTCACCCATGCACTGCCTCTGCAGCCCATCCTCCCCTCCCCTTCTCACCCATGCACTGCCTCTGCAGCCCCCTCCCCTCTCCTCCCCTCCTCACCCATGCAACTGGCCTCTGCAGCCCATCTCCTCCCTCCCTCCTCACCCATGCACTGCCGTCTGCAGCCCCTCCCCTTTCCTCCCCTCCTCACCCATGCACTGGGGGCCTCTGCAGGCCCCTCCCTCTCCTCCCCTCCTCACCCATGCAACTGCCTATACAGCCCTCCTCACCCTCCCCTCCCCTCCTCACCCATGCACTGCCTCTGCAGCCCATCCTCCCCTCCCCTCCTCTCCTCAACCATGCACTGCCTCTGCAGCCCATCCTCCCCTCCCCTCCTCACCCATGCACTGCCTCTGCAGCCCCCTCCCCTCTCCTCCCCTCCTCACCCATGCACTGCCTCTGCAGCCCATCCTCCCCTCCCCTCCTCTCCTCACCCATGCACTGCCTCTGCAGCCCATCCTCCCCTCCCCTCCTCTCCTCACCCATGCACTGCCTCTGCAGCCCATCCTCCCCTCCCCTCCTCTCCTCACCCACGTCTCTCCTCATGCCCTGCGCTTTAGCCATTCCCCAATGCCTTGCAGCTGCCCTGACTTTCGGTAACTGTTCCATGTCACATGGCTGGCCAGGGGCAGGGCAGGAGGAAAGTCAGGACTCCTGGCTCAGAGTTAGGGGCTTTCTTCAACCCTCTGCCCTGCTGCACATGTTTCATAAATCATACAAAATGGCCGTACTATTTCCTAAATGTTAATAGGTTAAACATCTTGAGAAAATGAATTTTTTAAAATGAGAGAAAATTTTATTTAAGAATCTCAGTCCTTTGCTGTTTCAAGAAGGGACTCTTGCTGGGACCGGTTTGGCTCAATGGATAGAGCGTCGGCTTGGGGACTGAAGGGCCCCGGGTTCGATTCCGGTCAAGGGCATGTACCTTGGTTGCGGGCATATCCCCAGTAGGGGGCGTGCAAGAGGCAGCTGATCGATGACTCTCTCTCATTGATGTTTCGAACTCTCTATCTCTCTCCCTTCCACTCTGTACAAAAATCAATAAAATATATTAAAAAAAAAAAAAAAAAAAAAAGGGACTCTAACAATTCCTGCTCTATTTTTACTCCTGGTAGCAAAACAAAGAAATCCAGAATAAGCTGTTCGACCGGATATCCCAACAGTACACTTTGTTTTTGTTTCGTGGGTCCGGGCCCCACTATGAAGAGGCGATTCTAAAAGTGAGTATCACCACTGTTCAGGAAAAAAATCACATAGGGAGCAATTGGTAAGCTGTGATTTTTCCTACACTGACTTGTCATGCAGCAGTTAGAAAAATGGGGCAGGTCTGAATATACAGGGTGGGGCCACAGCAGGTTTACGGTTGTTTGAGTGGAAAATAATACAATAATTAATAAATAATAATACAGTGCCAAAGTCGGTTTGGCTCAGTGGATAGAGTGTCAGCCTGTAGACTGAAGGGTCTCAGGTTCGATTCTGGTCTGGTCAAGGGCATGTACTTGATTACGGGCACATCCTCAGTAAGGGGTGTGCAGGAGGCAGCTGGTCGATGTTTCTCTCTCATCGATGTTTCTAACTGTCTATCCCTCTCCCTTCCTCTCTGTAAAAAATCAATAAAATATATTAAAATAATAATAATAATAATAATGATACAGTAATAAACTGTTTCAGCACATTCAACTGTAAACCTACTTTGGCCCACCCTGTACTGATTGGGAAAGATTTTAAGTGAAAGACAAGGCAATTTATACAACTTTGTGTTAAAAAAAAAAACAAAAAACACACACACACACACATATATGTATAAAAAAAATTCCAGAAAAAAATTTATCAAACTCTCATAGGGAGTGGGCCTAAACAGTCAGTAAGATGTCCCCTGAGGGCTCCAGGACTGTGAGAGGGTGAAGACTGGGCTGAAGGACCCCCACCAGTGCACAAATTTTGTGCACTGGGCATCTAGTTTGTATATATAAAAGCCTAAATGACTTGTGACTGCTCAACAGTTGCTGTGACACATACTGACCACCAGGGGCCAGACACTCAATGCAGGAGCTGCCCCCTGGTGGTCAGTGAGCTCCCACAGCAGGAGCACCACTCAGCTGACCAACGGGTGTCTGAAGCAGGGCTCACAGCTGGCTGCTGCAGCCCTGAGACCCCAGCGGAGCAGCAGCAAGCCTGCCAAGCAGTGACAGTGACAGGGACAGTGGGGCCGGGATGAGCAGGAGTGGCAGGCAGGAGTGGCAGGTGGCATTGGACTGCTGGTTTCAGCCCGATCCCTGCAGGCCACATAAAGGGGCCCCACCCATGCACAAATCTGTGCACCAGGCCTCCAGTAATATTATAAAAGTCACTATTGGGAAAATAATCCCACAAAGAGTTTATAATAACTAGGAGAAGTGCTTATGTTATAACTAGAGGCCCTGTACATGAAATTCGTGCACTCGCGGGGGGGAGAGGGGTGTCCCTCAGCCCGGCCTGCATCTTCTCCCAGTCCGGGAGCCTTCTGGGGATGTCCAACTGCTGACTTAGGCCCAATCCAGACATCCTTAGCACTGCCATAGAGACAGCGAGGCTCCCACCACTGCTGCGCTCGCCAGCCCTGGGCCTGGCTTCTGGCTGAGTGGTGTTCCCACTCAGTGGTCAGTGCGCATCAAAGCAATTGATAGTTCTGTAGTTCAGTCAGTTTGCAAATTAGCCTTTTATTATAAAAGATGACAAAAGAATAAAGCCAAATATAGATATATAATTTGAGCTCAAACATAGTTAAGAAATGACACTACCACCTGTGCACAGGAGCACTCCAGTGAGTAATACTTACTAGTACCATTTCTGGGGACAACAAGATGGCAGGTCACCAGTACCTTGTCACCTTTGGCTGCTTGCAGAAGGGACCAGCGGGAGGGTTGCTGGCCAGCATGGTGTGTTTGGGACGTGCTCCCAGGCGGGGGAAGGATTCACCGGGCTGTGGGCAGTGCAGGTGGAGATTGCTCCGTTCATAACCAGGAAGGCAGCATGCTTACAGGTAGAGAATTTTTTATTTTATTTTATTTTATTTTATTTTATTATTATTATTTTTTTAAAATATATTTTATTGATTTTGTACAGAGAGGAAGGGAGAGAGATAGAGAGTTAGAAACATCGATAAGAGAGAGTCATCGATCAGCTGCCTCTTGCACACCCCCTACTGGGGATATGCCCACAACCAAAGTACATGCCCTTGACCGGAATCGAACCCGGGACCCTTCAGTCCCCAAGCCGACGCTCTATCCATTGAGCCAAACAGGTTCCGGCAGTAGAGAATTTAAAAAAAAAAAAATGTTTTTATTAATTTCAGAGAGAGGAAGGGAGAGGGAGAAAGAGATAGAAACATCAGTGATGAGAGATAATCATTGATTGGCTGCCTCCTGCATGCCCCCCATGGGGGATGGAGCCTACAACCCGGGCGTGTGTTCTGACCGAGATTCGAACCCTGGTCTCCTGGTGCATGGGTTGATGCTCACCCGCTGAGCCACACCGGCCAGGCATCAGGTGGAGAATTTTATCACGGGTCCTTTCTGGTGCCAGGGGCTCTTTTCTGGGTGTAGAAACGTCCAGCATGTTGCCTAAGCTCTGCTTGCTCCCAGAGGCTGCCGTCACTTCTGAGTAAAGGCCTGTACACCAGCTTCAGCTGCAGCTTCCCACAGTCCTGGCTCAACACACACGAATTCAAGTCTGACATCTGTAACACCGTCAGCCTGTGGATTTCTGGTAAGAGGCGGCTTGGAAAGCAATCCTGGAAACGCTTTTTCCACCTGAGCATGTTCTTGTTGCCATCCTTCACTGGGCAGTGGTCCTTTCTCTCCTTGGCGTTTAAGGACAGAGTTTGCTTAGAGCCAGAGCCCGGATTTTCCTGCTCCCTCAAACAGTCTGAGCCATTCCTAGCCCCCTTTTTGTGTCCAGCTGCATCTGCAGGCAGCAGGCTGGAGCACAGCCCCGTTTGTTGTGCACAAGCTACCTTTGTGCTGGGAGCTGACGGCCCCAGAACTCAGGACCCCAGAAGCACCCCCCCTTCCATAGCCTCCCCAAAGGATGCCAGCTGCCCAACCGCCAGTCTGCCTGTCTGCAGCACACGGTGCCAGTGTGACGTCTGCTTTTCTTTCTGTTTTTAAATATATTTTTATTGATTTCAGAGAGGAAGGGAGAGGGAGAGAGACAGAAACATCAGTGATGAGAATCATTGATTGGCTGCCTCCTGAATGCCCCCTACTGGTTACTGAGTCCACACCAGGGCATGTGCCCTGACTGGGAATCGAACTGGCAACCATTCGGTGCACAGGATGACACTCAGTCAATTGAGCCACACCAACCGGGGCTCAGCCCAGACATTTTTAAGGTCACTAAAAGCCACCGTTACTGAGAGAAGTCTGTACTGGTACTTGTACTCGGTCAGCACCCGTTACATACTGAGCATGGGAGTGCAGATACCGCTTCCAGACAGTGATTTCACTTCCTGTGGGTATGTATCCACAAGTGAGATGCTGGATTGGGTGGTAATTCTGTTCTTAATTTTTGCATAATGTCCATACTGTTTTCCATAATGGTTGTACCAATTTACATTCGTACCAACAGTTCACAGGAGTTCCCTTTTCCCTACATCTTTGCCGGCATTTGTTATTTCTGTCTTTTTTATAATAGCTACTCTAAGGTTATAAGGTGACATCTCATTGTGGTTTTCATTTGTATTTCCTTTTTAAAATTTTTTTTTTATTGTTCAAAGTATTACATATGTCTGCCTCCTCCCCCACCATTGAACCCCACCAGCCGACCCTTACCCCCATCCCAGGCCTTCACCACCCTGTTGTCTGTGTCCAAGGCTTATGCATATATGCATACTAGGTGATTTGTATTTCCTTAGTGATTATTGATGTTGAGCATTTCTTCATGTACTTATTGGCCATTTTAAGTGTCTTTGGGAAAATGTCAATTCAGGTCCTCTGCCCATTTTCTAACTGGATTATTTGTTTTATTACTGAGTTGTATGAGCTCTTATACTTTGAATATTAGCCCTACATCAGATGTATGATTTACAAATATTTTCTCCCATTCAGTCGGTTCCCCTTTCATCTTGTTGTTTCTTTTGTTGTGTAGGAACTCTTTAGTTGGCTATATGCCCACTTTTTTATTTTTGCTTTTGTTCCTTGTGCTTTTGGTGTCATGAAAAAAAAAATCATTGACAAAATAATGTCAAAGAGCTTCCCCTCTAGGTTGTATTCCAGGAGTTTTATGGTCTCAGGTCTTACACTTAAGTCCTTAATCCATTTTGAATTGACTTTTGTAAGTGGTGTAAGATAGGGGTTTCAGTTTCATTTTTTTGCACATGAATATCCAATTTTCCCAGCACCATTTATTGAAGAGACTATCCTTTCTCCATTGATTATTCTTGATTCCCTTTCCAATATTAGTTAACTCTATATGTGTGTGTTTATTTCTGAGCTTTCAATTCTGTTTCAATGATCTATGTGTCTGTGTATTGTTTTTTGCCGGTACCATACTGTTTTGATTTCTATAACTTTGTAATATAGTTTAAAATCAGAGTGTGTGATGCCTCCAACTTTTGGGTTTTTTTCCAAGATTGTTTTAGCTGTTCAAGGTCTTTTGTGAATCCATACACATTTTAGGACTGTTTCTTTCTATTTCTGTGAAAAATGCCTTTAGAATTTTTATAGAGATTACATTGGATCTATAGGTGGATGTGGATATATGGACATTTTAATAATGTTAATTCTCCTGATCCATGAACATGTGATATTTTTCTATTTATTTGTATCTTTAATTTCTTTCATCAATGTCTTATAGTTTTCAATGTGTAGATATTTTAATTCCTTGGCTAAATTTATTCCTAAATATTTTATTGTTTTTAATATTATTATCAATGGCTTGTCTTTTTATTTCTTTTTTATTTTATTTTTATTTTTATTTTTTTAAAATATATTTTATTGATTTTTCACAGAGAGGAAGAGAGAGGGACAGAGAGCTAGAAACATCGATGAGAGAGAATCATCGATCAGCTGCCTCTTGCACACCCCCCACTGGGGATGTGCCCGCAACCAAGGTACATGCCCCTGCCCGGAATCGAACCTAGGACCTTTCAGTCCGCAGGCCGACGCTCTATCCACTTGAGCCAAACCGGTCCCGGCTCTTTTTTTTTTTAGATAGTTTTTTGTTAATGTGTAAAAACACAATTGATTTTTGTGTGTTGATTTTGTATCCTGCAACTTTACTGAATTCATTTATTAGTTCTCACAGTTTTCTTGTGGAATCTTTAGGATTTTCTGTATATAATTCCAAGTAATCAGCAAAAAGAGACAATTTTACTTCTTCCTTTCTGATTTGGATATCCTTTATTTCTTATTCTTGCCTAATTGCTCTGGCTAGGACTTCTGGTACTGTGTTGACTAGGAGTAGTGAGAGAGAATGCGTGTCTTAGTTTTGTTCCTGGTCTTCAAAGAAAATATTTTAACCTTTCACTGTTGAGGATGATGCAGCTATGGGCTTGTCATATTTAGCCTTTATTATGTTAAGGTATGTTCCTTGTATACCCACTTTTTTAAGAGTTTTTATCATGAAAGGATGTTGATATGCCAGAGGATTTTTCTGAATTTATTGAGATGAGCATGTGGTTTTAGTCTTTCATTCTATTAATATAATGTATCACATTTATTGATTTGTGTGTGTGATACTATCCTTGCATCCCAAGGATAAATCCCACTACATCGTGGTATATGATCCTTTTAATGTGCTGTTGAATTCTGTTTGCTGGTATTTGGTTGAGAATTTTTTCATCTATATTCACCCGAGATATTGGCTTGTAATTTTTTTATGGTATCCTTGTCTGGCTTTTGTATCAGGATAATGCTAGTCTTCTATAATGAGTTTGGGAGTATTCCCTCCTCTCCAATTTTTTGGAAGAACTTGAGAAGAATTAGAGTTAATTCTTCTTTAAATTTTATTAGAATTTATCTGTGAAGCCATCTGCTCTTGGGCTTTTCTTGTTGGGGATAGAGGATTTTATTACTGACTCAATGTCCCCGTTCATTTGTCTGTTTTCCATAATGGCTGTACTATATCTTCCAAGATTTAGTCTTGGGAGGTTGTATGTTTCTAGAAATTTATCCATTTATTCTCGGTAGTTAGGGAAAGTTTTATATCAGTGGAAGGAAATGTTCACCAGCCATGGTCCCAGATGCCAGCTAAGAGCCAGTCTCACAAGCGGCATCTTTGTGAGGACAGTAGTCTGCACACCGTTTAGTCCTCTTGGCATTTGCAGGATGGAAGAAACTCAACAGCAAGCACACGGGGGAGCCGCACTCGGATCCGGGCATTGGGTTCAATACCACAGCAGAGCTCGGTCTTGGACCCTCCTGCCTCTCTGCCTCCTGTTCCCTGACTCTTCTGTCCCTCCTTCCTATCCCCTTTTTGTCCAAGCCTGCCCTCCTTTTCCTGGTCCATCCCAGTAACAAACCTCCTGTCTACTTCTTTGTCCGCAGAGACATGGAGGCTCAAGTTGCTCAATGAATCCTTGGTCTTTTCTTTCCCAAACCGAAGAACTGGGGGAGACAGTGGAGTTTCTCTAATGTCTGAGGGTTCAGGTTCCAAGAAGCTAAGACTCTGAAACAGAGTTTCCTTAAAAGGAGGGCACCAGCCCATCCACATCGCCATCCAACACGAGGATGAACCCTTTCCTGGCACTTAGCTCAGTGTGACAATAAGTTGGACAAAGTTTACCAAAAGCTTGCTGCTTATGTTCTCGGTCCAGTGTTAAGCCCTAGAACAGGATGGGGGAAGATAAATCAGCCCTGCCCTCAGCGAGCTCGGAGTCCAGGAAAAGCAGAGGCGATAGATGTGAAAACAAATGGTTTCGGGCTCTTCACACCCGTAAAGCCCGCCGCAGGGTCACTTGTCCGGGGTGTGACCTGATCCTCACAGCCGCACTGCCAGGGGGCAGGGTGGGCACCACCCTCTGCCTTTTCCTGGTGAAGAAACCAAAGCCTCATGGAGAGGAAGTGACCCCCAAGGCCACAGTGGTGGGACAGGGATGATGCCTGCTGGACGCCCAGCTGCCCCGGACCAGGGGCCATCTCAGAGGCTCTGTCTTCTGTCTTCTGCCTCTCGTTCTCCTTGGCAGTTTCTGTGATCACTTCTGACTTCCCCTTAGGTATCTCTCCGAGCCCGCTGAGCTATGACAGTTGGGACTACTCAAACCTGGATCCGGAGAGATTCAGGAGGGAAAGACTAATATCGAGGAAGACACGCCAGAACAAGGGTGAGGTCCCACTTATGGACTTCGGTCCCCTTTGCCTGGGTCACGCCCAGCCGCCATCCAGTTGAGGCGGGGAAAGGCCTTCGTATTGAAGTCCTCAGGCCCGGTTCTCTCGTGTATCCCCACACGAGCCACCAGATGCCTGCAGTGTCAACTGACGAGCCATCGTTAGAGTCAGCGCAGCATCGCTGTTGGCGTGTGTGGGGCTGCATTTTATATTATAATAAGAGATGCCAGTTACTGTCTACCGTGTGCCGGGCACCGTGCTCAGCTCTTCATCCCTTTTTTCCCCATCCTTTTTAAGAATATATATTTTATTGATTTTTACAGAGAGGAAGGGAGAGGGACAGAGAGCTAGAAACATCGATGAGAGAGAAACATCAACCAGCTGCCTCCTGCACACCCCCTACCGGGGATGTGCCCGCAACCAAGGTACATGCCCTTGACCGGAATCGAACCTGGGACCCTTGAGTCCGCAGGCCGACACTCTATCCACTGAACCAAACTGGTTAGGGCTCTTCATCCTTTTTTATTGAATCTTCACAAAAACGAGCTGAAGGGCACACTAAACCCTCAGACGAGGAAACTAGAGTTCAGAGAAGCAACTTCCCCGAGGCCAGCTTTCTTACCGCAGTCAGCAGACACACACAGAGCACCGTGGGCCGGCGTGGGCCAAACAGACACGGGGATTCCCCGTGGAGGCCAGCACAGCCCCGCCGGGCAGCCTGGTGGCAAATACAGGCAGCACGATGGTGCCGCAGTGAACGGGCATGTGACGGGAATACAGTGCTGAGCGGCTTGGGAAGAGGTACCATCCAGCCCTGCAGGCCAGTGAGCGGCAGTTGGGCTGAGGTTTAAAGGGTGTGTGTGTCAGGCTGGCGAGAGGGGAAGCTATTGTTCCAGACAGAGGGACCCGCGGGTGAGAAGACCCAGAGGCGCGGGGAACAGAGGCGTTCCCATGGCAGCAGCGGGGGGGCCGTGAGGAACAAGCCGCCTGGGTGGCTGAGGCAGGATTCAAACTCAGGTCTGCAAAGCGTGGTCCAAGGGCCTGCAGCACCAGCTTCCCTCTAGCTCAGTGGTTCTCAGCCTTCCTAATGCTGCGACCCTTTAGTACAGCTCCTCATGTTGTGGTGACCCCCGACCATAACATTATTTTCCTTGCCACTTCATAACTGTAATGTTGCTATTGTTATGGATTGTAATGTGAATATCTGTGTTTTCGGATGGTCTCAGGCGACCCTGCTAGCAGTTCTCAGCCTGTGAGTTGTGACCAACAGGTTGAGAACAGTTGCTGTAGAGCCTGAGACCATCGGAAAACAAGACATTCACATTACGATTCATAACAGTAGCAACATTGCAGCTATGAAGTAGAAACGAAAATAATGTTATGGTTGGGGGTCACCACAACATGAGGAGCTGTACTAAAGGGTCACAGCATTAGGAATGTTGAGAAACACTGCTCTAGCTGGACTGAATCAGACTGCCGGTCACCAGGACTGAATCAGACTGCCGTGACCGCTAAGCTGTGCTCGTGTGAGAGGCCTGGGGCAGGGCACTGGGCGGGACACCGGACCTCCTCCGGGAGCTCTGAGTGTGGCTGCGGGGGCGGCTGGAAATCAGGTACTCGGAGCCAGGCACTGCGGTGGGCTCCTTTTCTACATGCTCACATTGACTGGCTGCTTTCCCAGCAGTGATCATGGGCGCTCAGGAATTCCAAGGTGAAAAGAAAATCCAGCCTGTAAATCGTCTTCACATTGAATGACATTTCAGTTAATATACTAAACTTAAATCTTATGAGATTGGTAGGCTATTACTTTTTAAAGCACTTAGCCCAACATTTATTCATTTCAGTTTTGCTGGGTTCTGAGGTTTTGGTTCTTCTTTTGAAGTCTTTTTATTTATCTTCCTGTGCATTGAGTGCTTGTCCTGTGTACTCTGTGTACATTATTTCCTGTTGTTGGTTCATGGCCTGTGAGGTAGTTAGTACTCACGCCTTTAATGGGATCAGAGAGGTTAGGTAACTTGCCCAAGGCCACACAGTAATTGGTTCTGCTCTGCCTGAGGCTGGTTCTCTTGCTGTTGCTATTGCCTCCAGGGAGGGGGCTGTCTACCAGCCAAAGCGCCTGGTCTGCAGTGTCACCCCAGACATGAAGAACTGAGAAACAACTCTTCCTCCTCCCTAGGAAAAGAGATGTCCTTCTTCACTCATAATGTGCACCCTCCTTACAAGTCTGGCCACAGCAGGAAAGCCCCCCAATCTCAGGTGAGTGGGGGTGGGGCACCAACCCAGACCCCTTGGAGCCCCATAAACTCCAGTGACTTCCGACCAGTCCCACATCTCTGCATTCCTCACCCACCTTCTTGGGGAGGGGCCCTGGGCTTGCCCAGTTCCAGAGTTTGGGCACAGAGCCGGTCAGTGACAGCGCTGACCCAGATTCCTCCAGTTTGTGCCCAGACCTGCTAATACCAGATCTCAAAGCCCAGGCCCTTTGTAGATTTTTCTGGGCATCCCCAGATTGAATCTCGTGTTGTCTCCTGCTTTCCTGAGCTCTCAGCATGCACAGTCTGAGTAGCAGGGTGACCACGTGGGGTAATAATATATTATTGATTTCAGATATAAAGGGAAAGGGAGAGAGAGAGAATCATTGATTGGCTGCCTTCTGCACACCCCCTATTGGAAATTGAACCCGCAACCTGGGCATATGCCCTTGGCCATAATTGAACCTGGGACTCTTCAGTCCGAAGGCCAATGCTCTATCATTGATCCAAACTGGCTAGGGCACAGAGCAGTCTTATGTTACCCCAAAAACCAACGATGTCACCTTAGCTTCATACACTCGGGGTAGGTGCTGGTCACAACATGAGAATTGATAGGAAAGGAATTGATAGGAAAGGAATTGATAGGAAAGTCCACCACGTGCAGATTTCCTTTGCAAATATTCTCTCTAGTCCTTACAACATTTCTGCAAGGTCGGTAATGATTAGCTTTTTAAAATATTTTTAAAAATTGATTTCAGAAAGGAAGGGAGGGGAGAGAGAGAGGAACGTTAATGATGAGAGAGAATCATTGATTAGCTGCCTCCTGCTTGCCCCAATACGAGCCCACAGCCCAGGCATGGGCTCTGGCCGGGAATGGAACCGTGACCTCCTGGTTCATAGTTTGACGCTCAACCACTGAGCCCTGCCAGGCGGGTAGTAATTTATCTTTATTCAGCAAAGGAAGACATAGACTCCCAGAACTGAATCACCTTCCCTAGGCCACACAGAGGACTTCAGCTGACGTCAGGATGCTGTCAGTCTGAGCTCCTTCTGCATCATTATGCTGCCTCTCCAACAGACAGGAGAGTTTAATAGCTCAAACCAAGCCAGTCTCTGCTCTCCTGTCAGGCTCACTGAGGCCTGTTAAGAATGAACATGATGCCTCATTGAGCCCTGGGAGTGTATTCTAACAAATCCCAGTCACCACTTTCAACACTGTAAACGTCAGTAGCTGTCACACCACCAGCTGCATGGTGTATGGGAAGTCCTTTCAGCTCTTTTCTCTCTAATCAAATATCACCTATCTATCTGTCTGTCTGTCTGTCTATCTATCTATCTCTCTATAAAAGTTTAATTGACCAAATGACCAAAAAACCTGTGGTGACCACTTGCTGTGATGTGCACTGACCACCAGGGGGCGATACTCAATGCAGGAGCTGCCCTCTGGTGGTCAGTGCGCTCCCACAGCGGGAGCACCGCTCAGCTGACACCCACAGCTGCAGAGACACAAGAGGTGGCAGGCACAGCCGGGCAAGGATGAACAGGAGTGTGAGGTGCCCAGCTGCCTGCGGCTTCGTGCCCGAGGGGTCCCAGATTGCAAGAGGGTGCAGGCCAGGCTAGGGAACCCCACCGGTGCCCGAATCTGTGCGCTGGGCCTCTAGTATTTTTATAAAAGCAAAGTGGCAGTTGTTGAGACTGGCGGCTGCTCGTCTGCCACTTGGCGGGCCATCTGTTTAGCGTCACTAGACTCCTACTCCTCCTTAAAGACAGAGCCAGTGTCTTCTCTCCTTGGAAGCCTTCCAGCTCTCCCAGCCGAGTGAGCTCCCCGTCAGAATCCAGCGTTCCCGCTCTGCCTTCGTATGACGCGCTGCTGGCACTGCGCAGGCCTGCCATTGGCTGTGCGCAGTCTCTGCTGTGCCGTCCTCTGTGGCAGAGCACCTCGGGTTATCCGTGCACGTGCACGGCCAGATGCAAGGTTACTTCCTCCCCTCCCCGAAGTGGGCAGCCCTCCACAGACCCAGTTAATGAGCCGCAGGCGTGTGCCCGGGCAGTGCCTGGGAGCCCTAAGGAAAGCAGCACGTGAATCCTTTGCCTCTCTGCCGTTCTCTCCTGCTCCCGGGAGGTGGATGGAGTGACTGGAGCTCTGGCTGCCGTTTTGGACCCTAAGGACAAGGTTTCTGCCTCAGGGAACGGGGGACGTGAGCCGGAAGAACTTGGAGGCCTGAACGGCTCAGCCCAGCAGAAATGCCTACAAGCCCTGCATTGTCCGCCTTCCCACCTAGTCTGAGCCGCTCTGCCACTCACATCCAACCCCGATCTTCTCGGATACACGCGTGATGCTTCTCACACCTCAGCACAGCTGTGCTTGCTGTTCTCTCCCTGCCCACCTGGGAGCTCCTCGCAGGGACCAGGTTCAGGTGTTCCCAGCGCCAGACACAGCAGGAGTGGCTCAGAGAAACGTTTCCTGAGGGCGTGGTGACTGCACGGACCACGGCAGCTGTTTCCACAGGGCTCTGCCCACACTTGCACTTTGCACGCTGTTGCTGCCTTCATCTCATAAGTCCCCACAAGGAAACCACGGCAGCGAGAATTTGGCGATTTGCCCAGGATCACCAGCTGTCCGAGTGCCAGCCCTTGCGTTTCTACTGTGGCCTCTTCGCTCTACTGGTTTCCCAGGGTGAAGGGCTGTGTTGTCCAGCTGTGCCTGCAGGGAAGAATCAGAAATATCCAGGAAGTAGCCTGGCACCCATTCATTACAGGCCAAACTAAAGGTCAACATTGCAGGTGCCTTTTTGTATTCTTCTCACCACCAGTTTTACTAAATGTGTTTCTTCCCTCTCCCCTGCAGCCTACTGATGGACATCCAGATAGCAAGAGGAATTCCGACGAAACCACGCAATCACAGAACACCACGAAAGGTACCGTAACGAGCTACAAGGGAGGTGTAAGCTTTCAAATCAGTTATCTTCACAACCCTCCCGTCTTAAGGCTGTTTCCACAGAATGTGTCACCCTAGTGTGCCCCAGGTCCCAGCCTGGGCCCTGGCACTGAGTAATATCTTCTGAGAGGACAGGACTGTCTTTTCAGTTCCACGAGCACTGACTCAGTTCCACTTTTTATTTTTTAAATATATTTTATTGATTTTTTATGGAGAGGAGGAGAGAGGGATAGAGAGAGAAACATCGACCAGCTGCCTCTTGCACACCCCCTACTGGGGATGTGCCCGCAACCAATGTACATGCCCTTGACCGGAATTGAACCTGGGACCTTTTGGTCCGCAGACTGAAGCTCTACCACTGAGCCAAACCGGTTTCGGCCCAGTTCCACTTTTGTAGAGAATTCTGTTATGGCTCCTGAGTTAGTGTTACACATACTACCAGCATGCCTTTTTTTTTCTCTTCTCACTAAAATCTACTTTTAGCACATAGTAGATGCTCATTAAATGTTTGTTGGGTTGGTGGATAGCTTAATAAATGGGCACATCAATGGCCATCGGTGTATATCTGTATAAAATGCAAGTGAAATTGTATGAATTTCTCTAACCTACTCCCTGTAGCATCTCCCAATGATCCGAATCCACCCAGGTGTTTTCACACTAATAAGAAACAGAGATCTACCTTGGCTCACCAACTCCCAATTATTATTATTACTATTATTTTTGCTAATATTACTTTGACAGATCATTGTCAGACTCAAGTCTCGAAGAAATCTACACAAATCAGGAAAATATCAGAAGCAAGATTAGCTGAGAATATGCTTCCTAAGGTGAGCAGAATTGGAGTTGAGTAGCAGAGGGGATGTAAAAGCGGCCGGGTGTATAGCTACGAAGACTGGCCCTGTTGAGATGTCAGAGTAAGAACTTGGGTGCTTCCAATTGTAGACTCGGGCGATGCCGGCAGGAAATCGCCTGAGGGTAATTCCTGGCTGAGTAAGTAGCTGTTCTGTCTGGATTTCTCTGGGCCTTTAAACGCTTGACATTCAGAGCATGGGCGTGCAAGGAAGAGAGCAAGGAGCCTCCGTTCCCGCTCTATGAAGTGGAGGCAGTGATCCGCGGTCCTGGTGGAGGAGATGGGCTTGAGGTGGGGGTGATATTATCAGTAATAAACCCCACTGCACTGACCTGTGCGTGCAGTCCTTGTTGTTTAACTGTCTCTGTCCTCTGAGACCATGCTTCCTGCTTTCCTTCAGTTCATTGGTGATAAGATGCTCAGAACAAATGCTCATTTGTCCACGTTCACAAAGCAAGGAAGAGAGAAAGCCAAGGCTTGCCTGCCGGTCTGCCTGGCTCTGAGCCCGGCTCCTAAGCACTGAGCCGTGGCACAGCCCCCGGAGCTCAGGCCTTCCGGGTCCTGTGTTCCCCCCTTCTCTCCCCCCTTCTCTCCCCTCGCCCAGTGGGCAGTTTCTGTCAGTGGCACCTGCCGCCTGTGCAGTGGAGAGGGGCCCTTAGGACCCTGCCCAGGACAAGACACCAGTGAGCAAAGGCCTTACACCGTAGGGTTTGGGCCAAGGACAGCAAGGACTGCAGGAGACTTCTCGAACCTTCTTCATTTCTCCGTATTCATTACCACTGCCTGTTTCCTGTCCGCGTTTAGCAGGACATTTTTGAGAAGTAGCAGGGCCTGGTGGCAGAAATAGGCAGCATGGGTTCAAATCTTGGTGCTGCATGTCATCAGCCGTGTTACCTCAGGAAGTTGTTTAAATTTCCGACCTGCTTCTATAAAATTGAAGCCCAGCATTATTGTTATGGTTTCACTTTTATTTTTTAATTAAATCTTTATTTTGAATATAAAAATATTTATATTGAAAGTATTAAATGTGTCCCTTTCCCTCCCCCCTTTGACCCCTTCTGGCCAACTCTCCTCCCCACCACAAGCCTTCACCATCCTATTGTCCGTGTCCATGGATTATTTCATATCATTGTAGTTCTTTCATATAAAATATATAATATTATCTACTCAGTTTTATATCTTGATTATTTTAATCTATTACATCTGAAGGAATATTTTAGTGCCAGCTCTTCATAAATATTTATTTATTTATTTATTTATTTATTATTTTGTTAATTCTCAGCCGAGAATATTTTTCCCATTGATTCTGAGAGAGAATGGAAGGGACAGGGAGAGATAGAAAGAGATTGGTTGCCACCCACACTCCAGCCAGGGCAGAGATCGAGCCTGCAGCCTAGGTACATGCCCTTGACCAGAATCGAACCTGAGACCCTTCAGTCCTTGAGCCAGTGCTCTAACCACTGAGCAACCAGCTAGGGCTTCATAAACACTTGAATAGTGGCATGCTGTTCAACAAGCACTGATGAACTATTTCTTTGTTTAGGGATATTAATATCTTCTTGAACCTTATTCTGATCTTTTGCCATAGTAAAAATCTCCCCAGTCAACATCTTGGTGCCTAAGCCTTTTTCTTTTTTGGGGTAACTTCCTCAGGATAGCATCCTAAAGTTAGAGTTACCAGATCAAAGGACATGAATGGCTTCACGTTTCTTAACGCATGCTGTAAAAGTGACAGTGACCTTTAATCCCCCATTTTTTTCTCCCCCCTTCTTTCCTGCTCAGTCCCACCCTGCCTGCAAAATCCCTGCGTTGACTTCAAACCACTTCAACCTCTACGGGAAGAGTCCCCTGGTCGTTTACTTCCTGCTCAACTACGCCACCCTGAGGCAGTGTGGCGGAGACGTGCTGATCACCAGGAGGGAGATAACCAAGATCATCCCATATCCTTCCCTGCGTCCTCTCCCCCGAAGCAAGGGTGGGGAGAGCATCCAGCCCTCAATCCAGCGCCTGGCACATAGGAGGTGCCTGTCAGGGTGGCCATTGGTACAGCCTAAGGGTCAGAATCTGGCTCCTTTTAGTTCCACATCTGCCTCGTGGACTGGCTGTGCGGGCCTGGGGCGAGTCGAATTGCCTAGTGTAGCTCGTGTCTCCCATGTACCAGAATGAATGGGCTAAGCAGGTCCGAGGACACTGCAGCTCGGGAATGCCTCCCGGGTGCTCACGGCCCTGGAGTGTGTGTTGGCCAGGAATTTTGGTGTCGTAAGTATGTGTGTTTTTCCTACACATCCCCTTAGGAAAAACACACATACTTATGACACCAAAATTCCTGGCTCCATTGGCATTCATCCTGAAGATCTGTAGAAAGCTCGGATCTTAAGGAAACAGGTGTGCCATGTATTGGTGTGCTGAGTCTTAGCAGTTTCCCCAGAGGGTCAGAGCATGGATTCAAACAGACCCAACTCAAGTGCTTCCCAGCTGAGTGATCTCAGACAAGTTCTAGCTACCCTCTGGGCCTCATTTTTTCACCTGTAAAATGGGCATAACAGGATCTGCCTCGTAGGACCGTTTTGCAGAGTATAAGCCCAATAGAGGCAAAGGTACCTGGCAGGCAGCGGGTGCTTGGATGGCACCCATCTACACACAGCTCCTCATTGAGAGGCTGCCCTTTCGCACTCCGTACCCTCAAACCTGCGTACATGTCACACGTCATGGAGCTTTATTGTTTAGGAAATGCTTTTCCTCCTATCGCCTACTGTTCTGTAAAGACTGTGTAGTATAGTGGGAGGAGCCTGGCGGGCACACACAGCCCTGGATTGGAGTCCCAGCCCAGCAGCCCACTGGCCTTCCAATCTCATGTGCACAGCTTAGCCTCTGAGCTCATACCTGTGCCATCTCCTTCCTAAAATAAGGACACTTAGACCAAACCGGTAGCAGTGTGACCAGGGTTAATGGCATCCAGCTGGTCCTAAATAAATAACAGTTGTCGTTACTATTAACATCATCTAAGGTGGGTACTATTATCTTTATTTAGTTTAATTTAAATATATTTTTTATTGATTTCAGAAAGGAAGGGAGAGAGATAGAAGCATCAATGATGAGAGAGAACCACTGATTGGCTGCCTCTCACATGCCCCACACTGGGGATCAAGCCTGCAACCCAAGCTTGTGCCCTGACCGGGAATACAACCATGACCTCCTGGTTCATAAGTTGATGCTCAACCACTGAGCCACATTGGCCGGGCTGTTATCCCTATTTTTTAGATAAGGAACTGGAGGGGATGACATATCTTGTCTGAGTTTCCACAAGTGACGAGTGTGGCTGAGATTCTGACCGATCCAGAAGGGATGAGGGACAGAAGGAGGCAAAGAAAAAAATTTGACATACAAACATGAGCAGGGGATTGAGGCCTTGGTCCTAAAAAGAAAGACAAGTTGGAATTCCTTCCTACTCACCACTAGGACGACAGCAGGAATTTTAGGTGACGGTGTAAAAAGAGTTCCCAGCCCTTCTGTCGGCAGGAAGGAGAGGAACGTTATTCAGAGACAGGGAGGGGCCCAGCCGTTGAGGCTGGCCTCTTTCCAAAGCAGCCGTTTCCAGCTCAGTGCCCCCACCCTGCGGCTCCCCGGCCCTCCTCCCCCCCTCGCACCCAGCACGTGCCTCCCATCGTGCTGAGAGGCAGCACCCACCAACGGGGAGGGGTTTTCCTTGACCTTGAAAGTCACTGAGTCCAGCCTGACCTACGCGGACGTCATCAGCCTGACCCTGTGCCGCATGAGGAAGCGGAAGGACAACCTCATGCAGCTGACCAAGTTCCGCTGCAGTGAGTGGACGTACTTCGACATGTACCTGGCGGAGCTGCAGGACAACTTCCTCAGGTGCGGGGCCGCGGGCGCAGCGGGCAGCGTCTGGCGCAGGCGCAGGCGCCAGAGTAGCTCTGACATGGGGGCTAGCCCCGGGCCAGCCCAAGCACAGTCAGCTTCCCCGTGGTCAGAGTGTGAGCTCCACGAGAACGGAGAGCAGGTCCTCGTTTCACTTGAACGTTGACTGGGCTTTAGATGATAGTAAGGAATTCCTTTTGGTGTGTTCCTCTTTAAAAGATACCATAATAGTTTTGTAGTTACGTTATTTTCTAGGAGTCACCTCTTAAGGGGATACATAATGAAGTATTTATGAATGAAATGGCCTGGTGTCTAAGATTGGCTTTAAAATAACCCATTGGGCTGGGCATTGGTGTGGGGACAGAGGGAGTGATAGGTTAGTGAAGACTGGCCTTCTGTTGATACGTGTGGACGTCAGAGAATGGGTAAGTGGTGTTCTATGCTCTTCTTGCTCTTTGACCATGGCCTGCCTGCTTTATTTACTTTTAAATATAAATTTCATAGGCTATAACATTTTAAATAGGTGTTTTTGTTTTGTTCTGTAAAAAGTGGTGGATATAACAAGAACAAAGGTGACAGCTGTCGATGTGGAATATTCCATGTGGACGGGCCAGCGCCCTTTCAGGCATCAGTTACCACTTTTGCTAATGGAGCACATCAGTCAGGAGCACTGAGCTCCGGCTCCAGCTCCCATTCTCTGTGTGAGCTGGCCCTCAGGAAGCCCGGTGGCTCGGAGACCACCTCCATGACAGGCCCTCATAGAGGTACTCATGGAGTGCTTGTGTGAATGAGAGGGGCCTGCTCGGTGCCTGGCTCACAGGAAGTGCCCCGCGAGTGACGGCCGTTAGAGATGATACACAAGCCCACCGGGAAACTGCAGGGTCCGGAGGGAGGTGTGCGATGGGGAGGCCGGAGCAGCCCCCGCCCCGGCAAAGGCAGTCAGCAGCTGTTCCCAGGGTTCTCTGCTCCGTGAGGAAGAGCCTCGTTTGCACACGCGGGTGGAGCCGTGCGGGAAGGAGCAGGGTCAGTGCTGCTGGAGAACTCGTTCTCTTGTGAGTCGGAGCCCTGGTCCTCACACTTGTCCGGGGACAAGCAGCCACAACTCGGAAGGCTTTCTGCAGAGCTCGCTGAAATGTCTCCACAGAGGACTCTGTCACACAAGCTTGGGATCCTCTGACTAGTGGAAAGCAGGGGCCGAAGACAGCGCAGAAAATATTACCAAGGAATTGCATCCACCTTTTTCCGTTAGAAAGCGTGATCATGACAAGGACAACTTGCCGCTGGTTTGATCTCTTCATTGCAAGCAGAAGCAGGCGCCGAGAAGGCTGTGGCAGAAGATCACAAAAATGAGAATGTTGTGTAACACATTTTCCCCCTTTGACTTGGGAAAAGACCCCATCGTTGGAGCAGCTGCTGGTTTAGGCATAGTTCATTGCTGGCTTTTAAACATCTGTCCTTCCACATCTATCCTACCACAGCAGAGAAGTATAGGCCAGCATCTTACTTCACTCTAGTATACACTGAGTGGCCAGATGATTATGATCTCTGGACCCATAATAATCTGGCCACAGTGCATATGTATTTTAGAGGCCCGGTGCATGAACTCGTGCATGGGTGGGGTCCAGCCAGCCTGGCCAGGGTGAGGGGACATGAGTGGTTTGGCCTGCCTGCCTGCTAGTGGAACTCCTGGTCGAGGTGACAATTTGCATATTAGCCTTTTATTATATAGGATATACACTGAGTGGCCAGATTATTATGCGTTCAGAGATCACTGGCCACTCAAAAAAAAAATAATATATATATATATATATATATATATATATATATATATATATTTACTGCTATTTTATAAACATATATTGAACACCCATAACCTGCTGCTCCATCGGCAAGTGTCCACATTTCAAAAGTCAGCTGGCATATTACCCAATGCAGCATTCCCATTGTGCACATAGCTTATCTGAAGACAGTCCACTGAACACCTCCTATAGGACCGGCAGCAGCCGCCACCATTATCGAGCCCTTCCTGTGTGCCAAGCACTGTGCCTGGCAACCGGCCTGTGGTACCTCAACCCTCCACACGCCTTAGGGCCCGTTATTCCCCCGTGGAGATGAGCACAGTGGCACAGAGAGGTGAATTAACCTGCCCAAGGTCACACAGCAAGTGGCAGAGCTCCAACTGGAATTCAGCTTGCCCTCAGAGCTCACGCTTCCGCTTCCTTTCAGGTTGTGGATTCCTGCCGCCTCCTCATTGGGGTGCATGGTCCTTGAGTCAAGGCCGGGCCCGTTTTGATTTCTGTTCCCAGGGCTGCTGTGACCCCGTCACACAGCCGGGGCGGGGCTGCTGCTCTGGGATTAGGTCTCCGGTCATCAGTTTCTCTTGAAGATGTCATGAATGAATTTGTAAATTCTTTTTTTTTTTAATTCTTTTTATTCTTTTAAAAAAATATATATATATTTTATTGATTTTACAGAGAGGAAGGGAGAGAGTTAGAGAGCTAGAAACGTCAATGAGAGAGAAACATCGATCAGCTGCCTCCTGTACACCCCCCAACCGGGGATGTGTCTGCAACCAAGGTACATGCCCTTGACCGGAAATGAACCTGGGACCTTTCAGTCCACAGACCGACGCTCTACCACTGAGCCAAACTGGCTACGGCGAATTTGTAAATTCTTTACATATGAAGGTAGGAGAGAAAAGTTCCTATTGGCTCTTTAGTCTTTTCCCCTATGTGTCTTTTTCTCCCACAGGGACATAAAGGCTTTAGACCAAAGAGAAGCAGATAAGAAAAGGGCAAACCGCACATTCATCCCATCTTCCGTCTTCATTGAGGAAACCCTCGCGAAGAAACATAGAGAAGACCTGGATAAGGAGACCGAATTTCTTTTAAGGTTTGTTGGGGAAAAGACCATGGGAAAAGTAGAAATGTGAGCAATGTAAGAAATGTTAATAATGGAAAAACACATAAAAGTTCACTCGCTTTGATGTGTTACTCATTTCTCATTTTAAAATTATTAATGGTAGCAGAGTTATCTATGATTTTTGTACTTCCTCTGTGTCAAGTGTTTGTACTTTATGAGATATATGGGTCTGAACTCTTTGGTTGCAAGGACCAAGAAACCAGCTCAAACTAGCTTGAGCAGAAGGAAAATCTAGAGGCTGCAGTAAGCAGGCAGCCCACAGTAGGTTGGCTGCAGGCACGTTGGTCCTCAGGGCTCAGTGATATTTTCGGGATCACTTAGCATAACTCTCTCTAGGGTCCTTCCATGCTGTCTTAAAGGGTAAGAGATCCTTCCTTTTTACTGCTGCATAGTATTCCATGATATAAATGTACCACAGCTTTTTTATCCACTCATCTACTGATAGGCACTTGGGCTGTTTCCAAATCTTAGCTTCTAAATCTTAAAAAAAAGAATTTCTTTTTAAAAATACATTTTTATTGATTTCAGTGAGGAGGGGAGAGGGAGATAGAGATAGAAACATCAATGATGAGAAAGAATCATTGATCGGCTGCCTTCTGCACATTCCACACCTGGTGATTGAGCCCACAACCTGGGCACGTGCCCCAACCTGGAATCAAACCCTGCCCCCTTTTTCATAATCTTCTTGGAAGTACTGTATTACATTATCACTCTATTTCAAAGCCAGATATTAGTCATATGTTAATATTAGTTTCAAAGAAGGCTGGAAAATAGAGGTATTTTTATTTTATCTTACTTTCTTTTATTTTATTTTAAATGAGTCCATTGACATCCTAAATAAAAACTGACTCCAGCCCTAGACGGTTTGGCTACTTAGTGGATAGACCATAGGCCTGCAGACTGAAGAGTCCTGGGTTCGATTCCAGTCAGGGGCACATGCCTGGGATTGCAGGATCGATTCCCAGTAGGAGGTGTGCAGGAGGTTGCTGATCAATGATTCTCTCTTATTATTGTTTCTATTTCTCCCTTCCTCTCTGAAATCAATAAAAAATATATATATTTTTAAAAAATGACTCCATTGCTAAGGAAAAAGGGGAGAGTGGATCGATCTTAGGTTGGTAACTAACCATCTCTATCACAGATAGATGGTGTTATATTCTTTACTTTAAAAAATGAAGAAGTCAGTTCTTAGTGAATTGAGAAATTTAACCAAGGAAACCTTCTAGTCTTAATCCTTCTAATTTAAATTTTCCTTCAAACCAGAAAAAGACCACAATTTTTTGATAATAGCAAGTTAGCATGAGACCTACCTGTTTGAGCCATGGAATCTTATAGGATCAATGGTGACTCTTTAGCAGTCTTTTTGGTTTTTTTGTTTTTTGTATATTTTATTGATTTTTTTACAGAGAAGAAGAGAGAGGGAAAGAGTGTTAGAAACATCGATGAGAGAGAATCATCGATCAGCTGCCTCTTGCACACCCCCCACTGGGGATGTGCCCGAAACCAAGGTACATGCCCTTGACTGGAATCGAACCTGGGACCTTTCAGTCCACAGACCGACGCTCTGTCCATTGAGCTAAACCGTTTTCGGCCACACTGAATTTCTGAGCTGATTTTTGTTGATGTCTTTTTCGTTTTCCCACAGGAGGGAAAAAGAGGAGGAAGAGAGATATAAGTGGAATGACTATTCCCTCCCACGTTCAAGTCGTGACGAAAAGTTCTTTGATGATTCTGATGTCAGGTAGGTAGAACAACAACAGGAGGAGAAAACGAAAATTGTGGCCAAAGACTGAAAAAATAAAAATGATTCCCAGGAGAAAGAAAAGAGTTCATTATAAGTTTTTTTGCAGGCTGA